TTTGTGATGTTTTGCTTTGTTTATGCATAGTTGAATAGGTTGTATTCTAGTAAACCAGCCAATTTGTGAAAGCCATTGCCATTTGGCTTTTAGTTGTAAGACCCAAACAATTTGAAAGCAGCAACATAAGCCATAGGCCAGAAAAGAGAAAACTGATAGGAAAACTTTAAAGGGACACTATAGTCACCCAGACCACTTCAGCTGGTCTGAATGTCAGGTCCCTCTATGGTTAACCCTGTCTGATGTAAACATAGCAGTTTCTGAGAAACTACTATGTTTACATCTGGAGTTAAGCCAGCCTCTAGTGGCTGTCTTCCGGACAGCCACTAGAGGCTCATCGGCAATGATTGAGGCATATTATGCCTCAATCATGCAGAGAGTCCATGGGAAAGCATTGAAAAATGCTTTCCTATGGATACTTTGAATGTACGCGTGGCAGTGCCGTGCATGCGCATTTGGCGCCGGTGAGGTCAGACAAGGATTCTGACGTCGGCGGGGGAGGAGAGGTAAGGGAGCCCAGCGGGGGGGAAAGGGTGAGTAGCTGAAGGGGTTTTAACCCCTTCAGCGCTGTGGGAGGGGGACCCTGAGAGTGGGGGCACCCTCAAGGTACTGTAGTGTCAGGAAAACCAAGCAGTCACTATAGTGTCCCTTTAATTAAATATTTTCTTCCATTGAATTCAGTTATTTTAGCCAAAATCCACCCAAAGTATTAACTAACTTGTGATCCTTTATAAACAAAAGACAGTGGATCCTTCTCAACTGTTTCAATGCCGAACCACTGAGACAAAAGTGCTAAAGTGGTACCACAACCAGTGATATATAAAGGGATCCATCCAGTGGCTCTTCACCCCATTAATGGTGTCTAGGTAGCAGTAGTTAAAGGTCTGTGCTTCAGATAACACAGATCTCCCTTATGGTTCATAGCATGTACAAAGTGGAGATCTGGATGGAATCAAGAAAGTGTCATCAGCCAACTCTCCCCCCCCTGGATTAAGAAGATAAATATGCTAATTCTAACATCCGTTTGACATTGATAAAGCCTAGAGCACAGATACAGCACTGGGATTCCTGTCTCAATATTTTGCTATTGGTCCTGAATTTAGAATTTAGAATGTTTTATTAAACTCGATGGCATTGGCACCAATGGTATTCAGATTGAAGCCATACTTACTCTTTCTCCCCTTTCTCCTTTTACACCAGCAGGCCCCTAAATCAATAAAAATGAGAACAGTCATTCCATGTTATATGCACACTGTATGTACCATGCTGCAATAATCTTCATGTTTTTGTTAATTTCCCGTGATATACAATACTCTGCTCTCTCTTATTCACATCCATATAAGGCCACACTTCAATCTTCCCATTATTATTATTAACAAGTTTTCATATGTTTCCTAAATGGCTGCTTCTCAGTCATTTCTGATGTCCTGTGTAGAGAAATTAAGTATTTCGAAACAGGCAACTATATTAAAAGTAATAATATGTAAATAATTGGGGTGGGTCGACTTGAGCACGGAGATTTTACTCAAGCCCCCTGCCAGTAACTATCATATTTTTCATTCCAGACATGACCACATATTAACTATTTAAAATTGTGCATTATCAAAAAAATATATATATTTTAAAAAGTGGGTTATTGTGAAACGGAAATCGAAATCTGATCAATGATAATGCTGTGTTTACCATATGTATATTTTACATGGCCATGTGAGTGGGGAGACACCTTTCAATGTTGCTTTTCTTGGATCAAGATGAATTGTTTGTTAATCTCACCATTAACCCCTTAAGGACTGGACTGTTTTTGCGATGTTGTACATTTGCGACCAGGCATATTTTTACACTTTTGTGATGTTTGTGTTTGGCTGTAATTTTCCGCTTTCTCATTTACTGTTCCCATACAAATTATATATTGTTTTTTTCAGGACAAAAGGGGCTTTCTTTACATACCATTATTTATATAATATCATGTATTTTAATTTAAAAAAAATAAAAAAATATGATGAAAAATTGAAAAAAATACATGTTTTTTGACTTTTACTTGAAAAATCTTTTACTCATCTACAAAAGCGAATGAAAAAAACTGCTAAATAGATTCAAAATTTTGTCCTGAGTTTAAAAATACCTAGTGTTTACGTGCTTTTTTGCTTTTTTTTGCATGTTATAGGGCTATAGGTACAAGTAGGATATTGCGGTTTCAAAACATACATTTTTAAAATTTATCAATAGTGACATTGTAACACTATTATCTGTCATAAATCTCTGAATAACACCCCACATGTACATATTTTTTTTAAAGTAGACAACCCAGGGTATTCAATATGGGGTATGTCCAGTCTTTTTTAGTAGCCACTTAGTCGAAAACACTGGCCAAAGTAAGCATTCATATTTGTTTGTGTGTGAAAAAAGTAAAAAAACTAAATTGAGCGCTAATTTTGGCCAGTGTTTGTGACCAAGTGGTTACTAAAAAAGACTGGACATACCCCATTTGCAATACCTTGGGTTGTCTTCCTTTGCAAATGGTATGCCATCATGGGGGTAATTCTCATTCCTGGGCTACTATACGCTCTCAAAGGCAACGTAACCAACCTGGCCATTTTCAATGTAAAAATATTTGACCCATATATTTGACCTTGTAACTTTCAAAAATGCTATAAAACCTGTACATGGGGGGTACTGTTTTACTCGGGAGACATCGCTGAACACAAATATTGGTGTTTAAAAACTGGAAAACGTATCACAACAATTATATCATCAGTAAAAGTGCTGTTTGTGTGTGAAAAATGCAAAAAAAGTCACTTTCACTGACAATATCATCGCTGTGATATGTTTTACTGTTTTGAATCACTAATATTTGTGTTCAGCGAAGTCTCCCGAGTAAAACAGTACCCCCCATGTACAGGTTTTAGGGTGTAGTAGAACGTTACAGGGTAAAATACAGTGCTAGCAAATTCAATTCTCTGGAATTTCGGCCTGGGTTGGCAGGCAGGTCCCTTAAATTGCAATCAATAAAATTACTGAATTATGTAAAACTATTACATAAATACACACGTAGAATTTAAATATATATGCATATTTATATATTTGAAGTCTACGTGTATATTTATATAATTATTTATGTAATTTTGTATATGGACATATGTATATTTTGTATTATTTGTATTTATTTATATATACATAGATATATACAAATTCATTCTAAGTGTATTTTAATATAAATATATATATATTAATTTTAAAATACAGTTAGAATAAAATTTCATATAGCTATATAATTTTTTTTTAATTTTTTATTATTATTTAAAAAATTTTTATTTAATTTAAATTACTTATTATTTATATTTTATATTAATATATATATACAATATATATAGTTATTATATATATTATATATATACGTGTGAAATTTAATTATAAGTGTATTTTATATTAATATAAGTACATATTAATATAAAAATACACTTAGTATGGCATTATATATATGATATATAGACATATATTATATAGATATAATATATGTCTATATATCATATATACACATATATAATTATTATTATTTTTTTTATTAACACTAACTTTATTTTTTTTTCTGATTTTACACTAGCAGGGAGACTGCCTGTCAGCACAGACAGTCCCCCTGCAGGCAGCACTATGGACATCTATTGTGACCATGTGATTGCTGTGTTAAGCGATCACATGGCCACAGGGGTCCTAATTCAGTGTGGGGAGACTGTCTGGGCTGCAGGCAGTCTCCCCACAACCGGAGCAACACTGATCGCCGCCGGGGGAACGACGGCGATCAGGTAAGTAACGTAAACCGTTAGGACGGTTCAGGACCGTCATCGGTCCGCAATGGGAAAATTCCGATGACGGTCCTGAACCGTCCTGGGTCGGGAAGGGGTTAAAGGAACACTCAAGCATTAGGAATACAAATCTGTAAGTCAAACACTATTGTGTTAGATTTTCAGGTCTCCCCTCTGGGTGCATTCAAATGTAACAAAACAAAGTTTTACTTACCTTTTTCCAGCGCCCTGGCTCACCTCTCTGTCGCCCTTGACATCACTCCTCTGGTGTAGTTCAATCCAAAGCTCTTCATAAAGGATAATTGGGGACCTAATGTGCATGCTCAGCTAGTGGGGAGCGAGCGCATTCATAGAAAAGCATTTGATCTATGCTTTCCTATGGAGACTTCTCTGTTATGTGACCATCACTGCAGCGGATAAACCTTTAGCGGCTATGATACTGACGGCCAATAGAGGGGGACTTAACCCTACAATGTAAACATTGTAGGTTTTAAATAACGGCAATATTTGATATTGCAGGGTTGAAAGGACTGCGACAATACACCACGACCACTTCATTAGAAAAGTAACAATATTTAAATTTATTTATTTGCATGTTTCTCAAAACATTCTTTAATAGTCATGAAAACATATTTAACCCCTTAAGGACCAAACTTCTGGAATAAAAGGGAATCATGACATGTCACACATGTCATGTGTCCTTAAGGGGTTAAAAAAACAGACTCGGTTCTTTATTTAGGTTTGTGTTGAAGTACTAATAACATTGATGGGACAGCTGCTTTTTGTCAATGGAAATATGTTTTGATAGACGTGTCAAGAAACTTACATTTTAAGGAGGAAACTTGTGTTCTGTTTATACAATAAACAGTTATGAGATTGTGCAAGTTTTTAATGGAGAGTAAAATAAATCACCCTGAAACATTAAAAGTATGTCCAGCCTTGAAAAATCAGTGATCATTCTAGTACAACCTACAGGTTATTTAAAAAAAATGTATTGGAGGTCGGCCAGTCTGTCAAAACAGAACTAAGTAAAGAGTATACTGAATTGAACCTTATTATGGTGGTGTCTAGATTGTATCCTTACCAGTTATTCACTAAAGGGAGAATATCAGTTGATTTTAAAGTGAATTTCAGGCCAAAATGAAAAAATACTCTAAATTCTCTGTGCTTTCTGATTGGCTACACCGGCCTAGAATTTGGAATTTACTTTAAATCCTCACTTTAGTAAATAATCCTGTTAGTTTCACTAAAATGACTGAAACTCTTAAAGGTAAACTATCATAAAAAATAACAGTGTAAATAAGTTATGTATATATATTTGATATATGTTACTTTGATTAGTTGTAATATATATATATATATATAAATATATATATATATATATATATATATATATATATATATATATATATATATATATACACATATATATAGCTTTTTAGTATAAAACATATCGGCTTTTTAAAAATTGCTTACAGGAGGGCATTGACCTTCACTTCAAAAATAGAAAGTCTGGAAGATGAAAAAAAAAAAATATATATATTTTTTTTTTTAATCTAAACCATAACAACATTGCAAAGTAGCATATATTAATATATAGAACTGCCTATCAAACATGGGCAGTAAAATATCTACATGTTGTAAAACAATTACGTTAATGCTTAAATAGAGCCATATTTTACACTTATTGTATCTAATAATTGTTTGCCCGATAAAGTACTAAAATAATTGCTGATTTATCCTACTGCTAAGGTTCTGCAATACAATGGGTTTCTGTAAGGCTAGCTTTGACAGCTGAAGTAAAGGATTGTATACGAAACTCCCTGCATTATTTCCAAAGGAAACTGAACAGCAGAGTTTTAGTGACGGCAATTTCCTGGCATGGAATATTTCACCCTATATCACCAGCTATCGGATATTTGTTCAGGTTTTCCACACAGTCTCACAAAAAGCTGGGAAAACAGAGCCATTTTTATGTTCCGTTTTTTAATAACTTAACTTAAAGGAAGTTCTGTGCCCACAGCAAAATGGTTTTATTGAAAAACATGTCTGAAAAGGAAATATAAACAACTTTCTGCAGTTTAACTTGGGCCTGTGGACGACAAATCTGTAAAAGTTACTGAAAGAAATAATTTTATTGCTACTTCAGGCTGTGTGCTTTGTGTGTCTGTATAGAGAGGGCCAGGGCCGGACTGGGAAAAAAATTCGGCCCGGGCATTTTTTTATCACAGCGGCCCACTAAGAAGGGGGCGGGGCAGAGAGGGTGTGTTTTGTCATCACTCATGACAAACACGCCCCCTCTCAAAGTGAGCATGTTGGTTCAATGCTCTTCCAGGGCAGACCATGCACAGAGTTCTGCTGAAGAGCTCTAGCATGAGAAAAAAGCCCTGTATTTGTTCTGTACAGTGCAAGCAAATGTAATAACATGCTTGCACTGTGTTTACTTGCAACTTGTCTCTGGTGTCTCTATAAATGGATACCAGGAGACAAAAGGGCCAGGAAAGAGTATTGTGCATGTGTTTTGGAGCCTGCTTGGGGTATTGCGTGTGTGTAGAGTGAGCTGGTTGTGGTGTGGTATTGTGTAATAAGGTCGGTTTTAGTCGTGTTGTGTTTGTGGTGTAATGTAATGCATATGTGGCTAGGGGCTTTAGAGTGTGTGTTTAGGGGATGTAGCAAGTGTGTGTGTATACAGGCTATAGTGTGTGTGTAGGTGATGTAGTGTGTGTTCAGGGAATGTAGTATGTGTTTGCTTACAAGGAATCTAGTGTGCGTATAGGGGATCCAGAGTGTGTGTGTTTGAAGGACCCAGAATATGTATAGGAGATCTAGTGAGCGTGCGTATATAATGGATTCAGAGTGTATATAGGGATCTAGTGTGTGTATGTGTGTAGATGATCCAGAGTTGGGTAGAGGATCTAATGTGTGTCTGGAATGAAATGTGTTTAGGGGTGCTGTGTGTGTGTGAGGGGTGCTGTGTGTGTGTGTGAGGGGTGCTGTGTGTGTGTGTGTGAGGGGTGCTTTGTGTGTATATTTATATGTGTGTATATATATTATATAAATATGTTTGGAAGTATTGTGTATGTGTGTTAGGCAGTGTATCGGGGGGTTGTATGTGTGTGTGATGGATCCTGTGTGTGAGGTGTGGGTGCTGTGTGTGTGAGGGTGCTGTATGTGTGGGTGCTGTGTATGATGTGTGTGTGAGTGCAGAGTGTGATGTGTGTGAGAGTGCTGTGTATGATGTGTGTGAGAGTGCTGTGTGTGCTGTGTGTGCTGAGTGTGATGAGTGCGAGAGTGTGATGAGTGCGAGAGTGTGATGAGTGCGATGAGTGTGAGAGTGTGGTGTGTGCGAGAGTGTGGTGTGTGCGAGAGTGTGATGAGTGCGAGAGTGTGATGAGTGCGAGAGTGTGATGAGTGCGAGAGTGTGATGAGTGCATGAGTGTGATGAGTGCGATGAGTGCGAGAGTGTGGTGTGTGCGAGAGTGTGGTGTGTGCGAGAGTGTGGTGTGTGATGTGTGCGAGAGTGTTGTGTGTGATGTGTGCGAGAGTGTTGTGTGTGATGTGTGCAAGAGTGTTGTGTATAAATGTGTGTTGGGGGGGTAAATAAAAAACTAAGGGGAGGGGGGACCGGCATGGTGGTAGCTGGGAGGAGGGGGGACCGGCACACTCACATCATCCCTGGTGGTCCAGTGGTGAGTGAACTCTAGCCTGCGGGCTAGAGTTCACTCTCGCGAGATCCGGTCGTTGCCATGGCAACGCGCCGGATCTCGCGAGAGGAACCCGGCGGAGCTGCAAGATAGAGCTCCGCCGGGTCCTCTCCCTCCCCAGCCGCAGGTCTATTTAAATGGGTCGGTGAGGGAGCTCTTTGATCTCCCCACCGGCCCTCCGTGGAAGACAGCGGGGCCGGCGCTCGCATAGTGCCGGCCCGGCATAGACCGGCAGGGGAGATCCTGTGATCTCCCCTGCCGGCCTCGGCCCATGGCCACCGCGGCCCACCGGGCATTTGCCCGGTGTGCCCGATGGCCAGTCCGGGCCTGGAGAGGGCATATTTGTGATGACAGTTCTACTGCTTGTGACTTTGGGAAAATATATTGCATTAAACTGATGTTTAGTTAGTTATTGTTGGTGAAAAACTAACTTACAATAACAAAAGGTAAATCCCAGGCAAGAAACGGGGTGAAAGAGACATCAAAAAAGGGCAAAGGTTTAACCCATTAAGGACACATGATGGAAATATTCCGTCATGATTCCCTTTTATTCCATAAGTTGTGTCCTTAAGGGGTTAATAGATTCTTCTGTAGGTTGTACATATTAAGAAGGTCACAAACTGTTTTGAGTTAAGCTAAATAAAAGGAAAAAAAAGTATGTCGCGTTCATTAAATAGCAGAATATCTTTGCCAATCCAATGCTATAGTGTTCCTTTAATCCCTAAAGAATTTGGAATTTTTAAGAATATTTCGTTTCTATATCTTTGCGTATTGTGGACTGAGTATAAATCGAAACAGTCATGTGTGGATGATGATGTTGGGGACAAACCCAAGTTATAGACTGTAAAAATATCCAAATGATAATCACATTTTATATTCACCTTCAAAATGTCCTTTAAGGGACACTATATGCACCCAGACCACTTAATCTCATTGAAGTGGTCTGTGTGCAGTGTCCCTGTCCCCTTAGACCTGCTAGTGAAAAGATTGCATTTTCAGACCAACTGCAATGTTTACATTGCAGGGTTAAGACTGCCTCTAGTGGCTAGATTATACACAGCCGACTCTCTATTCCTTTTGTGTCTATGCCTCTAGTGGCTGTCTACCAGGACGCTTTGCATGAGGACATCCAGTGTCTTGCAAATTCACATAGGAAAACATTGAGTAAATGCCTTCCCATGGGGAAGGCCTAATGCGTATATGGCCATTAGGTCCTGCCCCCGCCCCTGCCATTGCCAACTTCAGGAAAAGGCTGAGAGCGATCCAGTGCCATGGGAGCTATGCGCTGGAATCAGTAAGTAAATAGAAGGTTTTGTAACCATTTATTCCACAGTGAGGGGGAGAGAGGCATAGGAACACTATAGTATTGGGAATATTTCACATATTGTAGTGTATGCAATTTTCTCTAATACCCTCCTTGGAACCAAAGGAAGAATTGTCTTCCAATATACCATCCATTTCTGATGAAAAGGAAGAAGACGTTCCCAGCATCCCAGCCTATCACATGACATATCACTGAAAAAGCCCAGGATGTCCTCTCTACAATACAGCAGGGATTGATAGAGTAGCTCAAAAGAATAAAAGGAGATTCATGTGAACGAAATGTCCAGTACGGAGGACACAAGTTGACGGGCTGGGTCTCAGGAGGATACGTATTGTATTTTAACAATTTTCTGAAATATTGTCCCTTTTCTTTTTTTCACACCCTGAATTACAATGTCAATAAAATGATATTACAAAAATTAATAGAACGTCATTATGTTTTAATATTCATAATGTGGTAACTGGAGAATAGAAAAAAAAAGCTAAGAATAGTGCAGACCCTGTGAACAGTATAAGAATGCAAATTTTTTTACTTTAAAAAAAATAGAACGTTTACAAAAAGAATATAAAGTAAAGCTTTCTGTGATTGTTTTGTCATCGTGTGATTCACACTTACAGGACAAGAGTCTAGGCCTTATACCGAGTGACTAACAGACTAAAGAAATATAGAGATATACTCAATATATAACAACAGAGATATATACTTCCACAGCATGTCTTATGTGTAAAGAAGGCCTTCCTGTACCGTTGTATTTTATGGAATGAATTGCATCTCGTTCTACTGTCCATATGGTGAATATTATGTTTTTTTAAATTATACATATTTATTTCTGTATTTCTTTCGTTTTTTCCCAGTTCTTCTTTTTCCCTCATAGTGTAGTGTTATGATATCTCGAAGTTTTGTAAATTGGTTAAGATAAATATGGATATAAACTAAAGTGTACATTGTCTGGATTCCAAAGAATGAAATTAAAAATTAATTCAAAATGTTAGGCCAAATAGCGAAACTGACAACACAGCAAATTTGGGAAAAATAAATTGTTATTATTATGTTACTATTGAGGCCTAAAACTTTTGCAAATAACCCAAGAAATTTAAAATTATACAAATTTAAAAAAAAAGTTGAAATGTTTATACAGGGGAGGTAGATACTTGGAATAGCCTTCTAGTGAGGATGTTAAAAGATAATTTCATAAAGGAATTCATGACTTTGAATAATGTTTGGAATATGTATAGAGTTATCCCAAAACAGTAATGATTAAAATAAGTCTGAGCTTTCATATAGGGAAATTGGGAATAATTGATAACACTATTGGTTTGAATTTACTGTCACAGTTTATATTTCTACCTAAAAATCAGTTAGTGTGTTAACCAACAGAGTTTATAGATGCCCGATTAAGGGCAAGATACATTCCGAAATTCCTCGATATATATGAAGTGTGCAGTTACTAATGTTTTATGAAAACATTCCAAACTTATTTTCCAACACATTTGTAGAATGTGATATTAAGGATGATTCCTTTTTATGATAGATAACAGTGAGTATGATTTACAGACAAACCAGGAGTATCAGAACATTTATCATACTTACAGGAGGTCCACTTTCACCCTGTCTCCCTGCACCTCCTGGGACACCCGGAGAACCTGGATTTCCTGGTATGCCCTGCAAATGGAAAGAGTATTACGAGTAAGTCTGTGTTTCATTTAATATATACTGTACCATGTTCATCAATGCGAAACCTTTATGCTCTAATGACAGCTACAGAGATGTTGGTGGCACGCTGGTTCACGTAGCTACCAAATGGGCTGCATGTCAAAAATGGTAAACACTTGTCCACGTCATTTTACTTAACAGGATCTAATCCTATAAAAAAAAATATATGCTAAATAGTACTGCTCATTAACAAACAGGGCTCTAGTGTAGTATTATCCACAACTGGAATACTCTTTAAGAAGTATAGGAAGGATACAATTAATAAAATTATACTAAAGTTCTCCTGTATTTTTCAAACAGCTGGATAGCTGAATGTAACATCTTTGGGACAATATACTGGTTCTCAGAGGTACCTCCTCAGATTTTTATCCCTCTGGTCTGAAAAACGAAACCTAGAAACTCCAACAAAATGTATCTTTAAAGGACCACTCAATGAAGGGGTCTGGGTGCAGTGGCCCTGTCGTTTTAACCCTTCAATGTAAAACAAATGTGATATTGTGACTGCAACAGCTCACAACTGCCTGGGTAGAATGGTTCTAAAGTTTACATTTAAATAGACAATGTAGGCTCTATAACCACTTTATCTCATTGAAGTGGCTACCACTGAAGGTGTGGCTAAGAGATTACACACTTCCTTCTAGCTATACAGATTCATGTCTGAAAGGGCACTGTGATATGCTGAAAGTGTACACTCTCAGCCAATCACAGCTGCCCATTGCTGCTCAGTCTAATGCTTCTTCATTAGTCCGAATAGCACAGTTGGGATTGGCACCTATAACAGTAAAAGCAGTTGTTTGGAATCTGATTTCCATGTTCTGTTACATTATTGGAAAACAGATTTGTGGCAGAATAGAAATTTTCGATAAGCACTGCATTAAGCAGGTGCCACGTCCTCTTCTGTTATACTCCGCCGGTGTTAGCGTGTGTCTACTGACTTTTGGCAAATAAACCAACGCATTTTCTGAGATTTTTCAAGATTCCCATTTCCTTGCCCTTGAAATGGCTCTGTTACTTTGCAGTTTATCCTATTTATAGTTTGATAATTTTTTTGCCGCTCTATTTTTTCTTGGTTTTATTTTTAAAATGCACCTTAGACTTTTTTTTTCTCACAGGAAGTGTACTCTATAGGGGAATTTTGGCAATGAACTCAATAAGACTATTGTAGTCACCCAGACACTTTATCTCAGTGAAGACGTCTGGGTACAGTGATCTGGTTATGTGAACACTGGAATGTAAAACATTGCTGCTTTGTAGAAATGGTAATATTTATATTGTACAGGTAAATCCTTCTCTTGTGGCTATTACACTGTGTGGGAATAAAATGCTGCTGGTAGCAGCATTTGATTGGAGGAGTGAATGATTTTGCCGCGCATGGACTCTCTAATCCAATGTCTCTCATAGAGAAACATTGGATTTGACGAGATAGCGGGTGATATCAGCATGCTTGCTGACATCACCGGAGGCGGAGCTGGAGGCTGCAGGGGAGGAGTTCCAGCACAGGAAATGAAGTAAGTAAAATCTATTTAAGTCAATTTTTAGAGGCCAAAGGGGAGTGGACAGAAGAGAATCTTATAACGATTGTTATTTTCAGGACTATAGGTTCCCTTTAAGCAAAGTTCCATTTCAGTTGCTAAGCTAATTTACCAACAATCCATCTGTGAAAAGAATACCACAGAAGGGCAAGCTGCAGACTTCATGGGCAGATTAGAACAAAAGGCATCTAGGTATTAGGATATAGTGAAAGGAAAAAAAGATAATACATATAATTAAAGGCACATGGCATAATCATTATAGTACAAGGGGCATAAGGAAAGGAATGAAGACAACATTTCCAGAACAATATTTCCAGGTTTTGAAAGCTACTTTGGATATAGCCATTTAATTCCTAACAACCAAATGTAACAATATATATATATAAAACAAAAAACCTACCATTGGACCTGGTGGTCCTGAAGGGCCAGTAGAGCCATCTTTTCCTATCATTCCCTGTATGAAGAAGGAAAAAAACAAACAAACAAACAAAAAACAAGTCATTAGTCATTGCATAAGAACTTTCTAATTAACGGGACACTCCACTGCCCAAATACAAAATAAATCTGATTAGCAGAAACACCCCCAACAAAAACAAGCAAGTCTTTAATTACACATCTTTTCATTGGAGTTATATCTAAAAACAGCTGTCAAAAGCTGCAGATCTCTTGTCTGCAGCCTTTGCAAGCCCTCCTGTTCTAACCCCGCCCAGACTTTTTGTGGCTGTCCAATCACAGACTTCCCAGTGCAGCTCAATGAGAAGTCTTTGCAAGGCAGGATTCTATGAGCAATTGCTGCCGTTTGAGTTTAGCTTCACTGAGCTAACCAAACCAGGAAGCAACATAACCGGTTGTCTGATTGACAGCCAGGGGTGTAAGAAGTTTAATTTGTAAAAGTGCCAGTTCCTTTTAAAAAATATTTGTAAAATGAAAATAATCTTCACATATCAAGCAATTCAGTATCCCTTTAAATAAGTAACTTATATAAATGTAACTAGTAGATTTACTTGTCATATAAAATTGCATGTTCACCAGTAGATGGCAGCACAGCCATCCATGTCTTAGACTGGATAGAATTGAGAGAGAATACATTTGGAGAATGTTTGTAAAGACAATGGTGGAGAAAAGTTGTTTTAGATATGAGAAAAGGTTTAAAGACAGAGAAGATACATTTTAAATGTAATCCAGTTTTTGATGTATTATTGCCTATATGTCATAGCTTCAGTCCTACCGTCCTTAAATGTGGCATTTCCTATTTTGCTGTTGTACAGTTGTTAAATTCACGAATAGATGCGTCAGCTTTCTATGACAACTTCATTCATCAAAAACATGTAAGAAGCCACATGAGAAATAAAAGAAGCCAGTCCATGGTTTTTACCACCTTGTGCAAATAAATATTTTTTCATGAATGAAGCTAGCATCCAGTTCTACCAAACCATGCACAGCTTTCAGTAGAAGAATTCCTGGCCATTATTAGCCTGATTCATAATTCATAATAAATAGTTCACTACAGACAAGCTCATTGTCACACACACACACATGATCACTACTGGCAAGCTCACACACACATGCTCACTACAGAAAAGCTCACCAACACACACAAGTTCACTTACAGACAAGCTCACTGACACATATACACATGCTCACTACAGACAAGCTCATTGACACACACATGCTCACTACAAACTCACTGATTGACACAAACATGCTCACCACAGCCAAGCTCACTGACACACAGAACATGCTTACTACAGACAACCTCACTGACACACATGCTCACTACAGACAAGCCCACTACAGAAAATCTCGCTGACACACATGCTCACTACAGACAAACTCAGTGACACATACAAGCTTACTTACAGAGAAGCTGACTGACACGCTCACTGACACACACATGCTTACTACAGAAAAGCTAGCTGACATACACATGCATGATCACACGCATGATACTTACAGACAAGCTCGCATACACATAATCTCACTGACACACACATGCTCCCTACAGAAAAGCTCACTGACATACACACGCATGATCACTACAGACAAACTCACTGACATACACACAGCTCATAACAGACAAGCTCACTGACACATACACATGCTCACTGACACTCACTACAGACAAGCTCACTGACACACATGCTCACTACAGAAAAGCTCACTGACACACACACACACACACACAAGTTCACTACAGACAAGCTCATTGTCACACACGCATGATCACTACAGACAAGCTCAAACACACATGCTCGCTGCAGAAAAGCTCACCAACACACACAAGCATACTTACAGACAAGCTCACTGACACACACACATGGTCACTACAGAAAAGCTCACTGACACACACACACACTCACAAGTTCACCTACAGACAAGCTCATTGTCACACACAGTTGCTACAGACAAGCTTACACACACATTCTCACTGTAGGAAAGCTCACCAACACACACAAGCACACTTACAGACAAGCTCGCTTACCCGTAAGCTCACTGATACACATACTCATGCTCACTACAGACAAGCTCACTGACACACACATGCTAACTTAGAGACAAGATCACTGTCACACACACATGCTCACTTACAGGAATGCTCACTGACACACTTGCTCACTACAGACACACTCACTGGCACACACAGACAAGCTCACTGCAGACAAGCTAACTGACAGACATGTTCACTACAAACTCACTGACACACACACATACTCACTTACAGACAAGCTCACTGACACACACACACACATATAAGCTCACTAGCAGGCACACACACAGAGCATAAAGGGCAGAGCATAAAGGCACCGAATTGCTGGGGATTCAGAAGATAGCCTCACAGTGCTCCCTCCGGCCCCCTGGCAGCCTAAATGTGGCCGCACCAGCCCCCAGCACCTCCCTCCAGCCCCCAGCACCTCCCTATTTCTTTCCCTTGAACTGACACACAAGCTGTCACAGTCCAAGGGAAAATTATTTAAAAGGCCTCCCTTGTCCTTCCCTGTGGATGCCCATGTGGGTGGCTACACTGTCCTTTAAAGGACTTGAGGCTAAAGGAGAGTTGGCATGCAGTAGGGAGTTCCATAGGAAAGGGGCAGCCTTCAAAAAAATCCTGCAAATGAGAGGTGGCATTGCGGGAACAAGCAGTCATACGGAAAGTTGCTCACTGAGCAAATGGAAAGAAAAGTGCTATATTTGTTGAGGAAAGAGCAAATTTAGCGAGGAATGGAGTTACTGAGGGCTTTGTAGGTTTGAATTTAAATTGGATGCCAAAGGGTACAGGAAATTAATGTAATGATTGGCAATTAGGTGAGGGGTCAGAGTAGAAGTTAGTCGGGAAGATGAGCCTGGTGGAAGCATTTTTTACAGACTGACAAGGGGCAATGTGGGTGTTTGGAAGGCCGATGAGTAGTTGGTTGCAACAGTCAAGTTGGGTAATAATGAGTGCATGAACAAGTGCCTTAGTTGTATCTTGAGTTAGAAAAGATTGAATATGGGCAATATTTGTAAGGTGGAGGTTACAGGATTTGGTGACAGACTGGATGTGAGGAGAAAGGGAAAGGTAAGACCTGAGTCAAAAGTAACTGTTAGTCAATGAGCTAGAGGGGTTAGTGTAATTGGTGTCCTATTGAGGTGTAGGTAGACAAAGGTGTACTAATTGATCTGAGAAAAGATGAGGCGCTCAATTTTAGAAAGATTTTGTTTAATGACCATTATGTGTGTCAGAGATTGAGTCATTAGTCACTTTGGTAAGGCCAGTTTCAGTAGCAAGGAGAGAGCGGAAGACAAATTGAAGCAAGCTATGGAAAGTCCAAGATTGGTTGTATTGAGGGCTCACTCACAGCAGAATGCAGACATGATATCCTTTTTGTTATTTTTTTTTAAATTCTTTTAATTTTTTAATTCATTTTATTGAGTGGTTAATGCATTATATAATACAAGGCAAAATATGAGTCAGGGGGGAGGTATCAGGATTGTGGTAGTTCTCTGTGTGTCCTTCCATACTACTTCTAAACTAAACTCACAAGAAACCAGAAAACACTATTTGAAACTATAAACTAGATTTTAAACGTAAGCTACAGCCCATTCTGTGGGATACCACTTTTGTGTGGTTCAGTGGTATTTATAACCGTGATGCCAATTATGTTTAAGTGCACTAAGTTAGTGCCTCTAGTTCAAAGTCTAAGTCACTGAGTCCTGGACCCTGAATGGTACAAAGGGTGTTACATTAGAGACATCCCACTGATGAGTGGTCGGTGTTCTTGCTGGAGCTTCTACGCCCCCCAAAAGGCCAAGTGTTGCGAGGAAAGTGGAGGTGTCTGGTGGAGATGCTGCTGTGTATGTCTTCTCCTCACTGAGGACCAGCAGTGTGCGGGATGCAGACCAGCGATATGTCACTCCAGCTTCTTGCAGCTTCTTTGTTATTGGCTGCATAGCCTTTCTCCATAACAGTGTAGACCGGTTGACATCTTGAAAGAAAGTGAGATGGTGAGCTTCAAAGTCCAGAGGGGCCTTGTCCTGGAGAGCTTTTATGTGCCTTTGCTTGTCTGCAAAGGATTGACATTTAAGTATAATGTCTCTTGGCAAGCTTGCAGGGGAACGAGGAGATCTGTTGACCCTATAGATCCCATCTAGTAGGAGTAGTTTAGCCTGTCTGGCAGGTAGTACTGTGGATATCAGCCGTCTAAGAAAGTGTGGCAATTTCTCTGTGGACACTGCATCAGATACCCCACGGATTTTGATGTTTTGTCGCCAGCTTCTGTCTTCCAGAGTGTCCACTCTGTGGGTCAGGAAGGAGTGTGAGGTTTGCATTTGTTTAACAGTGTCTCCCAGTGCTGCCAGGTCTTACTTGAGATCATTCACATCTTCCTCAGTGGCCTGGATGCAGTCTGACTGCTTGGACCACAGTTTTTACCAGGGCAATGTCAGCATCAAATAACAGTCTGATTCTGTCATATAGGTCTGAGATGTCCTGTTTAGTCGCTGGTGTCAGCCTGTGGGTCTCACTTGTTGCGGCCAAAGTAGAGGGCTGACTGCTTTCAGGTCTGAACTCCATCACACTCCCTTCATCCTCATCAGAGGCCTCCCTGTTGGCAGAATGAGCTGAATGTTCCGCCGGTCTGGATCTTGTTCATTTGAGAAGTGCCCCAATATCTCTCGCCTCTTGAGGTGGTGCCATGTGTGGTTTCTGAGTCTTCCGACCCATAGTTACAGTGTTGGGGGCGCTCAGGTAGGGAGGTATGCATTCGCGCCAGTCAGCGAGCAGCTTGGCGTGGTTAGTTGCGGCCTTTAGGCTTCCTGGTCTAAGCCTCCTTCGGATCTTATAGGATGGCGCTCTGAATTGGAAGGGCATGAGTGGGATCTGCAGGAGTTCCCCCACTTGAGACAAACACTCTTAGGGTGTTTTCAGCCGGTAAGTTTTTGTTGAATTAGTGAGTTTGGTCACAGAGCTGTGAAATATGGTATCTGAGCTGTGGCTGTGCTAGGCCCCTCCCCCTCCCCCTTTTTTTTTACTTTTATCTATTTTATGTTTAAATTATGTATTTGTATATATGTAATGTATTCTTTTCATACTGTATTAGTAAAGAGGTAATCTCCACCTTGGAATGTACAGTATATATGTTAGCCAGAGGGGATATATTTAAGTCAATTTGTTCCTCACTGTCTGCCACTTATGTGGTTTAACTGTATTCTGGTACATAATTGTGGTTCAATAATTGAATGCCAGCTAGGAGTTTACTTAGGATAATGGATGCTATTTAATGAATGACCTTATACAGCAGAAATGCTACAACCATCCTGGTGGGGTCACATCCAGACGCCAGGTTTTTGGTTGGACAACGATGGTTCAATGGAGATATGTACAGTGATATGATGGAATTGAAAGCTCCGAAAGTACTGTGTCCAGCACAAAGAGGGTTAAAACAAGTATATTGGTATGTTTACAAGACAGTAAAGACTTAACATATGTGTCTACTTTTTATACATTCCTACAAGCACTAATCAGTGTTTGGCATGGTGTCTACAATTTTAGGTTGAAACAGAATTCAAAGTGTTTAGAAAACGTCATAAACAGCACAGCTGAGCTATCTAGAGGGATTGATTGTCAAATAAATAAGAGGCAGCCCTCGGATGGCGTGGGCTGAATAGGAGCAGATAAGATGATTTGCTACGTAACTGGAATACTTAAAGTGAATGTATCATGGAAACATGTGTAGTTATAAATGTATGTTAATATCATAAAGTCAAAAGCTCAACTCAATGTCAGTTGTATTCGGTTTAATTATTTTATTTCACAAAATAATTCATAATAACAATGTTTTTAACCAGGAAAGGTACATTCAGATTGCTCTGGTTTTCAACTACGTCCTAGGGATGTTACTTTTGCCCCACATCCTGGGGATGTTACAATTGCTCAATTTAATGGTACTTATTTTATCTACCTCGGAAGGATGAAGGGCTGAGTTGACCCTGCCTGGATTTGACCAGAATCACGTGTTGATGCCTTAGCCCACTGAGCTCTCTTACCGGGCGTTAATTGATGGCTTGCAAAATATTAAAGCAGCAGATTCTGACCCGAAAAAACAACTCTTCTTCCTAAGGCTTTTTTTTAGACTTTTCTGAAATCCTTATTTGCAACTTCTTCACTGAAACCAATGTTTACCTCAATCCCATTTCTTAATAGTCCTGGATCACCAAGTACACCCGGTATATATCTATATATTAAGCCCGAACCAACAAATATGTCACTTCTGATTGAGTTGCTCTCCCTTTAAATACCACTTTGTGTTTCTTCTGGGTTAACAGAGACAGTGTATGATGTCATATCTTGGCACTCTATCAGCCTTACACAGTACTAACACAAGGGGGCATAATAATAGAGATCTGGCCAAAAGACGAATCGATGTCCAGTGCCCCAGAATCGGACCTTATTGACTGGAATTACAATGACCTAATATCTTTAGTGTAGGTAGATTTAACGCATACTCAGCCGCAGCACATTCTCTAAAATTTTAGTTTCTTTGGTTACGAAAGGTGAGTTTGAAAAAGTGCACAAAATGCGTTAGGTGATTTGCTTTCATGTTTTTTTCTTTTTTGGTTTTTGTCTGTGAGTTGTTTTTGCAATACTTTTTAATTAGATTAATACATATTTGATCGGTTTTTACACTATTAGGTGAGCAGATTTCGTTTTTTCCCCACTAAGTGGTGTTCCTGGGAGCTTGTTAGCAGACGCCTGTTTCTCTTTTTTACATTTACAGTGGTACCTCGGTTTACGAATTTAATGCATTCTCCGGGACGTATTGTATTGCTAAAAATTTGTAAACCGAAACGTGGTTTCCCATGTGAATGCATTGAAAACCAATTAATCCATTCTGGAGGTCAGAAAAAAGTCAAAATGAGCTGGCATTACAACCAACCGACAATGTAGAACACACAGTAAAATGCATGCAAACGACAAATCTCAGCTCTCGGAGATGGAAGCAACTTTGGGGTTAAATGAAGAAATGTTTAACTCCTTGAGGTTGGAGTGAGCCTGGGGTTCTAATGGCACCATAACAACTTCATTTAGATGAAGTTGTTATGATGCCTTATGCTGCATAAACTGACCCTTTAACACAGGCTATTTGTGATTTCCAATGTTTTATTCATTGGTGGAAGTGAAAGTTACCCTTTAACTTGATTTACTAATCTTTCAGATCAGTTTATGAACTCTCATGGTTTACAAAAACATTTATTGCGATTTAAAGAGCAAGTATATTCTGCAGCCTTGTAAATCTCCTCTGAATCCAAAGAAACTCAGACTTTGCAGATCAACTGATATTCTTAACACACGACAGATTAGACAGACCATATGTGTAACAATTTTGTGCTTTGATTATGTTGCTACATCTTACCCTCGGTCCCGTTTCTCCATCACGCCCTGGAGATCCTGATGCTCCCGTAATACCCTGCGAAGAACGCAAACAGTCTCAGGTTATAGAAAGCATTGAATTTAACCTACAGAGATGAGAGGATACTTAATACACAAGCCCTGACAGGCCTCCCACGCTGCTGGCTATAGATTGTTCAGGCAGCCTCATGTATGCTTCCAGGAGTATTGATATAATACAGGTTTCTATTCTGTAAACTGCAGTATTACACCGAGGCTTCACAATGAGCCCACCATTATGTGCATTTCACAAACGTCTAATTTTAGAGTATGGTAAACCTATTTTGAAGAAAGAGTACAATTGCTCAAGCAATATAATACAAGGTGGGATTTTTTTTTTTTACCCTTTGGGCACGGTTTAGATAATAAGTAGAAATCCATTATCCCAGATGTGGGCAGGATGTCAGACAGATGTGTGAATGCATTGTTTTATTGTTCCCTAGAATTCCAGGTGTACAGCAATCACTGTATTCTGTGAGGTTTGTGGAAAGTTCAGATGTTAATTACCTGTGTCAATTATTATTATTTTTATTATTTTATTATTTTATAGCGCCAGCAAAATTCCGTAGCGCTGTACAATTAGGAATGTTTCCTCTCTTCACACTTCAAATGAAATAATGGGATCTACCACAAAAAAGGCTCAAGGCTTGTCTGTGAATTTTGGTAAATGTCTGCTTCACTTGTCACATTGTACTCAGAAATGAGAAGAGCCAGAACCTGCCTTCAGGCACCTGACCACTAGGGGGCGCTTGTTTTAAAAATGTATAATGTGCCTTTTTGAGCTTAAACAGGATGGAGCAGAGTAAAGTACCAGGAGTGTCCTTTGTAGTCCAGTCAGCCTTAATAGCAGAGTAATAGTGGGTGTAAAACTCCAGTGTCTGTTTGTGAGACGGGACAGGACGTGGAAAGGATCACTTCCCCTCTTACACAGGAAATGCCTTGCAGGAGGAGCAGGGGAAGCTTTATCTGATACACACTGTATAACCACTCTGGAAGTTCTAACAGTGGTGGAACTACCACCGGTGTGGCTGCTCCATGGCCCACATACTGAGGGGGCCCGTCAGGTGGCCCATGCACTTAGGCCCATGTTCTTAGATGTTTTTAGGATTGCAATTCCCAGTTAATATAATAAATCTATTTCATCTGCCTTATTTTGTAGTTGAGGAGTGTCTAAGAACTTTGTGCCTATAGGTGCTTGTTAAGTAAATCCAGCACTGGATATGAGTCAATTTGAAATAATTTTATATCCTAATGGCTCGTGTCTGGTTAAAAATGTTTACTGGAGTAATACTGTGGTGTTCCATTTATTCTGCTAAATATAACACTTTAACAGGACTGGACAAGTGTCAAAATGACATCCATTGAGACTCGAAGAAAAGAAATTTCAGCCACAGCAGAGGAAAATTAATCTTTATATTAAGAAAAATAAAATATGTAACTCTCATCTTAGAGTGCTTGTTTTGTCAAATTCAGCACATATCTTAAAAAATTTTGAGAATTAAAAAAAAAAAGTTATTTTGGCAAAAAAATAGAGGAAATTCCGGGTTATGATATGGATCTTATAGTGATGATATAGTAATCCAAAGAGCCGTAGTCACACCTCCCTTGGCTGTGATTCACACAGCCTCTATAAAAAAAAAAGTTTCATTGTCAAATCGACCTCCCAGCATAGTGTGTTTACTTTAGAAGTTTTTATCGTCTGCTTTGATAGGTACTACACTCAAGAGGCAATTAACAGAGCATAAGGCAAGAATTTCTAAATTAAACCTAATGTGCAATAACAAAAGTTTAACCTACTTTTCAGGAAATATTTAGCGAAACTGTATAAATCATGGCCAAGAAAGGTATAGCGATATAAACAAAGTTAGTCAACTCCTAAATGGCAGAGAATTGAACAGTGAGACTGCAAGGGCATGATCTAAGACCAAAACTGCTTCATTAAGCTAAAGTTGTTTTTTGTGCTTAGAAGGACCCTTTAAAGGAGTTGTCAGGCATTTGTTATCTTAACATTAATGAAGCAAACATCTCTTTTAGATGTCATTACTCTCTCAGTGCTATCTCTATAGCACCTTCATCATTGAACGTCTGTGCTGCACTACATCAAAGATTATTAGACAGAGTTGACTATATAGTGTTCCTATCAAAAACTCCATATAAGATCCTGGAAAAATGGAGATGATTTGTGGTTTGGTAATACATTCAAATACAAAGCAAAGCAAAACTTGATGTTAATGTGGCTTTAAAATTGTTTAATAAGGAATATAAATAACATTCAATAACATTCTAGAACATTAAGGGCTTTATTCACTTAAAGTGGCACTGTCATGCCGAACTTACCTTTCCTCAATCTCTTCCTCTTCTCCCCCTCTTTCAGGATCTGTTCTTCTTTTCTTCCTGTCTTCTTTAGTTTTCTTTAAAATCATAAGACAAGGTAGGGACTCTTTGCCTTATGGAGGTTTCCTCCGCTTGACCAGTTCTGACCAGCGGAGGAGCAAAGTGTGGTTCATTTCCGCTGGTCAGAGCAATTTTCCCATGATACTTACCTTTCCTCTGTGTTCCCATGACGCTTCCTGTCATTTTAGACGAAACTGACAAATTGCTATCTAACTGAATGAGAACAGTATGTTCGTTTCTTTTAGAACTCAATTCGGCACTTTGTTCGTATCGGAATTTCATTCGAATGAATGAAACTCCGATCCAATTCATGCTGTGGCTGCATCTTGCAACCGCTTAGTGGATAACTCCCTAATTCCCACGGTATCAGGGAGTTATCTACTAAAAGGCTGAAAGACCTAAATTGGTCTTTCAGCCACATTTACTAATACTAAGTAAAAATTACTTAGTATTAGTAAATGCTGCCCCTACTCACTATACTGTGGTTGCTCACTGTAAAAAAACAAAACAAAAAACCTATTGGCCCCCACCCCTGGGTGGCGGGTGGGGGCCATAATGATAATGAGGTGGGGGACCTACTGTCCCCTAGGTGGTGGGTGGGGGCCATAATGATAATGAGGGGGGAACCTATTGTCCTTCCCCCCATCCCACCCCTAGGTGGTGGGTGGGGGCAATAATGATAATGGGGGAGGGACCTACTGTCCTCCACCCCCGCCCCCACCCCTGGGCAGCAGGTGGGGGCCATAATGATAATAGGGGGGACCTACTGTCCTCCCCCCCGGCCCCGACCCCTGGGCGGCGGTTGGGGGCCATAATGATAATGAGGGGGGACACCTACTGTCCTCCCCCCCGTCCCCCACCCCCTAAGTCAAATTCCCCCCCACCATCAAAGGTGACTAGGGGACCCCAAGCCCCTAGTCACCCACCCCCCCACCCAAATAAAAAGGCCCCTACCTACCCCCTCACCCTAGTGAGGAGGCAATAAAATTACTTACCTGTAAAGTAAAATTAAACTTACCACTCGACGTCTTCTTTTTTCTAAAATCTTCATTTTTCAGCCCCAAAAAAGGCCAAATAAAAAACCATCATACCCGAGCGCAAAAAAAACCCCAGTGCAAAAAAAAAAACGACGAAAAAGAAAAAACCTGAGCGCAAAAAAATAATCCTTCTTCACCCATGGAGGGCTCCGCGCAGACTGAGCTCTACAGGGCGGGGGAAGGCTTATAAAGCCTTGCCCTGCCCTGCAATTAGGCTAAGAACACTCTGATTGGTGGGTTTAAGCCAATCAGAGTGCTCTTTGTCATTTTACACAGCGTGGGAAAATTGAAAAGAATTTTCCCACGCTGTGTAAAATGACACAGAGCACTGTGATTGGATGGCTTGAAATCCATCCAATCACAGTGCTCTGTCATTTTACACAGCGTAGGAAAATTCCAAAGAACTTTCCCACGCTGTGTAAAATGACACAGAGCACTGTGATTGGATGGATTTCAAGCCATCCAATCACAGTGCTCTGTGTCATTTTACACAGCATGCGAAAATTCCAAAGGTAGGGGCCTTTTTATTTGAGTGGGGGGGTGGGTGACTAGGGACTTGGGGACCCCTAGTCACCTTTGATGGGGGGGGATTTGACTTAGGGCCCCCACCCGCCGCCCAGGGTTGGGGGCCAGGGGGAGGACAGTAGGTCCCCCCCCATTATCATTATGGCCGTGCCCAGTGGTGGGGACCTGAGGGGGAGGACAGTAGGTCCAACCCCATTATTATTATGGTCCCCACCCACCGCCCAGGGGTGGGGGCGGGGGGAGGACAGTAGGTGTCACCCCATTATCATTATGGCCCCCACCCGCTGCCCAGGGGTGGAGGCCGGGGGGGAGGACAGTAGATCCTCCCCCCTCATTATCATTATGGCCCCCACCCGCCGCCCAGGGGTGGGGATGGGGGGAAGGACAGTAGGTCCCCCCCCTCATTATCATTATGGCCCCCACCCGCCGCCCAGGGGTGGGGCCTGGGGGTAGGACAGTAGGTCCTCCCCCCCATTATCATTATGGCCCCCACCCGCCACCCAGAGGTGGGGGCCTGGATGGAGGACAGTAGGTCCCCCCCCTCATTATCATTATGGCCCCCACCCGCCGCTCAAGGGTGGGGGCCGGGGGGGGAGGACAGTAGGTCCCCGTCCCTCCCATTGTAATTTATGGCCCCCACCCGCTGCTCAGGAGTGGAGGCCGGATAGTAGGGTTTTTTTTTACAGTGAGCAGCCACAGGCTGCTCACTCTTTAGTGGACATGCCCCTACTCACGGTATAGCGAGTAGGGGCATTGGGGAGATTTTAATCTCCCTTATGCTACTATGGGGGTCATATTGACCCCCATAGAGTGAGGGGGCACATGGGGGGCTTATGAAGTGGCGGGGAGCACTGCTCCCTGCCGCTTCTATCTTTACATATTACAAGGAGGGAGCTGCATGCCGGTAGCTCCCTCCTTGTAATAAACTCAATGAATAAACGAACACTGATACACAGTGTTTGTTTGTTCGTCTGACATTTCTATTCATTCATTCGTCCGTCTGATGAATGAATACATGAAATTCCCGTTCGCATGTCCAGGTGTTTCACTGGTCATGTGCGGGAATCTCACAGTCTGTGTAGTGTGGGCAGATGACGTGTCCCACAGGGACTTCCTCTACCCACATAAAGATGGTGGCGCTCTGAATAAAGATCGGGGCAGAAAATAAAGAATAAAAAATAGGTAATATGGGGGGCTTAGGGATGTAGTGGAGGCGGAAGGGGGGTTAAAAAAAAACGGGATTCGGCATGACAGTGCCGCTTTAAGTCCAAATTCTGGGGCACGGAAGACTGAATTGCAAAAGGTTGGCTTAAATAACCATGCCAACTTTAGTTGAGTCAATTTTTTCCAAATCACTACAAGTTAGTTAATTAAATAAACCATTCAGTTTACATCTTGCATCATAAGTCTTAATACCTGTTGTCCTGGAAACCCAGGTTCACCTTTTTCTCCTTTTGCACCCGGTGGACCCTACAAGTATTTAAACCAAAACAAATATTATTTGTCAGGTGCCATAAATAGTCATTACTACCAATTATATTGTCATCTGTACGTAAAAACATTACACAAAACAACATTTCTATAGATTTGTCATGCATTTAGGAGGTTGAGGAATGGTTCAAATAGATCAGCAAAAAAACAGGAAAACAACCAATCCATTCAGATAATTAATTTTGCATGAAAAAAGTATGTTTTGATTAGGACACAGGTATACGGTACTAAAAGTAACATTTCATGGCAATCTAGCAATAAACACTGCATTTCAGAGAAGGTAATGTGAACTAAAGAAGAAGCTAAACTTTTTAATTTTCTTTTTTATTTAAGAAAAATTCTCATTAAATTAAGATGCAGCTCAATCGGGGTAACACTTCACACCAGCACTTCCCACCGACTAACACACGATCTGTCCTTAGGTGAAAGTCTGTCGCTTTTACTGCAAAGATAACCCCTCTGTTTTTCCATGTAACTAATAGAGTTCAGCTTAATCAATGCAAATACAAAGATGCATGTTACGGTGCTAGTGCAGTAAGTGGGTGAAAAGGGGAGAAGATTAGGGGAAGGGGAAAAATTACATAAAAGTCCATTGTGAAATCTTCCCATTCTCTCTCTCACTCTATTTCTGTCTCTCTTTTCAAATATAGTAGAAATGGGCATTACATCAAGATATAAAGTAAGAGGGAGAGAAAGTGTGCAATATTTCAGACAGTATCATTTTGGAAAATGCAGTAGGTGTTATATAAATGAGATAAATAAACTGGCCATAAACCTGCTTCTGACAAATTGTAAAGAACAAAGGGAATTCTAAGTATTATGTGAGAATGTAGGCGTAATGCCCACACACAGTAAGTACAGTTACTTGGATAGCAACAAGCATCGGTACTATCCACTGGAGTCTGCATAGAGCCCACCCTCTTTCTCACTCTCTGGAAGCTAAAATAAAACTATGCTGCTTTGTTATGAACAAAATACTTGAATGGATAAAATGTCTATTTTACTCTGTCCATGTGTGCCCATTCAGTAAATGCTTCCCTTCCCCCTATCTGTGTGCTTAGTAACCATTTCCTCTGGAAACCCCTCTCATCCTGCTCCCCCCCACTCCCATCGAGCAAAACTCTCATGTAACAAAATGGAGATTCGCTGTGTTAAAGGAGCCGCTTCCCTTTCTAACCCCTCCCCGGCTTCCTTTATTCAAGTAACGTCTCTCTCAAGGACTTGCCACGTGTAATAAAATGATGCTGGGATACAAAGGAATGTCATGTGACGATGCTGGGATCACGCCCAGTGGGGTGGTTTCAGGAAAGACTCATTAGACTGTTAACCAATTGTTGAAAGTATACTTTGTGTTATCTGTGACTATGCATATGATGTATTTCTGCTTTATAAGGGAATCCCACCCCTTGGAATAAAGATTCCTGACGTCTTTCATGAACCAGAACCTTGTATCTGGTGTGAATTACTTTCTAGGAAAGCGTGCACGCATTTAATTAATCAATTTGGAAAGGAGTAGATAGACAAATAATCAAACACTTGATTTGATCTAAAACAGTCTGACCTAGAAGTGTTTTCAGGGATTCGTCATTTATAGTCTCTCTAGAGAGATGCACAATGGATGCGTAGGGCCCTAAATGAATTTGTAGTTTCCCTGCTGGATGAAGAAATTAAAGTGTACCATAGGAAAATGAAAGTGGGGCATTATAAACTAAATTTACTTTTTACTTTGGAAAGATAAATGATAGTTAGCTTCTCTGCACCTAGCGTTACGGAAAAATCAATAGCATTATTCAGTTAAGATAGTCAATACTATGCACATAGCAAAAGTAGCAGCTTTGTGTGAACTTAGCAAATAACATGGATATTACTGTCCTTTATATGTATATATACATATATATATATATATATATATATATAAATCAAAAGTTCTTTATGAATATTATTTTAAAATACAATATAAACGTTTTGTTGAACATACGGGTGGTCCCTGAATGGAATGTCCACTTGGTCCTTGCGGCCCAGGTGGCCCCTGAGGTCCCAGTGGTCCCAGTAGCCCTTGAGGTCCTTCTGGTCCCTGTTTAAAATAAAACACAGATGACAAAACAGAATTATAAACATGTAGATCAATCACAGAATGGCACACACCAGAGCAGTAGCAATGTACACATGTTTAATTTCTACACAGAATGAGACTACATGCAGCTTTTCACTATGTATACACAAACATTCCACATTTTTTCATCTATCGTTGAAGAGCCGGTCAAATACCAACACTCCTGGTGTTTTAAATAAGCCAAGGAAAGACTTCTCCTCCAATCAGCTCTTAAAGCAGCTCTATCGCGGCATAACACTATTTTTATGGCCCCACCCCCGGGGCAGTGTTGCAGAGTGTAGAGACACTGAACTTCCCCCATAGAGATGCATTGATGCACCACCTCCTTAGCATTCTTAGCCAATCTCATGTTTTCCTATGGGAAAGCATTGTGATTGGCTCAGATCATCACTTCTGATGATGTCAGCCAAGGGGCAGATCGAGGACAGAGCCAACACCAGAAAATGTTACTATATTTAGAGGGGCAAGAGGAGTCAGGAGGGCTAGATAGTGATTTTAACACTATAGGGTCAGAAATACATGTTTGTGTTCCTGACTCTACAGTGTTCTTTTAAGTTCCTTTACGTTTTGTCCAGATTTGTCAAGCGGAGGAACAATATATAACACAAAATAGTCCCTGTTTTGCCTTATGTATTTTGTGAGAAAAATATTGGAAATTAAAAAAAGAAGAACAGATTCAGAAAGAGGAGAGAAGAGGTATAAATAGAAGAAAGGTAAGTTTGGGTTGATAGAGCCGCTTTACCCTTCCTCGCTTATTCTTACCTTGTAGACTTCCACTGAGTAATTGCTCTAATTTCCTCTACTTACTCTGCTTCCATTTAATAACTCCCTCGTCCCTTAGACTCTTATTACCATAAATAAAACTTCAACTTTATATATATAACGTAACAAATAATTCTTCATTAGACCAGGCTGATTAGAGCACTAGATAAGCATGACATACAGCTGTTGAAAAAGATGGCGACTAGCATAGGTTGAAAAACAAAGCAACACCATGAAAGCTTTCACCACGGTTGTAAATAGAAAACACAGAATAAAAGACTTACGGGAGGTCCAGATTCCCCTTGTGATCCCTTAGGACCTCGCATTCCTGCACCACCCTAGAAATGAACAAAAAAAAAAAAACATTAACAATACAAAAAATGATACATATCATTGTACTTGGTTAAATTCCTTGAGATATTTTTAGATTCATGTAGTTCAAGCCATGATTCAAAATTCCATAATTATTCCATTTTGATGTGAATGATTGTACAAGCTTTGTATCCTTATATTGTTTGTGTTATGAGTCTTCTATGTTTTATTATCTATTTCACTCTGCAAAGGGTATGATCCTTTTGGAAAAGTAAAAGTTGGGATTTAGGTTTCAGTAACTGTGTTTAGGGCTAAAACACACGGGCTGATGGTTTTCAGAGTTTATTCAATGCAACTCAAGTCAGATACAGTTCCCACGAGCCCTGTAAAGGAGAGAAATTGTAGGCACAAGCGAGATCAGATATCTTCTCTATAACTTCTCGAGATAAAAAATAAACACTCTACTATGCAGAATTTGTGTAACAGCACAATAAATTTTACACTATACACACAATCAAACCCTCCTGATTCTACCAGTTACAGAGGAGCAAGACACTTCATACCGGAGGTCCTGGTGGTCCCTGGATCCCTTTACTATCTTGTGAGCATGAGCAGGTACTGGGAAGTGGTGGACAGGTTTCCTCGTTTCTCTAAAAAAAAAAATAAAAGAAACAAGATACTTAGTTTTTTCTACATACATGCAAAATAATGATAAAACTTAAAAGTACAGGGTGAAACTCATATTCCTTGGTTTTAATTAATATATAGCAGAATGTAGGAGGATATACCATTCTGTAACCTAACTAGTTTATTAATAGTATGCCATGAGCGCTTAGTCTTGTTTTGGATACATAATGTTTATAAAGTTAAGCCCTTGTTTTTACCATACATGACCATTAAGTACAATGTATACTGGATTCCTCTGAGCTATGCTTCCAGACAAAACAGCTCACCAGTGGGATTCTGTCATCTTGAAGTTAAGGACAGATGAAGTTCCAGGGTAGGAAGGGTTCCTCACAGGGAGCAACACCCAGATTTCCAATGACTCTCCCCCTCCCCTTCCCAAAAGAGTAGGATTGAGTGAAAGTGGGGGTGCAATATTTAACCACTATAACAAGCCAATCAGTACATTTTGAAAAACTAAAAAGTTGGTCAGGTTACTTGTATTCAGTGTTCATGCATCTTCACTCTTAAGCAATAATTTAACACAAATACACTTTACTCCTATCATCCCTAAAGCATTGGACTGGACCGTCGGAGAGGGGACCATGCCTCCTCAATGACATTGTAGGAGATGGAGAGGTGAGCAGCCCCAAGGGAGGATCTGCACTGGAAACAGGTAAGTAAATCATTTATTTAATTCATTTCAATGGCAAATCGAGGGGGGAACAACCTCAATATAACTAGGGATAGATGTGTGGAGTATGGATTGTAAGTATTTAATGTACACAGTTGTAATCAAAATTATTCAACCCCCATTCAAAATCAGGTTTATTGTCAAAATTTTCAGACTCTCGGCTGTTTGCAGTGAACAAATTAAACAAAAGCAATGAAATAGCTCAACACAATGAATGCTTCAAGTGGTTTCCCAAAATTCTACTGAAAATGCAACTTGTAATGACTTTGCCAGAATATCTGCACCACACAAACTCTATCTGGACATATCTGCTGCATATTAACTCTATCCTGTTTTATCCCAGTATTTTAAAGATACAGTATTTATTCGAGCCATTATCACCAGCTAGCTCCTGGATTCTATGCACCACAGTCTATGGTGCTATCTCTGCTATTGTCTGTATAGGTTTTTAGTGAATTCCTATATTTTCCAGTTTGAGCTGCTTCGGGTTAGTCCGACTCCCTCTTCTTTCTGTATATTCCATTCAGGAATATCAGTACTTTTATTTTTTATCAAAATTATTCAACGCCTTCATGGCAAGTATCTTTAGTACTTAGTAGAGCACCCTTTTGCTGTTATGACCTGCTGCAAACAATATGCATAGTAAGACACCAGCTACTGGCAGCATTCCTGAGTAATCTTAGCCCATTGCTCATGAGCAATGGCCTCCAGTTCAATACTATTCTTGGGTTTGTTATGGAGTTCAAGTCATTGCCACTGTAGAATATTCCAACACTTCTTCTGCAACCAAGCCCTGGTGGAATTTGAGGTATGTTTGGGATTGTTGTAGTGTTGGAAGGTCCAATGACGCCCAAGATTAAGCTTCCTCACAGACGGCATGACATTTTCTCCTAGGATATCTTGATACTTTAATTAATCAATCTTGCCTTCCACATGCTGCATGTTTCCAGTGCTACAGGATGCAAAGCAGCCATTGATAGCTTATTTTTTTCTGCTCCATGCAGGTAGTGTAACTACTCTAGGAACATTCAGTGCCTTCACTTTCTTTTTGTATTCTATTTGTATCCTGTTTCTTGTTTGTGAAGGGATATGATCTTTTCTCTTAACTTTGTGGACCATTCTTTTGACTTATTTCTAACATGCATTCAAACGCGACACTCAACAAACCCCTAGCCAGTTACGGTATTTTAAGTGTTCCAGCTCAAGCACACCTGGTACAACAAATGAAGCCCTTGATTAGTTTCATCAGGTGTTCTTGAGACAACACCTGTTTTGCATATTTGTGCTGTTGTGAGGGATTCTATTCAGGAGGTTGAATAACTTTGAGGCTGGAGGAATATTTATAGGTGCATTTTCATTTGAAGGCACTCATCCAATAAGGTTCATTTGATTCTGGAGGGGAAACTGCTTAAGAAAGTTTTTTCTTATCGACATGGGTTTTTACCATGCAAACATTGACATACTTCCATGGTGGGCACAAAAGGCATCTCAGAGTCACCAAAACCTGTGACTATGAGCCTATGGTGTGGCTGGATAGTTACACAACTCAAGTGAAAACCCTACCGCTTCAAACAGCCTCAGTGAAGCAGAAGGTTTTAATGTTGTTCCCCAGAAAGGGTTTACGTGCAATCCAGGAATGCAGATTGGTTTGATTTAATTTGACAAGTAAACTATATTTCACTACCCAAGGCTGTCATACAAATGTGATTAAACCCCTTTAGTTATTTGTAATCTGCCATAGGCCTCAATTTAATATTGTTGGATACGCTTTTCAAATTATTTAATTTTTCTTGATAAGCTTTCAAAATAATTGTTTTCAAAACCTTAAAATAGCAAAATACATATATAATATAAAAACATGTATCATTATATTTTTTAAAAATCACAAAAACTAAATATTTTTCACAACATTAAATCGTTTTTAAAAGGTTATGTAGAAATATTAAATAATTTGTCGAAAACAAATATTAAATAAATATTAAATCAAGGCCCTAGTTATCAAAGGGTTACTAATACTTAACATATTTATTTTAGTATTGAAGTTCTGTCTTTCTACTTTCCCAGGACTCCATGTACTGAACTTTATATAACCAAATAATTCTTTCCACTTTCTGAAATACTGTTAGCAATGTTCCAGACATTTTTTTGTCTGTGCAATATTCCAAGATTTGATGCTTTTGCATGGCACTCCACAGTGTGACAGTCATAAAAATATTATTTAGTAGTAGGGCCAATGTAAAGAAGCTCTGAGAGTTAATTAGCTATTATATTAGCCAATTTTACTACTTTTTTCGTTAAAATTTAAGAAATAATTTAAGTTCTCACCAATGCAGGAAGCTCACAGCATTTATCTCGACTCGCCCAAGATGTTGTGCAAACAATATCAAACATTTGTAGTTGGAACTAAAGTTAAAACAGAAAGACACAATTTAAGATATACAACGTAAAAGCCATGAATACAATACAATGAAGAAATATAGATATTTAATCAGTACATGTGTATTCTGATTTAGTAGATCCTGTCAATGCCAAATATTTTTATTTTTTTCTCTGTGAGGAACATTGGATTGGACTATGAACAGAAGAAGTCATGCCTCCTCTATGATGTCACGGGAGGCGGAGAGAGGTGAGCACCACCGAGAGAGCCTTGGCACTGGGAAAAGGTAAGTGAATTATTTATTTTATTAACTTTTATGGCAAGTGAGAAGTGGTCCTTGATACTAGTAAAAGGGGCACTACAGGTTTGTATTAATAACGTTATAGTGTTTCAGTAAGATAGTATTTATATTTAGTATTCCTTTCACACTACCGTTGATGCCATCCATTCTTAGCAGACAAAAACATTTTTCAATGAGTGGGCAGTGCCAATATTACGCAGCAGTCTAGAAAATAATAGGGGTGAGGGGGAGATCAGACTTCCTCTAGCTATATAATAAAGTCTTTAGACTTTATAAAATCTTCAGAAGCTGTAATTGTGTTGTGCTTGTTGATGGAATGTGTCCATTTCTTGGTTGTTGATTTTTTGACAATCTCTCTTTATTTGTAATGACTTTCATAATAATTGTTACCAAAAAGCAAAACACGTACAATGCTCCTTCTGTCCATTATGCCTCTAATCATCAATTATTTATTTTCTATCCGGTGGGTTGCAGCCATACTTGTTTTAACATATTGTGAATCTTACACGGTTAGAAAGATAGCAGAAACTAATACATGTAAATTAATTGCCCAACAAACAACATGAATTGTAGGAATTTTTTGAGTGGGTTTTCCAGTGAAAGGCATTATTGTACTCAGAATGTCAACAAGCTTCAAGCAATCTCCAGAAAGCTGTCCAAATAAAACCCATAATATTTCATATTAATACATGCTGCATGGTTAACTCCTGTAGCCATATCCCTCTAATATACAATATATTGGGGGTTTTGTTGCTGGTTAATTGTGTTTCCGCCAGTGTGAATTGATGGGTTCCCTGAATATTCTACAGATGACAGTCAGTCAGTCTAACCGTATGGATCTCTGGCAACAGCTTGATGCACTGCTCAGAGGAGAATCAGTGGCAGCAGACTCAGTGGCAGCAGACTGGTATGCACTGCTTAGAGGAGGATCATCAGTGGCAGCAGACTGGTATGCACTGCTTAGAGGAGGATCAGTGGCAGCAGACTGGTATGCAGTGCTTAGAGGAGGATCAGTGGCAGCAGACTGGTATGCACTGCTTAGAGGAGAATCAGTGGCAGCAGCCTGGTATGCACTGCTTAGAGGAGAATCAGTGGAAGCAGCCTGGTATGCACTGCTTAGAGGAGGATCAGTGGCAGCAGACTGGTATGCACTGCTTAGAGGAGGATCAGTGGCAGCAGACTGGTATGCACTGCTTAGAGGAGGATCAGTGGCAGCAGCCTGGTATGCACTGCTTAGAGGAGGATCAGTGGCAGCAGACTGGTATGCACTGCTTAGAGGAGGATCAGTGGCAGCAGACTGGTATGCACTGCTTAGAGGAGGATCAGTGGCAGCAGCCTGGTATGCACTGCTTAGAGGAGGATCAGTGGCAGCAGGCTGGTATGCACTGCTTAGAGGAGGATCAGTGGCAGCAGTATTTTTTTACTAGTGACTAAATTCACAATTATGTAATGTGTTTTGCAACATTTTATGCTGCAACATATGAACATGCTATTTCCATCCTTGCCCCCCTGTCGCATTAATGTCACTTACTGGGGCTGAGTTATCCTTTGGTCCTCTCGACCTGACCATTCTACCCAGAACTTCCAAGCCATCCGTTGTAATGTTTCCCGCCGTATTTATTGGCTTCTCTGCTATCTGTTTGCAGTCAATCACTAGTTTTGTGCTGGTTGCTGTAACAACGATGTGAACCTGCAATAAAAAATAACGAAGACTAATTGTTTTGGAATAGTTACACAGCTCATTAAAATACATCTAGTGCAGACACGTGTCACCTCTGACCTCGATATGACGGCAGGTTAATAATTTACAGACATATAACCCCAAAAACATCTAATGTACTGAAGTTAGAAAGCCCTAGTAATAAAGAATACACATACTATGAAAAAAAAGAAAGCTAAGTGGGGATTTGTGGGGATTTGTAGAACAATTGTTTAAAAAGAAAATATCATGGAGGGATATATAATAAAAAGAAATTAAAAAAAAGAAATGGAGTAATGTGAATAAACATATAGATAAATAATTATATACAATAATACAGGGGGGCCCAAAGGTAGACCCCCAGCTGTTTTAAACCTACAGCTTCCATGATACTTTGTGATTCTAAAGGCATTCTAAAGACATGCAAAGCTTCATGGGAATTCTCGTTTTACAACATCTGGGGATCTACCTTTTGGGCACACCTTCAATAATACATAAAAAATCAGATGCTATATACACACATGCATAATATTATCAATAATTGCCATGGGGTTATTCACAAATCGCTGAATTTTCAAATTGCAAAATGTAGTCAAACAGAGACAAGTTGAAAAAAAAACCTTTTCATCATTCCTTCATTTGGTCCAGTTATTTTCTGTACACTTTTACCTTGATTATCTGTTTTATGAATACACCCCTTAAGAGTTTAGATGAAATTAAGAACACCTCAAATCTATCATTTTTAACCTTCTATACATCTCAGTTGTTGCCATTGTCTTAAAAGAAGTCAGATAGAAACCCTCCCAATTTAAAATAATACCCAATGCTGCCAAGAACAGGGAATTCGATTCTTTAATGACTTCAAGATTGCAAAGATTTGGCCAATATTAAAGGCATTTCTTCAGTGTCACATTTCAACCTCTTTCAGAAATGAACGAACGCTTTATTTACTTTATTCTTACTAAATGTGGTATCTCCTTTTCTCAAGTCTCACTGGTTGTTGTACAGTTCTGCCAATGAACAGTTTATCAAAGAGCTATATTTGTTGACTTTGCATTTATGTGACATAATTTATGTAGCACCGTATCAATACATTCATTTTGTAGGATAAACAAATGCAATTCTAAATTTAAAATATTTTTACTTGAGTTTCCTATTGTTTATTTTGAGAAATTCTGCCTAAAATGATACTGTTTTTTCAAGATGGGATTTCACTGATTTATAAAGAAGCAAAATTGCATTTTTTTTCCTGTAGGTAAACAGTTTGGATGTTTTTAATAATTTGTGGCTGTTTTTAACACATTGGTGCTTTTCTTTATTAACAAATTCTGAACTGTGGCATCTAAACCGAAATATACCCCGAATGGAACACTTAGGTATTCGACTTTCTAGAAGTTATAAAAGCAGAACTTGCAATGTTGTATAAAATACCTCATATCACATTGATGGAAAATCATTATATCTATATATACATATTGGGATTTCAGAAATGGAACTGTAATATTTTGTCTTCCATTTTATTTCGAGACTGTATCTTGCTGAGACATTTTTCCATTTCCTTAGGTTTTGTTACAATGATCTCAGACGGATCTTTGGAAATGCTGCATTGGTTAATTGAATCTGAGGTGGTTTAACAATCAATATAATTTTGGAATCCATGAAGAGACAGTTTATATTTGGCTGAAATGTCACATTTTTGAGAAAGACAAAAAGAAGAATTCTTGGCTGCTGTGAAATTTATAAAAATGTTTTGGATGAAAACTAACCTTGTGAAAGCTTCCGTAAAATATTTTCCTAATTTCGGGCCCATCAAAAGTGATTGTTTGAAATTGTGCGTTAAGGTCGTAGTTAAAGTAAGTTAGAGTTTTTCCACTATCTGCACAAAGATATTGTTAAAGGTAAATACAAATAATGAGAATAAGCAATCGCATATGATTCATTTAAAACCTTATCAAAACACATACAACAAAATAGGAGTGAGAAAGTCAGTATAAAATAAATGATCAATTTAACAATCAAATTTCTTAAAATAAATAGATATTCATTAAATAAACTGATTTTAAAAAATAGCTACTAATATAAATTATTGATATAATAGGAAACTGATATAATATTGCATAATTTCTTAATGAAGTTATTTTTATTTTTACAGAATAAACGAGACAGAGCAGATGTTATGGGTAAGGAATTTTTCCGTGACAACAGGTATTTTTTCCTGTAAAATTAATTAGAATGTGACACAAAATCACATTGTTTTGTCTGCAAAATGTGTTCATGCCGTGTGGTTTCTGGAATTTAAGATATTTTACAACAAACCATTTTCATAGGTATTTACAAAAATAATCCAACTCGGCTATTGTTCAAAGTTAATTATTTTGACTTTAAATTTGTGATTCTTGTGTTAATTCTCCACGTTGTCCAGTTAGTGAACTCCGCAGTGGGTAATAATAGCAAGGGATTGATTAGCTGAGCATTGGCAGACTAGAAGTTGCAACGTTTATCTATATAAGCAGATTGCAGGAAAACAGTAGAGTTAAGATGTGATCAGAAGAGTCAGTTAGGAATCTAAGTAAATGTGGGGAGATGTTAATAATTATCTGCAGTATAGTGTGTTAGCACAACCAAAAGTTTGTTTCTAATATCAAATACAAAATACGTACTATCAAGTATAACGCCAACCAATGGTTCGTAATCCTTGTTTAGAATTTCCCACAGAGCAAACGGTTCTTTTGGTGTGTCTGGAAGTATTCGAAATAGGAAGGAAATTGTGTAGTCCGAAGGTAGTCCCTCTGGATGAATGAATCTGTGACATAGGAAGGTCCAGTTTTATAAGAGAGTTTTAAGAAACGGGAGCTGAGGGGAGGACTGCCAAATGGAAATGGCCTCAATTTATCCTTAGACTAATCTGATTTGGAAAGTGTGGACTGCCTGTTTTTTGGGGGGTTTTGTTTTTCTCATTGGATTTTTCAGTCCCAATTTTTTTCAGTAAGAATCTGCTATATCACTGGGTCATCTGGCTAGGAAAACCACCAGCAATTATTTATTTAGTTTTAAAATGTTTTACCAGGAAGGATGCAGTTCACATTTTGTAAGTTTACTTTGGAGACTACATCTTTACACATTGTTAAACATAAAATAGGATATACATACACAGAATAATGGTTTCACATCCGATAGATGAAAAATTATAAATTAACAAGCAGTAACAAACTGCTGCTACAGTGTGTTTGTTGTACAATTATATATATGTTAACACTGAGAACCAACAATAGCTCAGTAGTTAGTGCTGTAACTGTGGTACCTGTGTAAACCTCTGTAAATGATCACATTTAAATAATAGTATCTCATCTTAAATCATACTTCAAAAACAGCAACATACATAATTTCTAGTTAAACAATTGTTGTTGTTACAATTGCATCTACCTTGGCTTCATCAAGTTATTTTCAACAAATCTGATGGTTTTTTTTGTTTGGTGAACTTGTCATAAGAGAAATCTGTAATGTTAATGGGGATGAAACAACGTCTATGGTCCCCATTAAATCTCCATTTAGAAATGTCACTCCATCTGAATCCAATTACAAAATATTTTATCCATGCTACTTACCCTTATGCTTTCTTATTCTCCCTCCATGCTAAGCTCCTAAATATTCCATTCTCTCATATACAGCCTTCTCAAATTACCCTCCATCTGTGCCATTTTACCATTCCCGTGTACCTGGCCATATACAAGTAATAGTGATGTTTTCCTTTCTCAGACACAATATTGTCATCCTACCCTCCCTCCATGAAGGCTGATGCTCTTATCTAATACTTCCTGAATATCTGGCCAGTTAAGCCAGCTTCCTGCATGACCAGAGCCCTTATATTTCTCTCCCTCTGTGTCAAATTCCTTTTATCTTGACCCTTTATGCGTGGTCATTCCATTATCCTCCATTCTTTTTACACTATGGCCCTTATCTCTCTCTCGATGCCAGTAGATTATCCTTCCTATCTAGATAAGGTCTCATTAGAGGCTTAGTATTGGTACAATGTGTTTTTGACTATATGATATCAGGACATGGCCACAACATTAGTTAATATGAGCCACCGCCCTCTTGCTTGCACTGACGTCATGTAGACTTCACTTTTAAATTTGCACCCAGGTTGTTGGATGCTCAACTGTGTGGGAGAAAAGCAAACCTTAAGATAGCAGAAAAATGGCGAGCATTTTTGGGCCCCATGAAAGCTTGGACACTGGGCAATGACCCATTTTACTTTGTATTATAGGTGGCTCTTCTCATGAATCAATTTATTTTATATAAATCCATCATTTTCATATACATAATTTTCTTTGCCATAAATTAGTTCCATTATAACTTGCTTATTTTGGTACATACTTGGTAGGCTGTGAAACCAGTGCGTCTTTGTGTAGTCTATAACAGGGGAAGTTATTGAACGTTCCGGGTTCCATGGAGACTCCTTCCATAGCTGCATATTCCTTCTCCACCAGACCAAACACATTCATCATTTTAAATCCTGCAATATACCGTACAGTACACTATGTTATTTCATAATTCAATGTTTTTTGTCAAATTATTAATATTATACAAACAACACACCTTCACTTGCATATCATGTGCAGGCCTTCAAATAAAAATTATAGCTGATACCTATTCAATATAGTAAAATGCTCTAAAAACTTGTTTTGTTTTATTTGTTATGTTATCTTGTTCAGGAGCAAAACCACACCACAAAAACATGGTTAAAATGTGTTTATTATATTAGGTGAATGATTGTAGCTTAGGTACTTTAATTTTCCTTTTCAAATTAATCAAATTTAGATTTTTGTGATGGTTTGCGCATCATTGAACAGTCACTCTAAGCACAATAACCCCTGAATTATTGCAGTGGTTGTGGTGCCTGTACTCCTGTCACATAGAGCCATTGTTGATTCAGCTTCTGATAGGGTTAATGGTGATTCACTATGGCAGAATCTCATCTATCCAGATAAATATTTTAGATGCGTAAAGAGGAAGGCGAACCTTCTACGTATGACACCCTAAACTGTGTTGGAGGCTAATCGTTGTTGGTAGATCAACCAGTTTTTGTAAAACCACTTAAAACAGTTTGATCAAAACTGAAGGGACTGCATCCAATACTTATTAAGTGGTTATGGTGCATAGTGTCACTGCTGTCTTAGAACATTTATTGTAAATTTTATGGTGAACAGGGGTGACATGGCTGTATTAGGCAAGTTGTTAGTTGATTAATAGTGTCAGGATCCTATCCTGACAACCAAACATTTATTCTCAGCTGTTTTATTTACTCCAAGACCCGTTTTCCACCATTAGTGGCCTCCATAACCACTAGTCTAAGCTCAGTCTCTTACACCTGAAGCAGATGATCGTCTGAATGGTGCTATAAGAGGCCACACCAAAGGGCCTTTACATTTATAGTTGTTTATGGTCTAATACAGACAAAATATCTGTTCCTGGCTCATTCTGATACCTAAGAACCTGCTTAAATCTGATTACCTTTGATCCATCCTGATTCATTTATGCACCTGCTTTATTTCAGACTGGACTTTGTTTCCTAATTATTTCTTATTGCTTTGGACCTAACCTGCCTGGACTTTACAAACTTTCCTATTAATTGCAACTCTCCTGGATAACCCTGTTCCACCTATCTGGTAACTGCTGCACAAGCTCCGAACTAACCTGAATTCCTTAAGCCTTTATTGTGTTCTGTTTATTTCTGTCCTGTTATATTATGTTTACCTGTTACCTATCATTTCTCTTATAGATTTCCTGTAAACCTGGTTTGGGGCATGTTGCCTAAACTTCTATTTCTTTAACTACTCTTTCTTACTTACCTGTAATTGTATTTATAGGTTCTTCTTCTTCTTCTTTCAGCCTATAATCCCATTTATAGGTTCTCCTGCTTTCAGCCTATAATCCCATTTATAGGTTCTTCTTCTTTCAGCCTATAATTCCATCTATAGGTTCTTCTGCTTTCAGCCTATAATCCCATTTATAGGTTCTCCTGCTTCCATTTATAGGTTCTCCTGCTTTCAGCCTATAATCCCATTTATAGGTTCTCCTTCTTTCAGCCTATAATTCCATTTATAGGTTCTCCTGCTTTCAGCCTATAATCCCATTTATAGGTTCTCCTGCTTTCAGCCTATAATTCCATTTATAGGTTCTCCTGCTTTCAGCCTATAATTCCATTTATAGGTTCTCCTGCTTTCAGCCTATAATCCCATTTATAGGTTCTTCTGCTTTCAGCCTATAATTCCATTTATAGGTTCTCCTCCTTTCTCTTAGCCTATAATTTCTCTTATAGGTTTTCCTCTAATTTTGATACCTGTAATCTCATTTATAGGTTCTGATACTTTTATTGTTACCTTGTCTAAACATGCCAGAGATTCAAAATAAAGAAGCTCAAGTCAACCCCAGCATAAGTCTATCTGACCTGTACAAGAATGACAAATAGATTTCAGTAACAGACTACAACCTACATGCCTTATCTATAATAGCGTATAAAGAATCTATAACACAAGAACAAGATATGCACGAAACTCATCACAAACAACAAATCAAATGTCATTCTCATTATTTTAAATAAAATCATCAGAGAACTGTAGACAACCATACCTGACGCACTCTGGCCTTGAATGAACATCAACGGACAAGCTAAGGGAAGAATAAGGAGTACAATTTTAGAAAATCTACACATGCATTTTCCGTTAACATTTTCATTTTTTTTTTACATGTTTGAAAAGCTCTTATCTCGTATACACCTGTAAGACCAATTTAGCAGCAAGCCATATCTTCTAGAAAGACATTTTAAAGTAAGTAAATAACCGAGAGCCAGAAAATGACGTCATTCCAGCTCCGTGTGGGAAGGAACAGAGCCAGAAGATAACAGCTTCCTCGCTCCTCCTTTCTCCACTGGACCCCAGGGAAATAATCCATTCTGCCAAAGTTAGGGAGGCTGAGTGGATTTAAATTAAAGTTAAAAAAATAATAATAATTTGTGAGTATATGAGAAAATGTGTGGGAGTGTAAGTGAGTCAGTTTCTGTGTGTCTCTGTCAGTATGTATGTGTGTTTCTATCAGTGTGTATTTTATACTTTCTATATTGCATTAAAAAGTCATGCACATGTGTACTGGGGATACCAACCTGCAGTGCTCCTTTACCTAAAAATTAATGTCCACCAGCCTTACTTTAGCACAGAGTTCGGTGGACTTTGCCACTCCAGATGTAGTGGACTACATTCCCCATAATGCTTTTACTGCTCTTACAACATCTGGAGTGCAAAAGGTTGCATAAGCCTGGTTTAGTACATACCCACCATTTTGTATCATTTCCTCCTACAGCACCAAACAGGTTTATCAAAATCAATACACATAAGTGGAGTAAATCGAAAACCAAATTGCAAAATGTAGTCAAAAACAAGACATCTGACAAAAATCTGCAATTTACTTTTCATTCCACTGTAATTGGGTACTTAGTGAACAAACCCCACAGTGTCTCTTTTTTTGGTTTTGTGCTTATTACGCATGCATATATTTTGTCCCAATAAATTCGTTTTTACATTTCTATTTTAAGGGATAAATTGTTCAACTGACAAGACAGATCTGACTGGAATTTAGTCGAATGAGCGCGTTAATCAATGCAAACATTCCTTTGTAGAATTGTTTCTTTGTGCAATACTGACACTTTACATGCAAACCAAGAGAACGGCTTTATTTATTCGTTACATAATACGTTAAATATTGAATACCACTCTTGGCAATTAAAGCTGATTTACCTCCTTCAATTTCTCTAACTTTGCTACATTTCCATCTTCACTAGTTTGGCCTAAATATTGATAACTGCTATAGGTTCTCTGTGAGATGGCATGAGAGGGCAAAAACATTTTTGAGATCTGAGCAGGGATTTACAGAAAGGCATGCTATGGAGGTTTCTTAGAGATTTTGCATGGTCTCATATTTTCTGTTTATGTTCCAATGCTTTTACTTAGGTTCTCCCTGAGTAAAAAGGGTAATGCAGATTTGGACCCCGTGCTCACCTTCAGGGGTATCAGATACACTGCGCTGACGAGGTTTCTGTGAGAGTTTGCCCATTGTGAGAGCTCTCATATTCTCTGTTTTTGTTGCTAAATATAGCAAATAAAATTTTCAGGTAATGGCAACACACTGTTCAGTGAATAGACCCCAAAGTATTTACCAACAGGGTTATTCAATGAAGTCCATTCGGAATGCAAGACAATGTTCCTGGAATTTGACAATGTCTGGATTTTGTAATTCACGCCCCGAACAGAATGGATTTATATTTGGTCAGGATTTCAGCTGGATTGAACGCTGACGAACGGCCTAAATCCGAACCAAATGCTGTAAATCAGAGCCTGGAACCGAAAATAAAATAAAATCTGAACTATTTGCTCACAGGCAGCTCAAGCCGCCAGGGGGAAAATAGTTAGAAAACCCTCGGCGGAGTGGGGATCAATTATGTGTCAGCCGGCCAGCACTTGCCGCCACATTAAAAAAGTAAAAAGAATAAAAATCAATAAACTTTCTATGGGGGTCCTATTAAGATCCCCCTCATCACCTGTGGGTTGGAGCCAGGGGGAGAACACTTGGTCCTCCTCCATTAATATTAGAGTAACCACACACAATTCCTGTGTGTGGGGCCATGAGGGGGACTATGCAGCCCTCCCCCCCCTCGAGTTATTTTAGGATGATACCTTTTCTAGTGACAGGGAGCAAGGAATAGAGACTGTAGTAAAATGGGGGTCTTCTTGACCCCTATAGGATTTTAATTATTTTTGTAACCTTTTGTAATGTGGCGGCTGGCAAGTTGCTAGCGCTGTCAGCATGCAAATAGTTAATCAAATTATTAATTCACTTGCTAAAGCATGTGCCCATAGAAGAAGACCTTTTTTAGGTTGAAGAGAGTATAAGAGACTATTTGTCACAAGGTATGATATAGCCAGCGGTGATCATTTCTTATGCACTTTAGGATATATCCCTTATTTTAATTTATTGCCACACTGTGTACTTTTGGCATATGTCCTTGTTCATATATATATAGCTAATTTTTATGTCAATATAATTTTGTTGTATATTCTCAATAAATTAAATTTTTACACACTGGATCAACTCTGGATCAGCTATTATTTCGTTGTGCCTGCATAGGCACCATTAGGTTTGACATACAGAGCCTGGTATGGCTCTGCATTATGTGAGTTAGATTCCAGCAATTATTTGACTGTTTCTGCTTTTACTCTATTACATTATGTATTTTTATATGTTTTTTTCTTAGGTACCTATTTGTGTCATATGGAATCTTGCTGTTAAGCCTTTAAGTATATATTTGTAGTGTGAAACACTGTGGTGTGTTATTGGTGCTTTGTTATGTATTAGTATATTGGTGGGGGACACTTTGTACCTATATCTCACACTAGATATCTCTAAAAGTGCCAAGACACTTTACTTGTGTTTTTCTTTAGTTGGAATTGTTCGATGCAAGGGCACGAATGATCCTGGAAGTTTATCAATATACAGAGATTATTATCTATACATTTGTCCGTCAGTTGGTTTGTGGTTGGTACAATGTATATCTAGGATTCACAGCGCTAATATTTGTCATGACAAAGTCCCTTTAACCATCAGTGCCTGCGGGATCTACCCTTATGTCATTCAAAAGTTAGTTTTTAACAGCACGAGAAAATACGAGCGGAAAAACTGCTACTAACTTGCTGTGGCTGTCTCACAAACAAAGGTGATCAGTTCATCTTCGATTTTCTTGAAACCATCAAAGTCATCGACGAAGAAAACATGCCTCTCGCTGGGCTTGCTGCCGATGTTAACTAGCTCTGCGTAGTCTGCATCTGCTACACCAATGGCAAAAATACTGGAGCCTAGAATGAAGATAAAATACATAACATTAACACTGTCATTGCAGAATGGAGTTACAGAAATAATTATTCTTCTCCCTGTGAATATAAGCAGGTTTGTTTTATCGGATTAATGGTTTCTCTGGCTTAACACATGTCCCTTTGTGTGATAGTGATTCCTTACCTTCCATTTGTAAATCTTTGGCAAATTGGTTTACTTCGTCTTGAGAACGTCCATCTGTGATCACCACCAGTACTTTCGGAACACCTTTTCTCATACCAGATTCATGAGTAAGCAAGTCATCTCGAACGTGCTTAATGGCTCTCCCTGTAAAATAAGATTTCAAAAAGAATTCTGTTTATTTTTTGAAAATGGTCATGAGTAAAAGTAAAGATTTTTTTTCTGTGTCTTTGTGTGAGGGGCAGAAGGGAGACCAGTCTTACTATAGAAAAGCAGCGCTGAGTTAAATATAAGTTCTCCATCCACATTAGAATGTACGAAACAAAGTACGAAAAATAAAGAAATCAAGAAAGAGCAGCTAGATGCTAAATGTGCACAGGGAGTGCTTCATACAATTTATTTGAAAGACCAAAAAGAAGCAAACTTTTAGGGTTTCCTCTTTGTCAATGCCGAAAGAACAATTTTGCATTGACAAAGGGGAAATCCAAAATGTTTGAAATATACAGATGTAGCACATGTAACAATATTTTAAAAGTTTGTAGTTGCTAACTACACAATAAAAAAAATTGTCAGAAAATACTATAAACAACAGTGACAGTGTTAATCTAATGAAGATTGTAAATGTAATTAAATAAAAGCTGGGAAATAAAACAGAACATGTCATTTACAGAAAAGCAGGGATTATATCTTATCTCTTGCCAAGTTTAGACATCTCTTCTTTCTATGTTTCCTTTATCTGATCTAGAAATAGATGAATGAAGCAGGAGGAGAACGTGTGGGATGTTTATTAATCACCTGTTTTCGTGTTTCCACCCTTGTACGCAATCTGCCGAATCGCGCCCAGAAGGGATTCTTTGGAAGTGTACGAATTTAGTTTAAACTCTGTCCTTGCATCATCACTAAATTGAGCAATTGCAACCTGGAAATAGAAAATAACAAAACATATATTTATCAGAGTTATTCTGTAACCAGGAATTCAAAGTGAATTTCAAATGTTTCCAGGAATTCAAAGTAAATTTCAAATTTTAAAGCAAAAAACAGGAACTGAAAACATAGCTAACGTGGATGGTATTCCAGTTCGACTATTGTAACCTAAAATTTGAAATTAAAGTAACACTCCAAACAAATAAGACACATTAGCTTGCTGAAGTGCTTTATGTGTTACAAGTATGTCCTGTTCATTTCGTTTTGCAAAAAGTGCAGATTTCAACAGAGATTGGCACTATTATAAAATAACTTTGTTACACCTCCCTGGCTTTTAATCAAGAAGGCAATCGATCCTGTTACTTCCTAGTTGCTTAGCTCAGTGGAGCTAAACTCAAGAGGCAGCAAATGCTCAGGGCACCTGCCTTGCAAAGACTTCTCATTGAGCTGCATTAGAAAGTCTGTGATTGGACAGCCACAGAAAGTCTGGATGGAGTTATGGGGATGGCTCCTCCCCCCTTCAGTGAGGAATAGTGACTTCACTGTAGGAGGACTGGGCTGCAGGGAGAACATTGCCTTGTTGAGGGATCTAAGGTAAGGTTTTGTTTTCTTCTTTTTTTAAATTTTTTTTAGGGGAGTGCCATGTCAGCAAGGCTTACTCCATCTAAAAACGGTGCTTTATTACCCTTTTAAATATAGCACACTTCTGCAGCAGATATAAACATAAAATAGGTTTGTTATAAAAAAAAAAAAAAACATATTAGCAGTACAATCATTGTCTGTATATCCTATAGTGTAAACTTAGCTGCACTAACCTGTGTTCCTTCAGGGCCAATTTCATGGAAAGCTCCTGCAGTGCTATACAGGAAACGAAGAACTTTGTTGAAGTTGTCATCACCGATACTCCATGATCCATCCACCAGGAATACTAGATCTGCTTTGGCATTCTTGCACACTGGCAATATGTGACAAACACCTCATTAATTTCCAAATTTGTATTTTTTATATGAATAGATACAAATTGTTTATTTTGTCAAATGTCTCAATGTTTTTAAATGCATAAATATAACACGTTAGTATGTTTTAAAGTCAGATAGAAATGGGATCTGCAAATAATGCTACTGCAAATAATGTTCTACTGGACGTCACCCTCAAATGGTACCTTGAAAGCAGGCTGAATGAGAGGGTAGAAAATATTTGTATGGCAAGGCTCAACCAAGCCTACTCACTCGATACTCTCACATTGCATCAAATAGAGGAGGAATTAAGGAGCCCATCTGTGCTGGTCCTTCTTGTTAATGGGGGTTCTGAAACCTTAGCTAAAGGTCCATTGGAATTGTTGCCCATAGCAATACATTCGAGCTTTCAATGCCCCCTATACTATGCTCTCATATGTGACTTAATTTAGTGCTTTTAATAGAATGCACAGAACCAGTTACACCAGTTTATGTTTCCCACAGCTCAAAACAAACTAATAATCGTATTTGTAACAAAACAAAACATAATTTTTAAGACATTATAACCTTTAAATAAAAACACTTAAAGTGTCGCTTTTACAATTTTTTTGACTGAACCCAAAAATTAACAGATTAACTGAGTCAATTTGAAAGTTGTAGTCTGAAGCAAAAAAAATTAAAAAGATTAAAAAAAAAAACCCTTAGATGCAGTGATGTTCTGGTGCATGGATAGCGTACAATGTAACTGAATATAGCATCACGTATGTGGGTGCGTGAGCCACTTTATCAGTTCAGGTGGTGTAAATGATTGTGGAACTGTCCCAATTCCTTGTTAAGGTCGTAAGGCACTTGTGTGTTTTAGTTATCATTAAAAATTTAGGTCACACGAGTTGCATCATACCTTCTTTGGCCGCAGGAATGGTAGTGGGAGCGGCTGTAGTTGGAGGAGGCGTGGGCGCAGCTGTTGGAAGCGGCACTAAAAAATGTAAAGAAAAATGGTTAGCCTTACCTAAAATAAACACATTTCTATGTATGGTTTATTGGAATTTAGATAGGTTCAACAATAAGATAAAGTCTATATAAAACTGATAACACACTGATAACCCATGAGTCTGTTTAATATTCTCATTAATTAAAGACTTTTTATTGACCTTGACAGAGCCAGCAGATGCCCTACTAGACTTAGATTCCAACTTGGTCATGTTTGATTGGAGGAGCATTTAGAAAATAATCAAACTCATAATTTCCGGAAGAACCAGTACTTCTCAGGTCCATGTGGTTCAATTCTGGTAAAATATTGTGCCAATAAGGAAACTCAAAAATGTTGTTTACAAAATCAACCAACCAACCTACTTACATGTTGTTTCCATAATACTGACGCCGGGTCCTTCTGTTTCTTGGAGTTGAGCGTATACAGTGAGTCGATATCTGGTATTGGGAGATAGCTCATAAAAGCAATTACGTGATGTTCCTCCAGGAAGCATGACTTCCTGCTTTGTCCCATCTGCAACAAGGTAATATAGTAGATTACAATTTCCCAAGAAGCAGGTTCTTTAAAACATTGAAATAAACAGATTGTATTTCAAACATATCTTATCCCAAAACTGTAAGAAGCTTATAATTATACTACTATATAGATAAGAGTGTGCTAAGTCACAATATTAGTTTATGGAACACTAATGACAAGAAACAAACAGCAGCTATTTTATCTTGCGGATTATCTGCCATACTTTCTCAACTATGGGAGCCACAACAACAATTTAGGGAACACTGCCTTTCATTTTTCATTCTAGTGTAAATATTTAAGCTAAGCATAAATACTGTGAAATTAACTTAACGTGACATAACAGCCAGATTGTTGTGTCTGAATTCAGTTTTCTTCACAAAATGCTTATGCAGGGCTAAAAATTGAGTGGAAAGCTTTGAAGCAGCAGTATTGTAATGCATGGATAATAGTGCAGAGCAGTTTATTGAAGCATTATTGATGATGCAGAGCAGTTTATTGAAGTATGATTGATGATGCAGAGCAGTTTATCTATCCATCATTAATAATGCAGAATGGTTTATTGATCCATGATTGATGATGCAGAGCAGTTTATTGAGCATGATTGATAGAAACATAGAAACATAAAATGTGACAGCAGATAAGAACCATTCGACCCTTCTAGTCTGCTCAATTTTCTAAATACTTTTATTAGTTCCTGGCCTTATCTTATAGTTAGAATAGCGTTATGCCTATCCCACACATGCTTAAACTCCTTTACTGTGTTAACCTCTCCCACTTTAGATTGAAGACTATTCCATGCATCCACTACCCTCTCAGTAAAATAATACTTCCTGATATTATTTTTAAACCTTTGCTCCTCCAATTTAAGACTATGTCCTCTTGTTGAGGTAGTTTTTCTTCTTTTAAATATAGTCTCCTCCTTTACTGTGTTGATTCCCTTTATGTATTTAAATGTTTCTATCATATCCCTCCTGTCTTGTCTTTCCTCCAAGCTATACATGTTAAGTTCCTATAATCTTTCCTTGTAAGTTTTATCCTGTAATCCATGAACCAGTTTAGTAGCCCTTTTTAAACTCTCTCCAAAGTATCAATATCCTTCTGGAGATACGGTCTCCAGTACTGCGTACAATACTCCAAGTGAGGTCTCACCAGTGTTCTGTACAATGGCATGAGCACTTCCCTCTTTCTACTGCTAATAACTCTCCCTATACAACAAAGCATTCTGCTAGCATTTCATGCTGCTCTATTACATTGTCTTTTAAGTCATCAGAAATAATTACCCCTAAATTCCTTTCCTCAGATGTTGAGGTTAGGACTCTATCAGATATTCTGTACTCTGCCCTTGGGTTTTTACATCCAAGATGCATTATCTTGCACTTATCCACATTAAATGTCAGTTGCCACAATTCTAACTATTTTTCTTGTTTACCTAAATCATTTGCCATTTGGCTTATCCCTCCTGGAACATCAACCCTGTTACATATCTTAGTATCATCAGCAAAAAGACACATCTTACCATCAAGACCTTCTGCAATATCACTAATAAAAATATTAAAGAGAATGGGTCTAAGTACAGATCCCTGAGGTACCCCACTGGTGACAAGCCCATACTTCGAATATAATCCATTGACCACAACTCTCAGTTACCTGTCACTCAGCCACTACCTTACCCATTCAACAATATTGAAATCCAAACTTAAAGATTGTACTTTATTGATAAGCCTTCTATGTGCAACAGTGTCAAAAGCCTTACTGAAATCTAGGTAAGCAATGTCTACTGCACAACCCTAATCTATTATTTTAGTTACCCAATCAATAAAATCAATAAGATTAGTTTGGCATGATCTACCTGAAGTAAACCCATGTTGTCTCTGATCTTGAAATCCATGTGATTTTAGATGTTTAACAATCCTAACTTTTAACATGGTTTCCTTTACTTTACCACCTACCGAAGTAAGGCTTACTGGCCTATAGCTGCCCGACTCCTCCCTACTATCTTTCTTGTGAATGGGCATACGCTAACTTCCCATCTTCTGAGACTACTCCTGTTAACAATGATTGGTATTTATTATTATTATTATTATGATATTTATAGAGCGCAGTCAAATTCTGCAGCGCTTTACAATGGGTGGACGAACAGACATATATTTGTAACTAGACAAGTTGGACACACAGGAACAGAAGGGTTGAGGGCCCTGCTCAATGAGCTTACATGCTAGAGGAAGTGGGGTAAAATGACACAAAAAGATAAGTATAGTAGATTGGTTAAATAAATCTGTTAATGGTTTTACTAGTACACCACTAAGCTATTTTAATAACTTTGGGTGTATTCCATCAGGTCCCATTGACTTGTTTGTCTATACCTTTGACAGTTGAAATAGAACCCTTTCCTCTGTAAACTCACTGAGTTTTTCCTAACTGAGGTCCCTTTCCTTCATTTTCATCTGTAAATACTGAACAAAAATATTCATTGAGGCAGTCAGCTAGACCTTTATCCTCTTCAACATACTTTCCTTCTTTTGTTTTTAATCTAACTAATCCTTGTTTTACTTTCCTTTTCTCATTTATGTATCTAAAAAATGTTTTGTCTCCTTTTTTTAACTGACTGTGCTATTTTCTCTTCTGTGTGTGATTTGGAAGCTCTTATAACTTGTTTAGCCTCTGCTGCCTAATCTTATAGATCTGTCTATCTTCCTCACTCTGGGTTTTTTATAATTACTAAATGCTAACTTTTTAGTTTTTTACTATTTTGGCCACATCTGTGGAGTACCACAGTGGTTTCTTGAATTTTATGCTTTTACTGACAAGCCTAATGCAATTTTCTGTTGCCTTCAGCAGTGCAACTTTTAAATAATCCTATTTCTCTTGTACTCCATTTAAATTGCTTCAGTCTGATAATGACTCCTTTACACATATTCTAATTTTAGAAGAGTCTGTTTTTCTAAAGTCTAAAACTTTTGTTTTTGTGTGGTGTGACTCAGGCACTGTTCTTATATTAAACCACACTGACCTATGATCACCGAATCCTAAACTTTCACCTACAGTAATATCTGATACCAAATCTCCATTTGTTAACACAAAATCTAACATGGCCTCCTTACGAGTTGGGTCCTCAATGACTTGTTTTAGAGACAATCCCAGTAGGGAGTTTAGAATATGTGTGCTCCTGGCACAAACAGCTATTTTGATTTTCCAGTTCACATCAGGAAGATTAAAGTCACCCATGATGATAACTTCATCTTCATTTTAGCTATTTCCTCAACTAGTAGATTATCTAACTCTTCTATTTGTCCTGGGGACCTATAAATCACACCTACATGAGTTACTGTGTGATTACCAAATTCTAACATAACCCAAACGAACTCTAACTTTTATTAGGCTAGATTTTATGCTATCCTTCACATACAGGGCCCCCCTCCCCCTTTATTGCCTTCCCTGTCTTTTCTATATAAAGAGCACCCTGGTATTGCTATGTCCCAGTCATTTTTCTCATTATAACATGTTTCAGTAACAGCGACTAAATCTACATTATCAGTTGCCATTATTGACACAAGTTTGTGGATCTTATTCCCTAAACTGCGAGCATTTGTAGACATGACTCTAAGCTTATCATTTTTTAACACACTTGCTACAGGCACCTTCTGTCCTTGTTTTGGGGGGCAATTGGATGGAAGTTTTATCACCCTTTTGCCCCCCCCCCCCAGTTTAAATACATCCTAGCAAAACCTCTGGACTGCTCACTGAGAACATTTGTTCCCTTTTGAGAAAGCTGCGAACTATCTTTTTTTGTACAGTTTATTTCCATTCCAAACAGAGTTACCATGAGAAATAAAGCCAAATCCTTGCTCCCGACATCATTCACCAAGCCACAAGTTAAAGTCCCTAATAGGCATCCGCCTGTCGATCTGAGTGTTATGCACAGGCAGAACTACAGAGAATGATAATGTGGAAGCAACCCGTCGTATATCATTGGCAAAAACACAAAAAACTTTCTTTACCTCTGAAACCTCATTGCAAGTCAAGTCATTTGTCCCTAGATGGACAAGTACATCCAATTCCCCTTCCTGCTTTGCTTGCTTAACAATATTACAAATACATCTCCTGTCACTGTGCGCAGTAGCTCCTGGAAGACATCTCACAAGACCACTATTGTCCAGCTCCACACCTTTTATGATAGAATCCCCAACAACAACTGCTTTCTATCAGGCCTCACCATAGTCTGCAAGCCTATCTCCATAATACCACTACACTCGGTGCCTAAGCCTATCTCCACAACTCCACTACCCTTTGTGCCTGAGCCTATCTCCACAACACCACTACCCTCAGTGTCTCCACAACTGACTAGTGGTGCAGAGTTGTAGTGATACATTATTGATGGCACAGATTAAAACAGATGCATGTCTGAAATAATTAAATTTGGTTTTGGTTAGGTTGGGTTTTGGATTAGGGTTTATGTTAGCATTCCATGTTGGGATTAGAGTTTGGGGTTGGTGAAAAATAGAGTAAGAAATAGTTTTTTAATTAGGTTTGAAATTATGGATAATTGGGCTAAGGGACTTGTGTTAGGGATGTTGGGGACACCAGCTCTTTTTTTTTGGAGGGCCATTTTGTTAGGTAATCCCCAGTTACTGGGGATAACTATGGATCAATGTTTGTTTGTTTTTCATGACAACCCTCCAGAATCCCATAGTTTAGTTGTGTGTGTTTATTTCATTGCTGCAGACCCACGTTTTCCTTTTTTGGAGGGGCAGGAGTTGGAGACATATTGTTGTATTCTCCTTGGCTGTGGATACCGTGGGATCTTGGCACATTCATTTACATGTACTGTGGTTAACCGGTTTCCTTATAGGAAACACTATCAGCCAACGGAGATTTGTACCAAATGGAGTTCTTTTAAAAGGTGCTTCTGAGTACATAAACTTCTGGAAATGTTTATAATTGGCCATTTTTCTTTCTATACCATAGCTGGTAAGGAGAAATCATGCAATATTCCAAACCAGCAGACTGTCCTGTATTTCATTCTAGTATGGATCCAGGCTAAAGTAATGATAATGGTCATGATACAACCCACTTTAATTTTTGTATTTATTATACATGCAAACTGTGTTATCATTTTTTCATTAACCAGGGTCCACTTGCCTGAATTCTTGGTGTTTTTCAATCAATGTTACCAATTTGCCAAAAATCACACACCTACTTAACTGTACGATACATGTAGGATATGTGAAAAATCTATAATATATATTTCAGAAATTGTTATTTTACACATAGAATTTCAACTTTTCTAACCTTATGTGTAGCCCATGCAAGATTTGTTTAGAATTTTACATTATTTAATTTTCTTCTTCACTAAAGAGGAGTATGACACATTTCCGACCTCCTGTTTGGCATCCCGAACGTATAACTATGGTATTAAAAACCTTAATTACATTTTTTCCACATGTGTATGTGTATTGCTGTTGGATGTTAAAATTTTATCATTGAGCCTATTTGAAATTTGGATAAAGTACAATCTTAAAAAATATGTCAATATATGGTGGTTGAAAATATACGGAATTTCTTATCTCTCTTTCACATAGGAAGTCCAACATAGTGGCATGAATCCAAACTTCAGTTCTATTACTTTAATACATGACTCGAAGTGTAACTTATGCCCAAATTAAATGTGCCTTAGAAAATCACTGGAAATCCAATGCAGAATGAACCTGGCCTGGCATGATTTAACCCCTTAAGGACACATGACGGAAATATTCCGTCATGATTCCCTTTTATTCCAGAAGTTGTGTCCTTAAGGGGTTAATCATAGGCTAATGAAGAGTTGAAAAACACCATTGACTAATGATAACTGCCATGTGATATAATCACTTTATTTTTAATTGCTTTTCTAGTTTAGGTTAGGTTTCCATACAGTCTGTGGATTTCATTGATGTGTAAAAGGCAAAGGGACTGTGGCTTGGGGTCTGAATGTGAGAAAACTGTGTTTGTATTGAGCGTAACATATATTGAAACACAAGGTGTAATAAAAATAGATTTTGGGACAAAGGGGACTAAGGTTTCATCAAAATTATGAATATCAGCATGTAGGAGTCTGAAAATGTCTTGAGGCTATTATAGGGATCTCATATTCCAAATGGTTGAAAACTGCTGTGTTAGAATGAAAGGGCCAATGAGACCAATCTAACACAACACTGTATATTCTAAAGCAGCAGAGAGGCCCTTTAAATAAGAACATACTGTACCTTGAATGGACTCTATGATCGCGCGGTAAGCAGTAGCGTGTCTCTGCAGTTGCCACTGGGCACACATGCTGGTCATTTTAACTTGATACGAATTCAGGTTTGTCACTCCCAGATACACTGAAATCAAACAGAACCATGTTCACGTAAGCTTAACTGGTATATACATTGACTCTAAAAAAATATCTATTTAAGAAAAGAAAGAAAAGAAACATTTACAAAATCATAGATAGTTTTTAGAACAGAAAACAGCAAGAAGCTATAGATAGATTAAAGAATTTATTTTACCAACATGGGCCTCGATTTCATATTTTTAGATAGACTTTTCAAAATCATTATCCACGGACTAATGAAAGTATTTAGAATATTGGGCAGACTAGATGGGCCGAATGGTTCTTATCTGCCGTCACATTCTAGGTTTCAAATGATGTAAATTTCCATAGACTTTAATGGTGACTAGATAATGGTGTCGATACATTATTGAAAAGCTGTGGTCATTTGAAAATCTTAGCCAAAAATATTAAATCGAGGCCATTGATTGATGTGGCAATTCAAAACGGTTTATGGGCTTCTGCAATAGATTGGTCCATGCACATTGGATCCTACCCAGGAAACATTATGATTACCTTTTGATGTTAATGGAAGTTATTTATCATTAATATCTTCCAGTTATAAAATCAGTGTATTTGTAAATTCATCATAAAGTAGCAAAGGAAAGACATGCAATATGTTTAATTGAAGCATTAAAAAAGGATATTCTGGATACTGATATTATTTGAGTTCAGTCTACCTCACCTCTTGTTCCTATTTAACTCTATGTTGGTATAGTTTAGTAAAGGCACGGATGCCGAGAGTTGATGCAGAGATGAGGTTGCCTCGTTACTGTATACAAGTAGAACGTTACCTCCTGTAAGTTTATACAGGTTAACAAGAAGTTGTAGGAGAACCTTAAATCTTTGTGGGCGAAGGAGCAGAGAAACATGGTAAACCACAAAAAAAGGCAAAGTACAAAAATGTACTGGCCTTCTATACTGCAGTAAATTATAAAACATAAATAAAAAGGCAAATAGTGATTTGGGCACAAAGGACATATATAATATCTTTTCTCAAAGAGTGAGGGAAAATATCAAAGTGGGTAGGTCTGGTAAGGTGAAAACCCCAGGTATTGGATAATGATAAAGAACAAAGGATGGCAAAATTATGGCAGTAAAATCGGCAATCTGTTTGCTGTTGGATGTTCTTTATATTCACATGCTGTTGTTTATTTTGCATACAATGCAGATAGCACATTTTATATATATATATTGCATCTTACTTGTTTTAATTCTTCATATCTCATAGCCACAAAACATTTTAGAAATAAAAATATGGTAATTTTACTCTACCAGTGACATCGCAGTCCTTTCCTTTTCAAAGATAGAGTATCCATCCATCCACCTATCCCTGTCCGTCCGTCTTTCCTGCAGGCCTTAAAACTTTAAGTCCTAACCAACTAACCAGGCCTGAAATGTTACTGCCCACTGCATGCCTTGAGGGTCAATGGCACACTCACCAGGGGTGAGTTTCTATTCATCAAGGCTACATTGTCACTTGGCATCGGCTAATAGTTAGTGGAAATTTGAGCCCTACGTCAATCCATCTATCCACCCATTCCTCTAATGACATACAATTAAAACAATTTTAAAAAAACAGTATGACCAATTCCCTTACAGGTTTTTCCTAAGCCAGACAAGGGGTCGCTGAATCCAGTAGAATAGGATGCTAGAACCTTTAAGCTGTATTCTGTTCCACTGAGTAGATTGAGAATTAGTATGGTATTAACATCATCTCCTACAAACGTCTCTAACGCAGGTCCTCCGACTGGAAAAAAAAAGAGAGACTAACTTAGCACATATTACTTTTGGACACTTTGAATGAAGTTTCTAATTGTAAAAATAGTGCATAGCTCTGACACACGTACAATGCTGCCTTTTTATACACTCCATACATTTACAGGGAACTCATTTTGTTATTCTTGGAATATAGGCATTTCCAAATATAGGACATCATAAAATATTGTTAGCAGTCACATAAAACTTTCCTACTTAGCACATGTCCAAGACACACACAAATTAGCCATCTGAAGGTTGAGAAACCTACCACATTGCTCTTCACTTCCAACTATCAGAGAGTTATTTTAACAAGTTCACCAAAACCAGAAATAAACAGAAATAAAGAGCAACTCGTTATTGTAACTTTGTTTTGCTGTTGACAAACATCATAGAGATTTTGTAGAAGAAATATCATCCGCTAATAGCTATGATTGTCCCTGTACGACGTTGCAACTTGTCCAGTAGATCCAAGTCTGTCTTGACCTGGCATCAATTAGGAAAAAGGAAACTACTTTTTTACAGGTGCATCCACTTATAATTTTATTTGTGGCTATCTAGCAAGAGCTGGCTATTGACCACACACTTAATTCTTACACTGCCAAGGCTGCATATTACCCATAATGATGCTGTCTACTAGATTTGCTGGTGGGATATATTCAGGATTTTTAAAACTCGAGTCTGAATTTTAACAACCCAGTGCTGGATTTTCAGCATTTTTTTTCAGATTCCAGCCATTTGGTTGCATCCAGAAGGGCTGAAATCTGGTGAATATTCATACCGTTGACTACTCCTTTAAAAAGTGCAGACACAAATACATCTTGTGAACAATCTGGACTGGGGCATTCAGACTTAGTGAATAACCTCGACAGTTTCCCAAATCAGTTTATTTTTCTTACCCTTATAATCTTTATTTGTGCATACGTTGCATGTGTATATATTTTTAATATTCACTTCCTTTTAGCACGTATGCAAATATGCTTTGAGTGGCTTTATTTAAGAAAGGTTTAGCCTCTCTTGTAATAGCTTTAAAATCACACAGTTTATAAAGGGATATCCACATTCCGCCCAGTTATTGCCTCATCCAATATAGTTTTAATTTTCTCTTCAGTGAAATATTTTCAATTTGGCAAAAAGCATCAACATCAGTGATTAATACAGAGTGAAATTGGTTCTACCTTTAAATACACATATATTTTAGTGAAAGGGCTATAAAATAAAGAAACTTTTGTAGAAATGCATCTGGTCGATATGCAAACATCAGGAATGGATTATACATTAAACTTTTCTTTCTTCTTACTTCCAGTTATATTCCCCTTTCTTCTATTTTTAGCCACTTCCTAAGTGCTTATTCTTGGGTCAAGGGTGTCAAAAAAACAGCTTCTGACATTACTAATAAATAATTTGTAGCTTTTCTGTCCAACAAGACATTGCGAGGAACTTAAATAGTAGTAGAACAGTAATGCTCTGTGGTCTCACGTTGGTCAGTTCCAAAAAGGAATATATTAAATTCTTTCCCACGGATTTGGCTTAACCCTGTGAGAGCCATGTTTTTGTATTTTGACATTTATAGGGTAACAATCAGCTTACCATTTGTAGGCTTATACATGATTCGGTAGCCCATGGTGGGTGAAGGTGGTGGATCCCAAGTAATGCGAAGCTTGTTGTACCATTCGTCAGAAACACGCAAATCTCGTGGCGCAGATAAAGGCACTGAGTGAAACATAACTGGTTTAAATATACTCAAAAAAGTAGATCAGGTTATATATTAATATAATTTTCACTTTGACATACACGATTCTTATTTAATTTTGCTTTCCTGACTGAATAAACTAGCTAACTGGATTCAACCTGACCTCATCTCAGACAAACTAACGGAATTATCTGGCTAACAAGCTCTTGATATTTGTTCACATTAAAGCCAATGTGTCCTCATTTGTGGCAAACCAACCAGACAAACTCCAGAGACGAATCCACGTTAAAGTCAATGTGGCCCCCATCTATAGCAGACTAACTGAACAAAACAAGAAGACTATTCCTTGTCAAAATCAATGTGGCATTGTCTAGCCAAGTAAATTCCAGATATGAATCCACATTAACATCAATGCGGCCTCGGTTTTAGTAAACATAACTGCGCAAATCGGAATTTACATCCAACTCAATGTTGTCTTATTTCTGGGTATCTGGCAAAAAACATTAATATTTGTGTACGAGTAAAAAAAAAAAAAACAACTGACAATTGTTCCATCAAAAAGTCTCAAAATAAAATATTGAAGAATTATTATAAAAACCTTAGATTAAATCATTCAAATTGTTTGATATGTTACTATGTAAAGGACATACATGTTTTTCCAACTCCTGAAATGCCTTTTCCTTCTCCATCACCAAAAACAGGCGTGACTGTGATTTTATATTCCGTATCTGAAAGCAAGGGCTGAAGAACAATCTCCTGCTGTTGTCCTGGTACTATTGCCTGTGAAACACATGAGTTTTGTTACCATTTCTTTCTCTAGGCATTTTTGTCACATATTTTGCATAGCTCTATTAGTTGGCCACAGTCTAAGCACAGAGGACCATGGTGATTGGACCTTGTCAGAAACTGGGTAGAAATAGCAAATATTTATATTCTTTAGTGTAAAAGGCAAATAATTTATGAATATGCATTCTAATGTGAAGAACCCCGAGGTAGTGACACTAGAAGGCAAGATGCTCTCTGCACTCGTTTTACTTGGCAACTTACCGTTTCTTCGCCCCGATCACCATCAGTCATGACATAAGACACTTTAAATTGATTTATATTTGGATCACTCATGGGCCATGAAACATGAAGACTAGATGTAGTTTCATCATCTATCTTAAGTTTTTTATATTCAAATCGGAGACCTTTAACAAAAAAATAATTATAGTGAACAATATGACTATGAGGGTTAATGACTAAATTACAAATTGCTAGCTATTGTCATATCAGTTATTTTAGTTTAAAATATACAATTCCTTTGCTAGTTCTCCTTAATTCACTGTTAAGTGCACAAACCACAACAGGCTATGACCGTGTTTGTTAGTAATTTCCTAATCACATAATCAATTATTCCTAAACGTCTTTATTCCAAACAAAAATTTTAAAAATGGTTGTGATTGGAAAGAAGAGTACAATAACAATCTAAGAGACAGGCCTCACATTAATATCATCAAACGACACAGATGGGTATTGGGTATTACCATCGTACTGACACAGGCATCAAATGAATCCAGGACTATTTTTGTTTAAAGAAGTGTATGTTTTTTGCAAAATTATCCAAACAGAATTGGCATTGGTGCACCTGTTCCACGATACAGTGTTAAGAATTGCAGTAATCTTATGACAGGAGAATTATAAAATAGTTTCACATTGAGACCAAGATTGTAATTTTTGTATCACGGTTTTGGTTTTATTTGCCCCTATTTTTTCACTGCATTGGTCTTTTTTAGATTTCAGTTTATTATTTTTAATTGAATCACTTGCACAGGAAATCAGACTCTTGTATTGGTATCACGAAGACCTTATTCTTTCCCTAAGTTTTCTATTCAAATTGCACGATGTACTTACGTAGAGACATTGTAGTGGTGGTGGGCATAGTGGTCGTCCTGGTTACTGTAACAACAAAAAGAATATCTTTTAGAGCATTGTTAATTGGAAATGTGACAAATCATCACCCAAGAGTAACTGTTGATCCTAACCATATTAGTGTTACTCGCTAAAGTGTAAATTGTTACGAATATAAAATGGGTTTCACGTTTTAAGGCCAAAATACAGGAACTGAAAACATACTTGACTTGGAAATGTTTCCAAAATTTTACATTTACTTGGATTGGTATTGAATTTCTGACAGTTCATACTTTAAAGATTAACCCTGCATGTCCACAATAGTTACTAAAAAACTATTCCCTTGGTTAGTTTTAAACATTTTTTGTTCCAAAGTACATTGTTTCCAATCCATCCAAATAAACTTTCTGAACTCTGCTTACTGGCAAACATCTAGCACTAGGGATCTCAAAAGGCTGATCTTGGTCTACTGGTCGATTGACTAGGGCAATCAGCTAGGCTGTGATGGTTCTGGTCTCAGGTTTGAAGAAGGCTGGCAGAGGCTCCAGGAAGAGTGCCTCTGCTGGCAATATGCACTGTGTTTGGGCTATGATTACTACATATAGCACAGTGCATCTCCACACAGCTTACAATGTAGTTTGTGATTCATGTTGTTACTTCATACAAAGCAAGCCACTCAGAGTGGCCTTTGTCAGTGTCATAGGCAGCAGGATAGTGACTATGGAAGAGGGATGGTTGGGCAAGTAACTACTAGGAGAGGAATGGTCTACATCAGGGATAGGCAACCTTTGGCACTCCAGATGTTGTGGACTACATCCCCCATAATGCTCTTACACCCATAATGCTGGCAAAGCATCATGGGAGGTGTAGTCCAAAACATCTGGAGTGCCGAAGGTTGCCCATGTCTGGTCTACAGTGTGGTCTGTGGCAATGAGGGTAGCAAGTACATGCCTTCTCCGACACACACTGAGGAGCATCCCAGGTAAGAAGTTAAAATTATCTAAAATGGTTTGACTACTTACAATGGGGAAGCATAATGACTACAGTGAGTAGCTCTTGAATACTGCATTATGTGGCATTGATGGAAAAGGCTCTAGGTAATTTTTTGTCATCTAAATATCTATACAAAATGAACACATTAAAGCTGCTATGAAATATTCCTTACATGTTGTCGCTAAGGTAGCTATAGCATCGCTTTCTGTTTCGTCGTTAAATATTGCGGAGAGTGAAACTTCATATTCTGTGCTGTGAGTTAATCCATCAATCAGATAGGAGGTGATATCACCATTCAGGACAATCTAGATAAAGCACACACATATTACAGTATGATTCAAATCCCCAGCATTGGAAATATTTAATATAGATCTGTCACCAAGAAGGAAAGAAAGACAAAAGAAAATGTTTATAAATCGCAAATGCGTTGAAAACCTTGGGGCAAGATTTTGTACTCATTGTCCTTTTGAGAAGACTTAAAAGGTGCATTGGACACTGCTTAAACCAATGATTGACAGTTAGCTAAGATGTAGGTCCCCTGTTGTAGGATTAAGAGGTGTGAAGTTATATATGTATTTTTATTATCCACACCTCACAAATACATATTCATTAAGCATTGGGGTTAGGCAAACAAAATATTGAAAATCATAAAACATTACAATATCTCTTTAAGTCCAAAATCAAGATTTCATCTAAATTATGAGCAAAGTAGTTCTAAGTCTTCTCTAATTTTTGCAAGTTCCCAGTTTGCAGTGCCCTAAAGTGCTGCAGTAATACATGTTCACTATTGGATGATTTCTGTCATTAATCATGCAAGTTAAAAATGGATAATCTGCCTTTAGGGAGTCAATCATTTGGTAAAGGGCGTTGAATGCTATGTTTTTATTAATGAGTACAGGCACACCTGCTTTTTTTTAGAGGCCATTGAATGTATAGCTCTAGGGAAGTTTGTTAGGAATATGTACAAGATCATAGAATTTTGCAATGTGTGTCTCTTGAAAACAAGCCAATTTCATGTATTCGATGTATACATCTTTAAGGGACATTTTCCATTTTGTTTAAACCTCTCATATTCCTGGATATACATGTTAGACCCATAGTAATATATTAAAATAGTCTAGTGTTTCCATTATGTGTTAAGATGTTTGGTCTACCCTCCCTCTAGTCTAGACCATTGATAGGCAACCTTCGGAACTTTGGATGTGGACTACATAAACCCTGATGCGGTGCCAGTATTAAGGGAAAAATAGTCCAGAACACCTGGAGTGCCAAAAGTTGCCCACCCCTGCTATAGTTTAGAAGCTCACCTTTAGCCAGCCATCTTTGCAGATTGTTCTTAAATCCCTGATATGGATCAAAATTTTATTTTTGGTGCTATGTAAATAATTCTAGTTATATATTCTACAGAATACTGAATAAACAAACATCTTACCAGTGTTTTTAATGTTTCATTGCTACATTTTATACATTTTCAACTTAAACTTAAAAATGTTTAGATTAATAAACTAGTAGCAATCATGTTTAATATTGTGTTCGATCTTGCACAGTACATGTATGGTACTTGCTTTTTAGTTGCACAGTAGTTATGTAGTACTTGCATATTAGTTATATAGTAATTACCTCTTGAGATTGTCCACTGCTAAGTGAAGTCCATGTCAGTCTGTACATAGCAATATCTGGAGAGAAAGCCTTCCACAGGGCTCTGAAGCTTTCCGTGGTAATCTCTCTGACCAGCAGGTCCTGGGGAGCTGGCACTTTTTCTGTATAGATGGCAATAAGTTTTTTATTTAGATTTTATGCATTTCATTTTGAACATAATATCCAAATACATTTACGGGGTCATTCACTAAAGTGAAATTCAAATTTAAGGCCAGAGTATCCAAACTAAAAGCATAACTGACTTAGATAATTTTTCTACTCGGTTATTTTCACCTTAAATTTAAGATTCACTTTGAGTTCACATTGAACTCTCACTTCTGTGAAAAACCCTACAAAACTGTGATCCATCACATAAACAAGCCTTAGGAAAACAACATTTTCTTTTTTTTTTTTTTTTTTAGTAAATATGGGTGTTTTAAAAGACTTACTTGTCATAAAGGTTCCTGTGAGTGGCTCAGACTGTCCCTCATCAAAAATAGAAAAAATAGCTACGGTGTATTCTGTGAGGGAGGCCAGCTTTTCCAGGTTATAGGTCGAGATTCGGTCGACTTCAACCTACAAGAATTCAAAATGGAAATTGTCCTTCAACCTGTGTTCTGGATTTGTACATTTCCTGCTCACAAACCCATCAATAACAACAACATTAAGAACAAAAATTGTTAGCCAAAGAATGCAAAACCAACCCCAATTTTTTTTTTCAAGTACATCAATTCTAAAAAAAAAAAATTGAAAGTGTAGGTACACTGGAAACAGAGATGGGTCTGTTAGTTAATGAAGACCAGGAAAAGACAGACATTTTTAATAATTATTTTTCTTCAGTATATATTAATGAGGATCCTATAGCAAGAGATATGCAAATGATTGCTGCAAAAAAAGTGCAGTAAACTTGTGATTGGATGACTCGGGACAAGGTGCTACAGTAGTTAAAGAAAATTAATGTAAATAAAGCTCGGGGGTCTGACGGTATTCACCCACGAGTACTTAAGGAGCTAAGTGTAGTCATAAGTGAACCTCTCTATTTATTCTTTCAAGATTCTTTTGTTTCAGGTATTGTACAGGAGGATTGGAGGAAGGCAAATATTGTTCCTATATTTAAAAAGGGTTCAAAATCCTTGCCTGGAAATTAAAGACCTGTGAGCTTAACTTCTGTGACTGGAAAAATATATGAAGAGCTATTAAGGGATACTACTCAGGAATTTATTGGGAAGAACTTTGTTATTAGCAATAATCAGCATGGTTTTATGAAACATAGGTCATGTCAGAGTAACCTAATTGCATTCTATGAAGAAGTAAGTAGAAGTATAGATCAAGGTGTTGCAGTGGATGTGATCTACTTGGATTTTGCCAAGGCATTTGACACGGTTCCTCACAAAAGGTTAATCTTCAAACTAAAATTGGTCTAGATGAATATTCTGGTTCTTGAGTAGAACATTGGCTTAAGGGTAGAGTACAACGAGTTGTCATTAATGGTAAATTTTCACGTTGGACAAAAGTGGTAAGTGGTGTCCCTCAGGGTTCTGTTTTAGGACCGCTTCTATTTTTTTTGCTTTGCTGCAGAGGGATTTGGATAGATTGGGGGATTGGGCACTAAAATGGCAGATTAAATTTTATGTAGAGAAATGCAAAGTTATGCACTTTGGGGTCAAGAATGCACAAGTAACTTACACCCTAAATAGTAGTGAATTAGAAATAACCACACACAAGAAGGATTTGGGAAATGTTTGGGGTAATAGCTGCTTCATCCAAGGAAACATCTGCTTGCCATTTTGGGGTCACGAAGGAATTTTTTCCTAGTTTGTTGCAAAATTGGAAGTGCTTCAGACTGGGTTTTTTTGCCTTCTTTTGGATCAACAACAAAAAAATGTGAGGAAGGCTGAACTTGAGGGACGCAAGTCTCTTTTCAGCTATGTAACTATGTAACTCAGCCTGAAAACTGGTTGATATTACCGAATGGTATAAAATGATAAAATGTTAGGTTTTTTTTATTTTAGCATATATTTTGCAAGCCATTCGGCAGTTCATCCCAGATTAATGAACAGATCCATGAGACGTCCTTGAGACTGGGAAATAAATCAAAACTTAATCCTATTTTTTTTTAGAATTTGATATATAAAAGTGAATATAGTTTCAGTAGTTTAGATTGATTACGAAAAAAAGATTTAGATATATGGTTTAAAGCTTTGAGAAAGATTATTCATATTTACTTTGTTGATATGCTGCTAGATGGTACCTTCCAAAAACCTCTGACATGTCCCATCTGCTTAAATAATGTGAAATTATATGTATATAAATATTTAAGGGATTTACTGTGATATATGCACCTGGTATTTTCTTTAAGAATGAAGCATTTTGGAAAAGAAAAAAATGATTGTAGAGACTCTGCATCGCCTGAAGGTAACGATAAAATAAAGAACTTCAGATGTATTTATTTCCACATAATAAAGGAGTTCAAGAATCTTTATTTATCCCACAATAATGTCTCTAAGAAGTGAAAGGATATTGTTATATAAAAGCTGCAGGAAGAGATGGAGCATGGCAGTCTAATTGAAATGTACTATTTTAACTGAATTTGAATTGGTTCAATGTACAATGAAGGTCACATAATAATGTCTTCTATACCACTTTTGAAACAGGTTATCCAGGCAATAGACTATATTCCATTTCCTTACATCATTCATGTCTGTTTCACCAGTCTTCACATACATAATCCGGTAGCCATAGGCTCTTTTGTTGGAATGATCCCATGAAACTGTTGCAGAGCTGTGCCTTATGTTGGAAAATTGGAGGTTCCTTGGGAGACTTAAAGGTACTGCAGAAAGAAATACGTAAAAATATTGAAAATTAAAACATGTTTGCAAAATGTATGTCCAGGTGACCAAGAATCATTAGAGAACATAAAAGAGGTAGTTTAGGACTGGAATCTAAACAATCTGGACACACACAATGAGAATGAGGAATACTTTGCAGAATTTTGGTAACAGGATTTGAACCCTCATTGCTCTATTACTACACATGTAGACCTTAACGATAACAGACACTAATAACAATTTACCCTGTTTGCCCTAAATTTGACCTGTTCTAGTTTATCATTCCCCCCTGATTCTCCCACCATTGACCATCTAGAAATGTTATTTTGGGGCCAATAGGTCTGAGTTGGAAAAATAGTGTATTGCATCTGTACAGCAGCTTCACATTTAAGCACACTGAGAACATACATGTGGTTTCCTGCCCAGTCAGCGGGTCGCTGGCTTCTTCTCCAAACATTGCATAGACCGTTACGGTGTACTCGGTACTGGGAGTCAACCCATCCAGTTCTACATCAGTTGTGGACCCACCAACCTTCATCTGAAATACAGGATATGTTCTGTTTCACATTTTCATTCATTACATTTTTATAAAAATTCAAACCTTTTTGAATTCTGACATTTTGACACCTAACATACATCCCTCATATCGTCCAGCTTATCTGCACTTAATGTATCCTTTCCTCTCCCTCTTATCATTTCTCCTCCCTCTGTATCAGTTACATTTATTTGCACCAACAACACCTTGAATTCCAATCTCTCTTTCCCCCAACATGTAAGTTTTAGACCTCACCCCTTTAATATCATTCCCCAACTCGCTTCCTCATGGGGTATGTCCTACCTATCTGCAGACTCATTCAGATAACTGAAACTTACTGTTACTGCATACTGTAATCTGAGTAGTAATGTTGCCAGATACTAGCATACACCTACATCAAGGTCCTCTGGATCTTTACTTTAAAGAAGGCAGCGCACATTATCCACTACCCAGTTTGCAAACTATTGAATGGAGGAAAAACTGGAACAAATTGAACTGGTATTCTATTCATGGTGTAATCATGATAAATCCCTGTGCAAAATGTGGGGCCTATTTACGTACATTTTACTGCTGTATATTCAAAAGGTAACCTTATTTTTATGACTCGTAGGAGAATAGTAGAACATTTGGGCTCAGGCGAATAAGACACAAGTTGTCAAAGTTAAGTAAATTAAACATGCATGTTTTGGTCTGATTGATTAATTTGCTTTAATTTACAGCATACCTGAGACATTTGCTAAGCAGAAAAGACGGAATGAACAAATGAAAAAAATAATAATAATGGTGAGAAAACCGTTAAAATATTGTTACCTCTTTTTCATCTGCTGTCGCATCCCCTGTAAGGGGCGCATAGAGAATCATATACCCACTAGCCCCAGCAACTCCAACCCATTTGGCTCTCATGCTCCTGTGGGTCACATCATAAAGCTCAAGGTCAGACGCCATAGGTAGTGCCACTGAAAGGGAATATTGATATTCAGAACGGTAAATCCATAACGCGTTTCACGGCAAATGCTCGAACTTCAATAAAAGTTCAAAGACAGAAATGCATTGGAAATGAAGATCCTGGAACACATATCTGTCCTAGACTTTAGCACGTGCATTTAAATACAGTTTTGTGAAAACAAAATAGCCAGGTAGATAGATAATTTTCATAAATGTTTGTTAAAAATTGAATGACATTGAAATATATATCGCTACAACACAATTTTTTTAAAATAACTTTTTCAATTAAGTTTATTTTTTCTGTAAAAGGAATCATACTAAAGTAATATATACACTAAGAATTAATAGATAATTTCATAAACATGCTCCTGTTGAAATTGTTCTCAAAATTCCCCAAAATTCATTGAACCAGCCCTGTGACGTACTTTCTTTGAATGCACATCTGTTATGTAGATGAATCATAAATTGGACGTATTTTCAATTTGCCCTTCATGGCACAGTCTAATATTTCAAAGTTTGAGCCTTTCAGACAATACAATTTGAAAGTCATTTTCCTGCAGACTAGTTAGAGTCATAACTGTACTACTCACATGTGGTTTCAGTGCCACGTAATCCCTCGCTGGCAGCATTAACGTAGATAGCAAACACAGCTATTTGATATTCTGTTAAAGACATCAGGTTCTTTAGTACAGTGGTTGATACACTGCCATCGACTACAACCTGCAACAATGATTAAATAAAACGGGGGAGTTAAGAAATTACATTATTTTTTTAACAGTGTGTAACAGGTGAGTAAATAATTATGCAGAATTTTTAACACATGGAGGAGTTTTGCATTAGCAAAAAAGTATCTAATACATATATTTCTGAATATGAAATGTATTATATCTCTCCTAAAATATAATCCTGACAAGATACTTGTTTTTCTACGAGAATTTAATTTTTAAGTTACTTAGTGGAAAATTGATGCCCCAGAAAATGTCTGGAGTTTAAGACAATAGGGACAAAAGAAATTTGATGCAAGTAAAAAAAAAGTTTCATTATTCTCATTTAAGATGTCCAACTTAATCTACTTTTCTTGGCAATATCCTGTATTATTTATGTATATATATATAATTATTATTATAGCACACAGAACACACAAAATTATTATGTTTCATATTTTATATAACAAGAAGCCAAGAATTGCATAATGCGAAAAATCATATATATTTAATATGTGCAGAAAAAATATAATGGAGAAGATATAAGAAAAGGTGTGAAGCTAGCAACCGTCTTACTTAAAATTACCTCTTCAGGTTGGCCACCTTTTGTTGGATAATAAACCACTCTATATTTTTCAACTTGTCCAGGTGCGTGGGTCCAACTAACACGGAATCCCCTTGCTGTTACCTCCGAGGTGACTAATTCAGTTGGAGCGCCAATGGTGACAACTGTTGTTCCTGGAATGAAAAATAATTTCTCAAAAAAAAAAAAACCCTGCACATCTTTTAACAGACAGGTCATTGGGAGATTAACTATGATCTGAAATCAATTGTTCTTGAATATAAGAATCACTAGAGATTTGTACCCAGATTTATAACAGCCTATGGATTAATGGCAATACAAGAGCTTGCTTCCAACCCTTTCCTAAATATCTGGGGATGAGTTTTATTTGGGATAATGAAGTTGAGCATATGTGAAACTGTCTAGCATCTGTTAATAATTGGCTGTAGTTATCTGTAGTGATCTGTTAGGATTGAGTGCACTATGTTTTATTATAATATATAAACAATCAGCTAATGTATAATGAGAGTACTGAGCCATCATGATCCTCCTGAGGTAGGAGGGAACAAAATAACTTTTTAATTTAAAACCACGCCCCCTGATCAATAGGAGAGCAGGAGGGGAGCCACTAGATAGTTAAAAGGAGGAGAAGGAGACCATGACGGCATTGGAAGAAGCTTGAGAAGGTGGGCAAAACACGTCATGAAGAACGTCATTGGGTGGCGGCCCACAAAGCTCACGTGATTGGTAATGGGCGAAACCTGGAAGTGACTGTGTGCTGGTAGCATTTTATATTTGATATACTTGCCTGGTTGTGGGTTGTTTGCTGGCATATCCACTACTGCGAAAGTAAGTGTTTTTAACATTTTATGTGAATAAAGAGTTGTGATACTATTCAACTGGGGTTCCTGTATCTCTATATCCATAGATGATCCATATACAGCTAACTGAACATATTATCTGGTGATATTGATCTATTCAAAAGTTTATGTTGTGGGTAGTGGCGTAATAAGGGGAGGGGGTTTAACGGGGGTCTGCTTGTCATTGTGCCTGTCTGTCTGTGTGCAGTCTGTCTTTGTGCCTGCCTGCCTGTCTGCCTGCCTGTCTATGTGCCTGCCTGTCTATTTGCCTGCCTGTCTATGTGCCTGCATGTCTGTCTGTGTGCATGCCTGCCTGACTGTATGTCTGCCTGCTTGCCTGCCTGTCTGCGTAACTTTGCCTGACTGTCTGTGTGTGTGTGTGTGGCTGTCTGCCTGTGTGTGACTGTAACTGTGTGTGTGACTGTCTGCCTGTTACTGTGTGTGTGCCTGTCTGCCCTGTTTCTGTTTGTGTGACTGTCTGCCTGTAACTGAGCTTGTGTGATTGTCTGCCTGTAACTGTGTGTGAGGGGTGCAGGGATTTTGTGGTGGCGGGTTTTTTTTTAGTGGGACAGGGAACTTTTTTAAGGGGGGCTAAGCAGAGGATTTTCTGGAATGGGAAATGCAGGAGTTTTGCTGAAGGGGCATTACAGGGGTTTGTAGAAGGGGGGCAGGACAGCGGTTTTGTAGGAAAGATGCAGGATAGGGGTTTTATAGAAGGGGGCTGACTCAGGAGTGATAGGGCTCTGGCAAATGTGAATTCTTTCCCACATTTTCCCTTTGATTTATGTTGTTAAATCAGATAACCTACACTATGTATATTTATGTTATTATTTTCAGAATACTACTCCGAGAATGTATGTCAACCACAGTTGAAGTGCGTTACGTATTTGGTATTTCTTTTAAGGCTGTAGTTATCTACCTATTGTCCTGAATTTAAAATCAGACTTTTTTTGGGGGAATATGTCACTTAATTACACTGGAAGATATCTTAATATCAAGTTCAACAGCTGGTACAAGAAGACATATACATTAATAAATATCTTACTACTGCTCAGGTCTACCGACTCCAGTAAAATAACAGTGGCCTCAACGTAATAATTTTGGATAAAAGTTTCAAATTATCAAAATCTGTTAGAAAACCTTTTCAAATGATCTGATGATGGGAAAAAGTCCCATAGACTTTAATGGTGATTTCTGTAGATAAATCATTTAGAAATGTTTTTCTAAAAGATTGTGTAAAATTGAGTAAGCGCTGCGGAAAAAGTTGATCCTATATGAATGCCTATCATAATAAGAATTTTAGAATCTTATCCAGAAGAATTGAAGCAAATTGAATGTAAAAAAAACAACAAAAAAAACAATCAAAGTTTTGTATTCCACTAGTGCCAACACAACACAACAGTTTTTAAGAAAACAATGACTTCTATTCACGTATATGTATATGGATCTCATGCTCACCTAGGCAACAGAGTTTAGTGTATCTTATATTCCGTAATAAATAATAACAGTAAACTTTATATAGAGAACAAATGGGATGGGAGAAAATCTGTAAAGTATTCAATATGCTAATGACTTAATTATTCACGTTTTACCATTTTTAATTTCAAGGACAAAATCCATCTTTACGTCTATGTGTAGCTTGCTCACATCCACACTCAACTTCACCTCCAACAATTTAACGTTTGCTGTACCAAACGATCATTTAGCACATTTAATTTAAAACCACTGCTTTTTAAAAGATCATCCTTACTGTTAGGCCTGCTCAGATAAAATACTTTGTTGTAAGACTACAAAGTTATCACGCATGAGCCAATAAATCATTCTGTGCTTTAGATAATGATGATTTATTAAATGCATCTCTTGCCAATAATGTTTAATAAAATTGCTACCCTTTTGCTGTGGCATGTCATTTTATCCCAATCACATAAGCAATGTTATTACATGAATCCTTCATGGCCTGGAGGATCGAAACATGCACACGCAGACACACATGCCTCTCGTAACCTTACAAAAACTCCAGGTCATAAATCTTGAAGATTTGCATAATATTTGTAATGTGTAACACAATACCCTCTGCAGTGTCTGCCAGCTGTCGCAAATGCATCAGTCACTCACCTTTAATTTCAATTTCTTGCTCTTCCACTCGAGTACACACTGTCTTAGTGAGACCTTCAACAATCGAGCTCATGACATTGAAATCAGCAACATTGTACACGTGGGTGTTGTCAGGTTCCGAGGCAATCTCCTTGAGTTCATTAAGGTCAGCATTTTTCACACCTAGCCACGTGTACAGAATAGGAAGCATATAAGGAAACATTAATGTATACCATTAAAGGATATCGAATAGAATTTTCATTGTACACTCAAAAATAAAATATCATAAAATGTAATAATTAGCAATGCTATTTGGGTTTTTACACAAGCTCGGTAGGTTTCATTGTGCTTTAATATTTATAAATGGTGTTCTTTGGATCAGATTACAACTTTGATCAAAAATGCACAATTCCCTCTATTACATTACACTAGCTAAATACATAAAAAAAATAATAATATAATAAGAGAAATTGATTAAACAAATAGTATCAAGTGCTCAGATATACAGATTTTTGCAAACTTAACTCAATGGTGCTTGGCTCCCTAAGCCAGGTGTAGGCAACCTTTGACACTACGGATTTTGTGGACTACATCTCCCATAATGCTATTACAGTCATAACGCAGGTAAGAATCTGTTTAGATGTAGTCTGGAGTGTCGAAAGCTGTCTACTCTGGCCCTAATCGAGCAGAGTTTGCTTACTTTCCTGTTTCTAAACTACTTTATTTTAAATCACTCTTCTGTGAAGGAGCAGACTACAAACAGAAGACCCTGCAACAATCTCCTGGGTAACTAAATATCCCTTAAGCCAGATTGTCTTTAATGAAAGTATCCAGAGTTTACCAATTGCAAACAGCTCAATCCCAGCATCTTTCAGACTTCTGGCTGGTGGAATGACATCATCTTGAGATTTCCCATCAGTGATCAAAATGCCAACCTTTGGAAGTCCTGTCCTGGCTCCTGACTCTTCTTTGAAACTGTTTTCCAGGATGTATGTCAAAGCAAGTCCTACAGAACCAATACATGTTAAACTGACGATACATGTTACAAGATGGTATTACGCCTTTAACATAGCAGTTAACATGCATGCAAAGTGTTTAACGCCTGGGGATGGTCAACATTTAGTGAGAGATTACTCAAAACCTTCTGGCACTAAAATCGTGATGGAAATATTCAAGTATATGATTTAACAAATGAGAGAAGACAATCCCCATTGATGTGCTATTATAGGGAATATATTTACTGTATATATATATATATGTAAAACAATTAAAAACCTTTGTGGATTCAATATTATTGCCGGTGCCACTACTTTTAAGCAAGAGAACCCAGCAGGTACTATTGCTCTCCAGCTTTTGAGGACCTAACCATCTTCCATCATATCTTCCTCGTCTGGCTACCCTGCTCTAAACTAATATATAGTTATTTTCTGCTAGAAACTAAGGCTTCCAGGATTAATATAGATTAGGCAGTTTTTCCTCTCCAAATTATTACAATTTATGAAATTTATTTCTTCATGCTGAGTCTTGAAACACACCAACATTATGACCTAAATTAATGGTTTGATATGTATATTGCATTCTCTAACGGTAGTTACTCAGTGCTTAAAGGAACACTATAGTCACCAGAACAACTACAGCTTATTGAATTTGTTCTGGTGAGTAGAATCATTACCTTCAGGCTTTTTGCTGTAAACACTGTCTTTTCAGAGAAAATGTAGTGTTTACATTACAGCCTAGTGATAACTTCACTGGCCACTCCTCAGGTGGCTGTTAGAGATCCTTCCTGGGTCATGGCTGCCTAAAATGCATCCAAACATTCAGTATCTCCTCCCTCTGAATGCAGACACTGAACTTTCCTGATAGAGATTTATTGATTCAATTCATCTCTATGAGGAGATGCTGATTGGCCAGGGCTGTGTTTGCATTGTGTTGACTCTGCCCCTGATCTGCCTCTTTGTCAGTCTCAGCCAATCCCATGGAGAAGCACTGTGATTGGATCAGGGCACCACTTCTGATGATGTCAGCAGACAGCTTGTTTTTCTGAGGCAAACAGCATGCAGAGCTACAGCTTCAGGCTTGAATACAAGTACGATTTTGCTATATTTATGGAGGCATGGTGGGCCCAGGCAAGCTAGATGGTGGTTTTAACCCTATAAGGTCAGGAATGCATGTTTGTGTTCCTTACCCTGTAGTGTTCCTTTAAATCCAGAGTCAAAAATGAAAACATATTAGAATTTAAACACTTTGATGAGAATTTCTGATTACTGATACAATCCATTCTAATCCAATAACTACTTGATTGTGAACTGGGCAGGTATGCGGTAAATTTATAAGATTCTCTGACATAGTTGAATTTTTCCAAGTTAAAATTAGATAAAATTACATAAGCTAAATGTTATTGTTAGAGCGCATCGTACCCGCATCTATCTTCTCATTCATGTCTTTTATTTGCTCTCACACTTCCGTCTTTTGCTCCCTCGTTCGTCTTTCTTATTTAACAAATAACTAGTTTATTTCAGGTGTTAATCGCTATGTTGTATCTCAGACTAGAATTGATTGGTAACTTTGTCACTTCTAAGCCTTGTACATTATAAAAAAAGATAGAGAAAAAACAAAGTATTCCTAACGGCACAATTCTAAGAAGTTACCTGTTAACGTGTTTCCTCCTTTGTAAGGCAGGTTTCGGACCGCATCTATCACAGTGTCTTTTGTATTGTATGCATTCAGATGCCATTCTATCCTGGGATCCCCACTGTACTGTGCCAGGCCTGACATAAGGAAGAGGAGAAATAATTTCAATACAATGCCCTTATGTTATGTTTATGGCTGCACACATGCATTAGGAACAGATTTCAAATAGAAATTGTCACTGGTATAAATTAACCTGGCTATATCCCCCTGGCGGTCAATCAGACAAACGACCCCGTTACTTCCTGGTTTATTTAGCTCAGTGGAACTAAACTCCAGAGGCAGCAATTGGTCAGGGAAACTACCTTGCAAAGACTTCTCACTGAGCTGAATTGGGAAGTCTGTGATTGGACAGTCACAGAAGGTCTGGGTGGGGTTAGGAGAGGAGGCAAGAGATCTGCAGCTTTTGCAAACTGTTTTTTCTATATAGCCCCAAAGAAAAAATACATAATAAACTGGGGGTTATCTACTAAATAGTGATTTTTATTTATTTGTTTATGTTACTTGGTTAATGGAGTGTCTTTTAATTTGGAACTGTTACATTAACAGTTATTTACATTGCAATGATTGATATAAAATAAGTGTATGGTTTTTTTTTTATTAACATTTAGTTGCTACATAAAAAGGGACTTTAAAAATAGTGGGAATATTTGAGGAAAGACAGATTTCTATGGACTATTATTTTAAGATAATGGCTACACACCTTATTTAGATAAATCAGTTTTATCAGAAGCGTTAAGTAAGAAATAAAGTAATATGAATGAATTATAAATGTCAGAGAAACATTGTGAATATAATAAAATAGAATCTAGCTACTCAAAAGAAGAGGGGGTGGGGCGGGACAATAAATAATTACAGGAGATTGGCAACAAACGTGAGTAAGATCCAAAATATTCAGGTTTATTCACTAAAATGTGGATTTGAGGGAATATCATAATTTAAACAAGTTCTCCAAGTCACGCATGTTTTAATTTGGCAATTCTAGCCTAGAATTTCACTTTTAATTCCTGACAATACAAACTTTATTGAATAACCCAGAATAGCTTTCAGACAGGTTGAAACCACTAGTTAGTGTAGTTTACATGTGTGCAGGTTGAGAAATTCAGTTTAGCCAAACTTTGGAGGGGGAGGACAAGTTTTGGCCAAAATTTAGGTACCAAAAAATAGATTTGGGAAACGTATGTAAATAGGAACATTTTCCACCCTTTAGTTTACAGATCTAGTGAGAAAAAGTACCGAATTGAGGGAAAATAGGATGAGCATTAAAAATCTATTTTATATATTATTTATTAAATATAATATAGAAATATTGATTTTTTTAAATGATTTTTTTTAAAGACTCCTCATTGTTTCCTTCTATTGCTCATTTCTGACTTGATGTGTGACTAAAATTTTGTGAAATTTTGTGATTATCCCCTAGCCATTAATTATCTTTTTTTTCCCATCCGTCATCTCTCTTTTTGGGGCTACAAGTGGAATTCAAATCACAAATCAAAGCAGACATGCTCGGCCATTGCACATTTCGTCGTGATTCGGCAACATTGCTGCTCGGAGTTCGGGAATTCGACCGATCACACTATCTGCCTAAATTCTGATTAATTGCAATTCAAACTGAAACAAACCTCCGAGTCTAGTGGAGTCAGCCACCATAATTGTGAGACAATAAAACCAATTCTGATTATATAACTGCACAATGTTAATAGCTGAATGAAGAACGATTACAGTCCTAAATCAGGGTGTCCAAAAATTGTCCCAGGAATGGATCAGCCTGCCTTAGTGCAAATCCCCACATTTATTTTCTGGTCACATGAATGGTTTAGTAATATTGTAATCTTAACAGAAAATATGACACAGACATTATTGCACAATATCTGTCAGACATGTTATGTGAATTGTCAATATTCCTTCAGTTAAAAGGGTGTAGACACTTACGCACAGATGTAGAATCAATCTGTAGAGTTCTCGTGAATGTATTTAATACTTTCTAAAGTTAAATTATTATTTTGTATGTGGTGATCTGTGGGATAGTCTGGATTGTTAATTCAGTTTAAATACCGAACAAAAGAGGGAATGATATAGTCATCTTCAGACAGGTAAAATAAATATAATTAGATAATCAGATATGGTGCTAGAGATATGTTAGCCAATGTATGGAGTAAAACAGGGCTAGGCAAAAGTTAGTTCCCTGCATGTTGCAAAACTACAAATGCCATGATGCTTTGCCAGCCATTAGATTGTTAATACATCAGGGAAGCTACAGTTCTACGAAATCTGGGGATCTACATTTTGTCCACCCCTGCAGATAAAAGTATAGTTATATTACATGCTAAGAGGTCGACTCCAGTTGATGCAAACAGATGAACATGCATTCATGAATCCATTTTAGAGGCCACATGTGTAGATTTTTCTTAGAAATTTGTCCATCTCAATGTATACATAAACTGTTATTGCCTATAAAGAAATATCATTCCCTTTTTAAAAAAATATAAACTGCTAATAAATTAAAAAAAAATCATCCATGGAAGCACAAAAACACTGAAAGTCACTGTACCTATTCTTGTTTTATCAGTGCCAACATCAAAAGCAGCCACCAGATTCTCTATGAAAAGCCGAACGAGTCTGAAGTTGATTCTCCCAATACTCCATGATCCATCGACCAAGATCACAATGTCAGCAATCGCTGGTGTTTTACAGGAAAATTGACCATCTGAAATAATAATGACATATATGACACACATATCTTTTTTTTTTTTTGCAGATCTTCACCCATAAAGTCCCAGAAGCTTATACAATGTGTTGGAAGCCCAAGGATACAGAAAGGGTTAAACATGTTGTACATTGATCGCAAACAGAAAACTTGTCACATTACCAGCATTATTATTCCCTGCAAAGATAATTGGTTTAATGAGATCTGGTGCGCAGATGGAATTTCTTTCAACCCAATCAAGCATTGATGTTAAAAGGGATTTGGTAGATTTAAACCTCTGTAGATGACAGTCCTCGATGGTTCATGTAGGAGAATGTTACCATCATGTGAATCTACAAACAATGGGGGGTGCATAGAGTTTTCTTTTTTACTTATTTCACTTGAGTTCCTATTGAAAAGATATATTTTTATGACATTTTGTATACCTGGAACAAAAGTCATTTCGTGTTCGGTTACTTTAAAATTAGTTATTACCAAGTTGGGGGGAGACATTGGGATTTTTTTGCAAACAAAAAAGTCTATTGATTTTGGAGGTACTTTGTATCATTAAAGAAAAAACACAGTTGGACCAAATTCCCATTGCTGCGGATTTAAAGATATTTTTTACTTTAGCCATAGGGTCCTATGTTTTGCAAGTTGAGTTCTCATGTTTACAGAATTGGTAGCCACGAGGATGCTTATTGACTCACAATTTAAGCATTAAACAGCTTGATTTTGTACAGATACAGACGCAGATTAATCATACTGACTAATATTCGGCCATTAGTTAAGTCAGTATTGGTCTTCAGTGGAAGAAAGAAACCAACAGATTATGTAAATACCAATGTTGACATTATTAATATAGTGAGACATGCAATAATAGACAGTAAGAACACAATGTAGGTGTTCATTTCACAAAATTATTTTTTTAAATAAAATAATATGTCTGCAAAAATTCTATGGACTTTGACATTTAACACGTTTCAATACTTTTCAATTTTTTAACACATAGTTAACTTGAGAGAAATCCTCGAATGAGTACCTTACAGGATAGTAAAAATTCTTGGTTGGTTTTGCCAAATATTATCCTGAATGAAAGATCTTTGTGTGAGATTCACAAATATAGCAAGATTTGTAATTAACATTCTGATGGAGTTATTGCCATAAGACGCCACATGTTAAATAAACGTGATTATAGCAATAACTTTGTTTTATGAAATGTGTTTCTGCCTCAGAGGAAACATTTAACAAAATTGTTGTTATTCTTTTATTAACATGTACATAAGCAAACATTTTATTAGAAAATACATTCTAAAAAAAATACTATAATAGATAGAAAAAAAATAAAATGGCTAAGAGGAAAATATATAATATGAAGTGTTAAATGTTTAGGGGTATTAATTATTGACCGCATTCATAGTTATGTCTGTTTTTCCTGCTTCTTGTAGATGAATTTTACCGAAATGCCATCCCTAAAATGGAATAAAAAAATATAAGATATTTCATAAAACAGATATTAAACACTTAAACACCACACATCAGTATGTAGATTTAACAACAGGTACATCTTCCTGTCCTGTAAATTAAGAGATTATAATATACTTTTTATATACATGATGGTGTTACTGTTTGTCACTGTATGGATGTATTGACCTGTTTTGAAGGCTTACCTACGCATTTTAAATCATAAGATAACAAGCTTTTCATTGTATATCAAGGTAGGCTTGTCTAGTATTTCCAATTAAACAAGTAAACACTTTTGGCTTAATTTTCTCCATTCCTCAAGACAGAAGAAGCATCTAGTGTAAATAATTATATAAGAATCAACCATATTGCATACAATAGAAAGAAAGGATTAGCTAAAATATACATGTTTATTAACATTATAAGAACATTGGATTTGTCAGCATTAATACTGGTACTCTGCCAAGAGCTGTTAGGTAACCTGCAGATCCTCAATTCTTCACGAACTACAATCAAATATCAAGATTAATGGGGAATGTTCTTCTGACATCTAATGAGGTGCAGTTTTTAAAATAATGAATGTCCTTCAAACATACCAAATTATCCAACTCATGTAAGAAACAGTGGAATTATTCTAAAGTGGGGTGTTTTAGGAATTTAATTATTTTGAACACGGCGTAAAACATCTCAGTTTTAAAATAGGCAATAACTGAATGGATGTTGTTCCATGACTTCTACAAGATAAAATCAAGTGGTAGAAATTATAGAAAATAAAATTTGGAAAGGCTGATACAGTTTATCCATCAGTAGATATCATTAGTGAGCTGGAGGGTTGGATGTCTGTATTATTGTACGCACTTGTTCTTTGGCTCATTTGGTTTGTTTTCTATAGAATCTATCAGATATCATGCTTTCAAATAAGGAAACATACTTCCTTGATGGGTTTTCAGTCTCTCGTCACCCATCCAAGATTTCAAAGTAGTAAATAACATTACCGAACATCCCCTAAACTACGTTTTAAACCTACACTAACAAACTAAACTTTTTTTTATCTTGTCACATTTATTGACAGAACTCTAATGAACTATACATTGTCCACCTGAACAGCTATATAGCCCTTTGCCACTCATATTTTAAGTTCTACCTAAAGTGCAGGGACGTTGTGTCTTAATGTTTCTACTTATAGTGTCTGGACTATATTCTGGTCAAATACTGCACTTTATACACCACCTATCTATGACAATGTAACCTTTAAACTGATACGTACACCTGCAAGTGGGATATAAATCTATATAGAGACATAATTTAGCCATTTTATAACCATTGCACGTATTGCAACTCCCCTGCTCTATAATGTAATCTTTAAAGTGTCAAGTACAACTGTTAGCACTATATAAATATAATATATAAGCATACTTATAATATATGATATGATATTAAAGCTGCTCTGATCCTCTACCTACATCACTTCTGTGGTCCATATATACACCATCAAGTTGTTGTTTTTGATAAGTGGTAATGTGCACTATTTGAGCAATGTTATATTTTTTAAGTACATGTACATTAGTAAAATGAGACAGGCAAACAAACAGGAGACAGGCAAACAAAAATATCCCTCTAGAGCAGTGGTTCTCAAACCAGTCCTCATGGCCCACCAACAGTCCAGGATTTATGTATTTCCCTGTTTTTTTCCAATGGAGATATTAACAAAACCTGGACTGTTGGTGGGTCTTGAGGACCAGTTTGAGAACCACTTCTCTAGAATCTGTAGAGTATTTAGGCATAAGTGTGAAAATGTTAAACACATTCAGCATGGTGCACAACATTTATTTAAAGAAAGATATAAACCATGTAGTGTATTCTGACCAAACTGATTGCCTGCATCCTCAAAATATCAAAATGATGAATAAATAAAGCAATTATTATAATAATCAGCATCAATCTGAAGTAGGTGGCATAATAAAAAAAAACAATACAAATTATAATAAATTGTAAAAATTCTGAGGATAAGGAAAGATGTAGAATCTAGGAAGAGGGGACAATGAGAGACTTATGGACTATAAGGGCAACAACAGCAAAGAGAGAATAAGAGAGGGGAAAGAAAAACATAATAATTGTAAAACAATAATGAATAAATTCAATAAAAAAGAAAAATTATAATATAAGAATTTTTTTTAAAGTGTGTGTGGGGGGGTGGGGGAGAGTGGGGAAGATATGCTGATCTTCTGCCTTTGACTGAAAGTTGGTTTCTCGAATATGCCACACACTCTCTGAGGCGTCCACATACACTATCCCTCTACCGAGCGAGAGTGGACAACCAAAGACCACTACACCTAAACTCGCACCTGGGACTGCCTACGTGCAAAATGTATAATCAACTAACCTAAGGGTCACCTACAGCAACATAATTGACCAGCCAGATACTTGCTGTACCTCAATGACTAAATCACAGGTTTTGTGACACGGTAACCAGTTAGGTCTTATTACGCAACTTTACACTGTCCTGTTGGTGCAACGCACTACTGGCATAAATGCCGGCCTTAAGCTGTGCAATACCACATCCACCCTGTGTGCCCCCTGGGTATCCAGACCTCACCTTACCATACTAACCCAACTATTTTACCACTGTCTTGTGTGTTTGGCAACAGCAAGCCTAGTGTTATTCTGTTAGACGATGGCTGGTGTAGTAGACTCCATGTGGATGTCTCTCTTCGATGATTATGTAATTTCTCTTTTTATGTATCATCCTTTGGTTATATTGCTTTCTGATTACTATGCATTCTCAGTTAGATTGCATTCTTTTCATTGTATGTACTTATCAACTTAATAAACTTTGAATTAAAAAAAAAAAAACAATAGTTGGTTTCTTGTCAAAACATGAGCAAAATGTGGACTTTCTATATTAGGCAGCCAAAACTGAGCTCACCACTGCCTGGTTGACAGCACTTAGAGCTGCAGCGATTTTCACAAATCATTGCAATTCTAAGTCACTCTCAGAGATGATAGCTGGCTCAGGTTGCTCTATACACAGTTAAAGGGACACTGTGTACACTATAAACATTTTATTTCTGTGAATTGGGTTTAGTGCCTGGAGTCCCCTGGCACTGTCTCTCCATTCTGTGTGTAACCATTCTTAAGCAGTTTAACACTAAATAAGGATTCCTGGCCACCCAAAGCCTGGCCCCTCGTGGAGGTGTGGCTAAGACATAGATTACACACTTCCTTGTAGTCATACCTCTTCATAGTGAGAATGGCTGCTCTGATAGGCTAAAAACAGACAGCTGACACTCTTACATGTGCCCATTGCTGCTCGGGCTAATACTTTCTCATTAACCCAAGCAGTACAGAGGGGATGGACTGCTAAGGACTCTTGTTTAGCATTAAAACAAAAAAAAGTTAAAAACTGTTTAGCACCTAATGAAAGGATATCAAACTGCAGATGCTATAACCAGTTCAACAAGATGAAGCAGATACAGTGGCTGCAGTGTACTTATGCAGTGTATTATAAACCTACAGCATTTAGGACGCAGTGGACTGCTAAACTCCATTCTCATTTAGATAAATAGCTTGCTAATGAAATTAATTCTGCACCATTTCAAAAGATCACGTTTCCAAACCAATGTCCAGAAAACCCTTTGCTTATTTCTCCAAAAGACTTGATTATATTTAAATACAAGACATTAGGCAAACACCCTCAGCAATGTACAAAACAATAAACAAGAAAAAATTAAGAGAAAATCTTCTGTGTGTCGAATCACTACTGGGCATTGTTTCTCCCATCACAATCAAAATACTGTACAAGAAGTAAAAGAATAATAAAATAGAATGACTCTGCAACATAAAATTATTAGAGAACAATAAAAAAAAACATGTAATTGTTAGTGAATAATAATAAAATGAACTAAACAAAATCAGGAGTAAAAATCGAAATCCAGTCACACGTACGAGTAAAGACACAAAATTGCATTTTGAACTAATAAATAATGTAAAGTAACTGGGATGGACAGCCATGAGTACATTGAGTAACCCCCTGCCCACCTTCCAGATGTTTCTGAAACAGCTCCATGGTTTCTTTGTGAAGGGAGATAGCATCTTCTTAAATGTATGACAAAAGCCAAAATCTGTAGCAAAAAATGCTTCCAATAATATCTTGGCCAATAATGTTAACTCCTTATTTATTGCAGGAGGTAGAAAAAATAAGGTAGATACACAGACAGGGGTACCCATATCAAAGGAGTTTAGGCATGCGTGGGATAGGCATAAGGCTATCCTAACTATAAGATAAGGCCAGGAACTAATGAAAGTATTTAGAAAATTGGGCAGACTAGATGGGCCGAATGGTTCTTATCTGCCGTTACAGTCTATGTTTCTATGTTTCTAAATGCATCTCATATTAAAGGAGCCCTTCTCAATCCTCCAGTCAAAATATAATTTTTACCCCACTGTCAGATTGGCAGGTTATAAGCAACTGAGATTCTTTTTGACTAATGTATAAAAAATCCTTCAACTTACAAATGCGTCTTTTTTTCCCCCCTAGTAAGATTGCTAATTTGTCCTATTTTGCGAATGTAATCGATGATAAAATAAGTAGGTAAAAAGGAGCAAAAAATCCACAAGATGAATTGAAAGTAGTAAAAGATGGACTATTTTGACACACTACAAAAAAGGCAAAAAAAAGTGTCACTAATATATAACGAGTGTAGTTACAGTTTTATAGATAAGAAAATGGACCACGTCTAAAAAACTGTAGGAAACTTTAAAGGGAACTTAACACATTTCATACATAATCCTCAATGCTTACTTCTGTTTCTAATATTGGTCCTAATGTCTTAGTTATTCTATTACATTTCAGTTATGTGCTCCCCATAGCTACAATTCATCCCATCAGCAAGTATATATCTGTGTATCCAAGAGATTACCTGCCTTGCACACTATGGAATTCGGTTAAAATAACCATAGATAATGCACACCTTATTGAAAATATGGAATGTTACAATTAAAGCAATGTTTTACATAAACCATACTAAGAAGAATTATTTTAATTTAGACTGTGTTTATTGTCTGCATAAAGAATGCAATATAAATTATTTTTAGGGAGAGTCAAAAGTAAGAAACGCTTAAAAAATGGTGAGATGCTTAGTGTTAAATAATGATGAGGTTACTTTAAAAATTATTAATCTACCATGTTTTTGGTGGTTTCTACCTTTTGACTCACCCTGTGTATAAATGTCATTTTAGACAAGAATATATCAAAGTTTGGCAATTTCCCCCCCTAAATTTAGCATTTAAAATGATCAAATGAACCTAATATACCTGACTTCTTTCCATATACTGACTTGTAAAATTCACAGGTATTTAATGAAGACTATGTAAGTCCATTCATATAAATTGACTTTAGTGCTTAAATTTGTAATAGCCTTTGGATGTGTGGGGGAGTAAGCAGTCACTAAGCTTCCTTTTCCCCTTGACACCATGACAACACAGGTGTACAGTTGGGTATACTAGTGATTGCATCTGACCTGATGATACATTTTAATGTTTAGCATAAAAACCTGGTCCTAGTCTCCCCCTAATCTTAATGGAGGATGTTAAAACTTGATGGCAGCTGCTAATTATCAGTCGCTATCACTGAAATTCTGTAGCATTCAAACAACATCACTAACAAAAGAAGACACCTCAAACACCACACTACCTTCTGGGTAACTGAGTGCGACGATCATAGAACCAAGACCAGTATCTTTATCTTCAAATTTATTGACATCACACAAATTGTTAGTCATTTTAATGAGAATGAGCACTTCTCTCTAGCTAGATCTTATTTCCCATTTGGTGTATTTAAAGGGACACTATAGTCTCCAAAACAACTTTCGGTTAATAAAGTATTTCTGGTGTATATATCATGCCCTTGCTGTCAATTCACTGCCATTTAGGAGTTAAATCACTTTTATTTCTGTCCATGCAGCCCTAGCCACACCTAGTGACTGACACAGCCTGCATGAAAACAAAATGGTTTAGTTTTTAATCAGATGTTATTTACTTTAAAAATGTATCTCCTGCTTTGTAAATTGAACTTCAATTACACACAGGAGGCTCCTACAAGGTCTAGCAAGCTATTAACACAGCGTGAGATAAGAAATGTTAAGCTAAACATACTTTGCAATAAAGTAAGTGTAAACATTAGATGACTCTTTACAGGAAGTGTTTAGAAAAGCTGTGTAAGTCACACTCAGGGAGGTGTGCCTAGAGCTGCATAAATAAAGTGATTTAACTCCTAAATGACAGAGAATTGGGCAGTGAAACTGTAGAGGCATTATCTATACACCAAAACCACTTAATTAAGCTAAAGTTGTTATGGTGAATATAGTGTCCATTTACATTGTTAAACACTAATGCGAATTGTCTATGTGCTGATTAATTCAATTCTTACTGAAGTCTCAAAGCTGTCAAAAAGTCCACAAAACACCTGCATATTAATTATTACTGTAAATGATCAGCTGGCAGTGATTACCGTATGCTTAAAGGATCCATACCTCCTTCAGGCACTCTGTTGTCTTTTTTTTTTCCTTTGCGGTTTTTGCTGGAGTCTGTTGTTTTTCTTTTTTTCATCAAATCCGCTACTATAACCAGCAAAATACAAAATGTAAGAATAAGTAATGAGGAGAATACTAGAACAATGAGGTCACCCTTACTAATTTAGGATTGCTACTCGTATTACCTCAACCTAATTAAATAAGTCGTACCCTTTTATTTTTTTAATCAAGTCATCTAACAAAATTACATCCAGTTTCTAAAACCATATTTTATAGGAGATAGAAAGCCAATCACACAAGCAAAACCATTTGAAATATGTAAAATGAGTACTATTAAAAAAACAGCACTATACAATGAATACATAAAAATATAACATATATGATAGAGCAACAAACAATATAAGCTTCTAAAGTAAAAACAAGATACAAGATACAAAATCATGATACTAATCAATGAGAATATACTATATATAAAAACTGCTATATACCTAAGAAACTTCAAAATTGCATCACTTAAAGTGCACAAACAAGTGTAAGTGCTTAGTAGATCAGCCCCTAGTTTAAAAAGTCAGGGGTATCCAAAAATCTAATAAAAAATACTCAGTAAGCATAACACTCTTTATTAATAAGTTTTTTAAATTTGATTTTATTAATGTTTGGATATCCCTGACTTTTTCTAACTAGGGGCTGATCTACTAAGTGCTTACACTTGTTTGTGGATCATATCCTTCTGGGAACAGAGGAAAAAATGGTGTTAAAATATGCCATCCATTTTTGATGAGAATGAAGAGGGAGTTCCCAGCATCCCAGCCAATCACATGACATATCACTGGAAAGCCCAGGATATCCTCTTTACAATACAGCAGGGATTGATAGAGTAGCTCACAAGAATAAAAGGAGATTCATGCGAACGAAATGTCCAGTGCAGAGGACACAAGTTAACGGGCTGGGTCTCAGGAGGATATACATATTTATACCTCAAATCCTCATAGATTCCAGGTATACTAAGCAGAGTTGAGTTAGGCCTTCTTTATATCCCCTTTCTATAAGTGTAAAGTGCTACAATATATGTTGGGTACTATAGGAAGATTAATAATCTTAGCTGCTTTACTATTATCCAGCTTTATTCTTGGCTGACTGTGCCTCAGATAAAATAAGTAGTCTAACCAAAGGGAAGAAAACACTATTCCCCAATCTGTGTTTCAGGAGTTAGGGGTATAATCAATATATGAAGGCGTGCTATGCGGATAGGGTGCCAGTGACCAGAAAATGTGAGTGAGATGGTCTACACGCTCTCCCCTCTTCCATGTGCTCATTCCCCAACCCTACACTGTTTGATGGGTAATTACAATTCTGCTAGAAGGTCCTTAGTCTCCTAATCCATCTACCTGTTCTATCTCACGCCCATTGCCCGGTTCCCCTAGATACCCAACCCATAAAACCCAGTCCCTAAAAAATTTCTTTTTCTATACTACGATGAATAACGTTTTTCAAAACAGGCCTGCAATCACGCAATGTCTTAGTAATGCTATTTCATAGAAAAGGACTGTGGTGGGATATCCAGTGATCAAAAAAAAAGATACAATGTAAACTGTACATAAAGAGAGATTACATTGAGATTGAGCACCAGATGGTACTTAATGTTTAATGTCGTATTTTGTAAATATAATTTAGACTGTAATTGTATCTGTGTACGTACTATAATGCAGTCACAGACACCATTCTCAGCCAACCTATTTTTTTCTGGTTTGGTAGTTTTTATTTCAAATTTGCATTTTTGCCAGCAGTTATCATTTTGGGGTGCACTGTATTTCCTCTGTAACCAATTATTTAAATTTCAAACCTGCCTTCAAGCACCCGTCTGTATTAACCAATGGAGAACAAAGATGTGGAGTCCTGAGTGACAACCTAGAGCGAGTGCTGAGAAAGCGGGTCATGATGCACCTCCTCTTTCAGAGGGCCACAGCGATAAAAGTGAGATTGAATGTGAAATGACATGCCATAAGGAAGGCAATATGGAATGACTTTGCATGTGTGATCACTGGATAAAAGAGATTAATGATCAAATAAATGGATCAAGGAATGAAATATGGCAAGTGTGGTAATGAATGGGGATGAAATTTGAAACTAGCTTGTTTTAAAAGTTTTAACAGGAACCCAAATACACAATGCACAGGAATGGTAATTCATTCTTCAAACGTACAGTTAACTTAGTGGGCCATTCTTTAAATTTAGAATAAGAAACATAAAAAATGATTAGATTCTTCCCACCATCAGACTACACTGCAATAGGGAAGACAATACCACTACAATAAACAATGTATTGGATGATTACAACATGCATGTTCCAAATACACGGAACCCACAGAAATATCATGAGAACCCAAAATGAATGAAAAAGATTGGAAAGTGTGCAAAGGAGACAAAGGGAAGAGAGGCTGGGTTAATTCTGTACATATAAATGCAGTACATTTGTAGTCTCTATTATTGATTACTGCATAGGTCGACATATGTGATTAGAGGTAAGGATATATTTACTAAACAGTGAATGGTGGTGAGGTGACAAGAAAAGAAATGACAATATCAAGTCCAGCTAGATTAGATGAAGAATCTTTGCAACTCAGTTTCCAATTCATCACATTTCAACATTTAGTGATAAGACCCCTACAAATTTGTGGAATCCTGAATGATACAAGACCTGATTTTTTTTTTACTTGAATTGTTTATAGCCATTACTCTTTCAACAGTACTTATTTGTTTTTGTTTGATTTTTAATATTTGCGTTTTAAAATTTTAAAATTGTAAAAGGGAATACCAAGGGAAGAACACCCAGGTGCCAAATACTCTAGGTACGACCTCTGATGGTGGCTACTTACTTCTAAACTCTCCTTGAACCGGTTTGCTTTCATCATCTTCATTAAATGCACTGATCTGTACAGTATAACTTAGGCTGGGATCAAGTTTTTGAATGACTGCATTAACGGCAGTGTTTTGAAGATTTAGTTCGTTGATTTTCCCACCTGAAAATAAGGAGGTATTCACTCAGAGATCCGTCATCATCATTATATAATTATACCAAAATTATTAATATCAAGCTTTCCACAAAGAGAATCATATTAAGGTCAATATTATAGGTCACAATGAGACGTCCATCACCAAAATTAAGTATCCTCAGTTCTATTAACTTGTAGATTAACTCTGCAAGCCCCAGAACGAGATGAAAGTAAAGTATTGCATACTCAGTTCTTCATGTCAACAATATCTTTTTCCAGTATAGATAGGTAATACTAGTCTATCATTTCAATTCTAATTAATATGATATCGGTTACAGAGTGTCAGGATCTGCCAGGAATTAACCAGGGTCTGAATATGTGCTGGCTTCCAGCCACAGCAGCAATTAAATATTATATTGTGCAACCAGTGGCAAACAGACCAAATGAAGACTTGAGGTTTTTGAAATTCTTCCAGCCTGTCTGAAAATGATGTAGGTTCTGTTCCATCAAAACTGGATTACCCATTAAACGACCAAGGTGGCACCCTAGGACCCAGGCTTCCTCATGCCTGCTCTGCCCTGTGTCCCCTCACTTTGCTGAGGAGCCTTGTGGCCTGTAGCAATATCAAGTACAGATCACTTTAAGCAATTCCCCAGCAGGTCTCAAAGAACCAGTACACACAGACAAACTCAGCCTCCTCCAAACCAGCTCTCACCCTGCCTCGTCCACACACACATCACTACACACACTCTCACACACACAACACTCAGTCAACACACACCTCACAGAAACAGAAGCCATAGTTGTAGAGTGACCCCAACCTGGCAACCTGCCTAGAGCCCTGGACAATCTTAAAGGGAAACTACAACCATCAGGGCCACATCTGCTTTTAGATGTGGTCATAGTGGTAGGAGCCTGTATGTGCATAGTGGTCATAGTGGTAGGAGTCTGTAAGTGAAGCATTTCTGCTTATAACCTTGTACATTTAGATATATTTGCACTTGTGAGCTGAGGTCTAGTTACACCCCTGGCACATATGACCTAGGCAGCTTGGGACTGGTTTCAACTGTCTATACTGTGCAAAAATGACTTCTGTCTTTAGCGCGAACTGCACACTGATGACAGAGGTTATAAGCCTGCAAGGGATAGCTAAAAATAAATTCTTATCATAGTGCAATGCATCAGTGGCTGCCTACCATGTTTTGTGTCAACCCAATCTAAGACTCAACCAACACCAAAGTCATTCCCCTCTTCTTCTCAAATAATTGAAGTTTTACTTTACCCTCCTAAAGTATCCAATGATAGGTTGTGAACGCAGCGGGAGGTTACGACTAGTACTCAACAGCCTCTCACTGTCTAAGTCTGGATGGGTTTGGACTGATAATCCACTAGACATACTATTCTAACCCTGCATTCCACAGGCATTAATATAAACATTTTCCGTTGTAAGTTGTCCATGGTTTCTCTGGCAGCCATATTGTTAAACTCTTCTACTATGAATCATTCTACATTGTATAAAACATCCTATTGTAAATAGAACAGTCATCAAAGCAGACAGAATGAACACACCACGCAGTGTATATGAGATTTTCTGTTATGATTTATGTAAAGTACTTTAAGGATGAATATCTACCTTACCATTTGATTGACATGATACAATCTCATTTGATCAGAATGGTATTTTCCTCACTCAATTTTGTCTGTGTTTGCACTTGAAATTATTCATACAGTAAATATTACGCCCTACGGCACCAAAATTCTATTAAGAAGCTATGAAGAATTTTATTGGAGGCAAAATCTGAACTGAATCTGAATTTGAAATATGCAATGCCTGAATCTTCTATCATAGTTAAAAATTAACTATCACTACATGGGTTTGGATCAAGCATCTCCAACTCTTCAGTTGTTTCTGAACTACAACTCCCAAGATTTCTTGGGCATCTATTACATTCAAAGAATTCTGGAAGTTCTAGGACATCAATTTCTGAGTGGGCAAAGTTTGAGATCCCTGGTTTAAATGTTTCTTTGGTTTTAGGTTTATAAACATTATTTAAGAAATAATGTATGGTTTTCCGATTTATTACCAGCACTAGCTATTCATCACGACCCAGAGATAATCATGGAAAGGGCCACAACCAGTATAGCTCATAGTTCTCCATAAGAGTATGAGATGAGTGACGGTGATAAAATAATGTTGAAAGAATACACATTGATTATGAAATTTTCAATTCAAGTTTGAAATGTGACTAGACAATCCAAGGAACTTAGAAGCAATTAACCCCTTAAGGACACAATTTCAGAAATAAGAGGGAATCATGACTGAATATTTCTGTCATGTATCCTTAAAGGACCACTATAGTGCCAGGAAAACAAACTCGTTTTCCTGGCACTATAGGGTCTTTGGGTTCCCCCCACCCTCAGGGTCCCACTCCCGCTGGGCTCAAGAGGGTTTAAGGGGTTAAACCGTCAGGCTCCCTCTCCAACGTCATCCGAAGAATGCGCATGCGCGGCAAGAGCCGCGTGCGCATTCAATCAGTCCATAGGAAAGCATTTCTCAATGCTTTCCTATGGACTTCAGCATCTTCTCACTGTGATTTTCACAGTGAGAAGCGCAAAAGCGCATCTAGCAGCTGTCAATGAGACAGCCACTAGAGGCTGGATTAACCCTAGTGTAAACATAGCAGTTTCTCTGAAACTGCTATGTTTACAGGTGCAGGGTTAACCCTAGATGGACCTGGCATCCAGACCACTTCATTAAACAGAAGTGGTGTAGGTGCCTATAGTGGTCCTTTAAGGGGTTAAAATGTAAATGGTAACTACAGATTTTATTTCAACACCATCCTTAAATCCACCTATGGAATCAGAAAACCTTTAGTCAATTCAACATAGGATACTTGATCTTCAATGACTATGTGTCAATATTGGTATGACATTTAAGGTTACACCAAATCCAGGGATAAAAGAAACAACCATATATATTGTCACCAACTCCACATTTTCAGTTTCCCTTTTTATTCTTCATATCAGCATCTCACACTTCAAACAATCTCAATCTTTTAGAAATACTTTTCATTGTATTTATCTATAAAAGTCCCTATTTAAGTCTACAGTTCCAGAGGGTCGATGACCATCTACCGCTGAGCGTTCAATGATTTTAAAATGGCGACCGCCACATGTTCGGCAAATGAACGCAGACCACCAAGCCTTTCCTCAATTACCTTGTGGTTAACTGCAAGGTCTGGGTGGTAAATGAGCTGCACACGTCCCTGGTGGGAGGTGGGTGGTTCAGGAGTCTGTTCGGCTCTTTTGCAAATACACAAAATAGCCAAACACACGAATATTTAGATGAAATGCTGTTTCCCTGAGTCTGTCCAAACAGGTGTTTCATTACAATTACATTGCAGAACTAAGATTGCCTCTAGTGGCTGTCAAACAGACAGCCAGTAGAGTCACTGCCTGGTCGCCTAACTGACCTAACTGACATCATCACGCTCTGCATGCCCAAGCGCCTCCAACCCCAGTGGAAGAGGTGGAGCATGGACCCAATGCTGGAATTGGGTAAGTATTAAAATGGGTTTTTAACACTTGTAGTGCCGGAGGGGCACAAGGGAGAGGGGTCCAACAGGACACAATAGCGTTATGTATTAATAACATTATAGTGCTTCTTTAAGATCATCCTGTTCAAGGGAAGCTTAAGTGATGACTGACCAAGGCTAATAATGGGAAACATTTCCTACCAAAATGCAAAAAAATTCAAAGATGTAAGTTTTTCACCAAAACCTAAATTCTCACTTGTTGGTGAAATAATTACACGACTATACTATAAGGACACAATTTCAGAAATAAAAGGGAATAGACGACAAATGTTCACACTGAAAGTGAAATATTCCCTTATTGAAGACCATTCGTATATCGATCTAGATATTCTCTGAAACATGGGAGCTTAAAGAGGGATAAAAAAATACATCACAATTCAAAATCAAGTGAGATCTATAGAACCCTCTTGTTCTAGAATCAGCAACACAATGACATTTTAAAGGTCCAGCTCTTTACTTGCCTGATTTTGGTGTGACACGAAGTCTATATCCTTTAATTGTATCTTTTGAGGCTTTCCATGAGATCTGTACACTGTTTTGAGTTACTGCATGATATCTTAGTCTTGTTGGTGGTGTCACTACAAAAGACAAAAAATATCAGTTGGTTCACAGAAATAATGGACTATAGGAAGAGATAAAAAGTAAGTTGACATAACACTAGGATCATGTCAAAACCATGACAGCCCACAATTTGAATTGGTTATTTTTAAAACCACCCACCGTGTTTATTCAAAACCAGACTTAGTAAAATTCCCGCATGTCACACCATTTACAAACCTCTTAAAGTTACAATAAGACAAGACAGATCATGTTAGATATTAGAACATTAGCAGGCAACATAGACAACACATGCTACAGGGATTTTGGAAGAGTTTTAGCCTAAAAGTACTCCTCCTACTAAATATAGGTGTTTATAAACAATGGGAGAAATGTAAATTACACAATGTTAAACTAAAAATAAATGTGATTTTAGTACAAAATATTTTTTTAAATTAAAATTATGTTATTTTTTAATTATTGCAAAATATCTAATTTGATTGAATTAATTTGATTATGATTTAATTGTGTAATCTATGACGTAGTTACGTGAGTAAGTGTGGAGATTTATTATAAACAAGTCATAACAAGAATTAAATACATGTTTTGTATTTTTTTTTTCTTTAGCAATTCTTTGGATAACGTGTCGCCAGTTGATGAGTAGCCATAGTTAATAGTGTGTATTTTATGTATCAGGAGATAGCCATCTATAGCACAAATAATCAATCAGATCTCAATAAGCCTGTGGCAGAGTATTTTTGCAGCTTGCTAATGAACCTGCATAGTTTCCATTCTCTGTTTGCAAGACAGCACACACCTGAGTGTCATGAGTTCAGTGGAAATACAGGTAAGAACATTTATGTGAAATGATAAAAAAAATAATATGATTAAATTGACAAGCAATGTCTATAAACCACTTGGTTTTAAAACTACGCCCTAAGCTTGTTTTTTTTATTGGGGGTTTTTTTTCCAGCAAAATACATGTACATGTTTATAAGCTACACTTTCTTAAAATATTCTTTTCAGGATTAATTTCATACTAAACAAAAAAACTAAAAAAAATAGGTAACCTCACATCATGATTATATTAAAAAACACAAGACCGTCACCAACAGATAAACAAATAACCCATCACACATGATAAACATCAACCTGTCTAGTCAAAGAAAAGAGACATTTACGTAACAGATTCATTAACAGAGATATCTTTACAAACTGGAAGAGACGTGCCAAAAGTTTAACATAACTAATATATGTACTACATTACTTTTAACTTTTATTTCGTACATAAAATTATTTCTTCTTTCCTAACTCATCAAAATAGAAAAGTCATAAATCTTGAAATTTTGTAAGCTGTTTGCGTTTTTTTCAATTTTAATTTTTTTGGTCAAAGTTGAATTTCTTACATTCTGTCAATAAAAGTGTCATTAATTCTATATCGCTGTAAAATATGGTTTTAGGTTTTCTTTATTTCATTAATTTATTTATTCATTTCATTATTTATTTACTTAGTTATGTGAAAAACATTTTGGCACGAAACTAAACCACACACAACTAAGACATAAATCTAAAGACAAAGTAAACAAATATAATTATGTATGACTCTGTTGCATCACCAACCTGTGTTTACTGTCCTTATGTCTTTGAGCACTTAATGTCTGTGAAATAAAAGCTAGTTTCTTGTGACAAAAGAAAACAAAGTAATAAAACAAAAACAAATGTTAAGGTAGACATATATAAAAAAAAATTAAATCAGGGTTCTAAAATTAAAGAAATAAAATAAAAATTGTAAGAGTTTTCTAGTGAAAGAGTATGTACACAACACAAATCCGTTGAGCCATTTTAGACGGTAACGTTAATGTGCATTGCTGAAATAAACTGATTAGTCCACACTGTCATTCTTTAAACATGCTATACATTTTCATTAATACACTTTGAAGTTAAGTGAATGGTATTTTTCTACATGTTCCAGCTTGAATGTCCAGATGGCCTTCGGGATACCTTTTGGAAAATATTTAATGTAGAAAATCGCAAAAGCATTAAAGCCACAAAAACATGAGAAAATAATTTTATTGACATCAAAATTAAAACGAAAATAATTCATTATCTACAAGTCAAAGTTAAAGGGAATGATCGGGGGTTAAAAGTCTTCTTTGTGCTGAAAATTAAGGAGGTGTAAAATGTAAAAAAAAAAAAATTAAATCAAAATGTCCACCACACACCATTTGTTTTTAGCCAGTTTATCAATCTTTACCAAAATACGTTTAAAAGTTATTTATCGTAGGCCAATCATCAAGAAGTTCCTTTCCATAGTTCAGTCTTAAACCCATGCTATCAATTTTATACATTTGTCCCTGAATCAGTGGCATTTCCGAGGTAAAACACATAAACTACTGGATGGATGTAAAGAGTATACATGCAAATTATTGGCATTTTCTTTTCTTGAAGTAGAACATATAATAAAAAAATAAATTAAGATATGTTACCATTACCTGTATCCACTTCCCTCCAATTTATTGGTAAAGGACTAAACATATCTCAACATAAAGTTCTCTATTCTCCTGAAAATGCAAAGCGTCCCCTCCTCCAGACATGATATAATGTGTAACATAATTTATGAGAAGACAAAATATGGACATACTAACTTACACTTAGGTTAGTCCCCAATCAGGTGTCTTACGAGGGTTAATATCTCTTACATAGAGAACCTACATAATATCAAGCTGGTCCCACCCACAGGGGCAATCCATAGACACAATGTTTTGTAGATATGGGACCACAGATAAATCATCTCAACCTTCTTTAGGTTTCATCAGTGAGTCATGCACCTCTAGGCCAAGTGAGCAAGTAGTCCACACCTAGCATTATGTATTGTCCATAAGAACTATTATATTGACAATTGATGTAATTATATGGAAGGTTCCTCTGTCCACGGTAAATCAACAAGTTCTAATCCATGTTTTAATTCCCCTGCAATTCTAAGAGATTATTTCAGATCAGTAGTTTTATTCTAGACTATACACTATTTGTTTTTGAGACAAATGTATCTGTTCTGACTTGCTGACTCTTTATTTAAAAGTTTCTTGAATTTCTGTTATGTATGTGTTTCCAGACACGCTTCTATAAATAAATAACCTGAAATTTATCATTTTTTCATTTTATTCTTCCAGTTTGTTTCTCTTCTGTGAACTCAGTATAAGAGTTAATGATACTTGCTCTGGACACTTCCTATGAATCAAACACTAATCAGAGAAGTATAGAACATGTAGCAACTATTAAACAACACTAGTGGTCACATTATCTTTCACTGGAACCTAGCTAGTGATTATTATTGCCATATTCATTGTCAATATTAATGTTAGTATTGCTTTATTTACTATTACAAGTTTGGAGATCACATATCCCAATGGAACCCAAACTGTCTCAAATATAAGTTGCTCCCAAATGCATACCCTCACATTATCTATGTTTCTATCTTTTTCTTCACTTTGCCCATTTTGATAAAATACCAAACAGGGATTTAAAAATATATGCTTTTTATCTTTAAAAGAATATATATAACATGGATTATTTTCAAGCATAATTAGAATTTTTCCTACTTCTACTTTAAGGTCTCATATAAACATGGATCTACAAAGTAACTGTGCTAAACTTGTTGATTTAGTTTATAAAAGATTCCAGTTACATAATTTCTCTATTCTAGGGCATTTGACGAATTCTATTTGAACGCACATGATTCTCAGCCAACAGCAAGCTTAATCAGCATCATAAGGTCATAAGGGTTCTGCTCTAAATTTATAACACCAACTCTTTACTACAGACAGATGTTTTCCCTTTAGACATGTATCCTTTAAGTACACTGTAACCTGGTGTGTGGCAATATCACAAGCTTTTCAAAATTAAATAGACCACATCTACGCTATTTTGGCAGTATGCCAATTAGAATGTTTGCAAAGCATTTTATCAGGTTTGGTGGCATATTTTACTTCTCTGTGAAAACAATTTTTTTTTATTTTTTTTTGTATAGATGATATACATCAACCAATATTAGTCACCATCGATTTATTAAGGTATGTCAGAGCCTTCATTTACACATTATCTGTAACATTTACATTCTTATTGCACCAAACACTATCTTTAGTATAACAATATTGGAAATGTATACATTTCCCCTCATTTGGGCTATTGAGGATTATTTTGGAGGCCACTTTTCTATTCTTTATCTTGTTTGCCCATAAGTGATATACTTTTTATTTAATTGGTCTTTTCATTTCATGTGTGCATTTCCAAATTATTATTTCTAATTTATTACTTATATCTACATAGTGCCATCCTCATCTGCTGTAATGTCTTTATATTTTATGTTACTTTTAGTTTAGCTAATAAGTTAGACTGGCTAAGTACCGTAAAGTTGTTTCTTGACATGTTAAACAACGAATGGGCAAGTGTCATTTCCCCATTATCCATGTGGCGGCGGAGAAAATAGGAAAAAGTTATAACCCATTCTCTCTGGAGTGGCAATGAGAATGAGCAAATTACAATGCAAATCCATCAAACTGTGGACAGCAACGATAGGCTGAGAGTGTTCGGGAGGAAAGCAATTTTTGTAAAATTCCAAGGTGGTTTAATAGAAAACCATGGGATGACACCCATAGACTCATAGCACCATGAGGACCACAATCAGCTGTATGAGTGCTTATACTGCTTATAGTGCACCTTTAATGGCTGGATACTATTACAAAAGATACATTTGTGGATGAATAGACAGACAGATAGATAGATAGATAGATAGATAGATAGATAGATAGATAGATAGAAGGATGATAGATGGTGGATGGATGGTGGATGAATGAGTCGTTGGATGGTGGATGGTGGTTGGATGGTGGATAGTGGATGGATGGATGGTTGGATCGATGGATAGATGGTAGATGGATGGTGAATGGATGGATTGTTGGATGGATGGGTTGTTGGATAGATGGATGGTAAATGAATGGAAGGATGGTGGATGGATGGTGAATGGATGGATGGATGGTGGATGGATGGTTGGATGGTGGATAGTGGATGGATGGATGGATGGATGGTTGGATCGATGGATAGATGGTAGATGGATGATAGATGGATAGATGATGGATAGATGGATGGTAAATGAATGGAAGGATGGTAGATAGATGGTGGATGGAGGGATGGTAGATGGATGGTGAATGGATGGAAGGATGGTGGATGGATGGTGAATGGATGGATGAATGGATGGATAGATGCATAGATGGTGGATAGATGGATGGTAAATGAATGGAAGGATGGTAGATAGATGGTGGATGGATGGATGGATGGATGGATGGTGGATGGATGGTTGGATGGTGGATAGTGGATGGATGGATGGTTGGATTGATGGATAGATGGTAGATGGATGATAGATGGATAGATGGTGGATAGATGAATGGTAAATTAATGGAAGGATGGTAGATAGATGGTGGATGGATGGTGGATACATGGTTGGATGGTTGGATGGTTGGATGGTGGATAGTGGATAGATGGATGGTTGAATCGATGGATAGATGGCAGATGGATGGTGAATGGATGGATTGTTGGATGGTTGGATGGATGGTGGATAGATGGATGGTAAATGAATGGAAGGATGGTGGATGGATGGTGAATGGATGGACTTCAATTTATAATGGCTGTATATGAGCCAAAACTCTTTAAGTAAAACTAGTGCTTTATTTCTCACTGCCCACCAAAACTAATGATTAGATGTCAGCAAACCTGCACAAACTATTTAAAGATCTTATGCTGGAAGCAGCTTAGTTTTGGCAAATGAACATGCAAGCCTCAGCATCCATTTTAATTTTACCTAGTTTGAAACAAGCCATCAGGTTTTAACAAAGCAATAAACTGAGTTTTACATTTGACTAACTTATTTTAAATCAGGGTCTGCAACATGTGGAGACCTGTCCAATTTCACTGACTCGATGCACTGATGAGCTCTCTGCTGTGTGTAACTAGATCTCTCAGTCTGATTTCTGCAAAATAAATATGGCTCACAATTGAAATAGTAAAAATCCCATTCAGACTACATTTTGGTGCTTTGTAAATATTTGCGAAGTCAAGGGCTATGAGTTAATGCTAATATTACAAAGTCATATTTTTTATCTTTCAGTTATCCATGCGCAACTCTACATAGACCTGATTGAAATGTACATGATCTCCGTATTTCTGATTAACCCTTCAGCACCCTCTGCTTGTATGGAGAATTTTGACGTGTGACGTGTTGGGCAATCTTCAGGATTTGCACATTTATGGCTAAAACAGCTGAGCTGTCCATTAAGAACAACATGTTTTATTTTTTGTTTTTGAAAATTATAATTGATTTAATTATACTTTCACTATAGAAAGTTTGTTAAAATCTTATAGATTCACTGTTACTTATTTAATGTATATATCAAACTATGTAGATATTTAGATGACTGTGTTATGTTTGTTATAGTAAAGCCATTTCTTGTTTCCCCAAATAAAAAATTTCAATAAAAACAGTTGAACTGGAAACACAGTTGGCTGGGTTTTTTTTAAAATGTATTTATTATATATATTTATAATTTTAGTTGGTCTAAAAAATGTACAATTCCGTGGTGAGTTCCAAGTTTAGAGAATGACCATGAATGTTGACAACTGACTTGCAGCTTGTTCTATTCAAGGCAACGCATAAACACAACATTTTTGGACAGAATGTAGCTCATAATAGCTGAGCCATTGTCATTTCATGTTGCGTGTCACTATCTCTTACTGGTATATTATATTTATTCATTGCCGAGAACTACAGTATATGTTAGTGTTTGATAAAATAAAAAATATAATAGACATATTTAGAAAAGGTCTGGAGGCTACTTGAAGAAAAACCCTTCATTATTATAATTCATGTGGAACAGAATTTAGAAGATACGAATATTTAATTGCAAACCTTGAGCTTTTTTTTCAAAGCAGTTTAAAAATTAGGTAATATTAGCTCATCAAATATAATAAATGTATACTTTTGTAAGGCTAACTAATGAAAAAAATATATATATACATTTCTGGATTACAAAATATTTTGTTATCGAGAAAAAAAACCTTTGTTTTTACATCTCTGACAACCGAGGGATGCATTCCCTGGAACATACCAAAATCTCCAATCTACATCTTTTTTAAAATTTCAACTTGTTTTTTTTATTTTTTTAAATCACAACAATTTTACTATAAATACTTTCATAAAATATTGCAGGATATCCAAAATTCTGAAAAGGAAGATATTTTAAAACGAATAGTGTAAAACAGAAAAGACGCCGTTTGCTAAAAGAAATATTAACTAAATGTTTGTCAGAGCTTAAACATGCAATGGGATATGTTTTGTATTTTTATAATACAAGATGTGTACAGTTATAATGCATCAGACATGATTTATAGAAGTTATCGAATATAAATTGATCAACATAAAATTCCAAGTTTCGAAATCATCATCAAACCTGATGATTTTTTTTGTTGTCATGGCGATTGCTCCGAATCTAGAACTTACCCACAATGGTGCTACCATATTCCAAGCAATGGTTTAATATCACTTGAGAAAACCTTTCAAAACATTAAGCTATGCATTATTATGCTACTTTCATGATGAGGCTCATTATTACTTCATGATGAAGATTTCACCCTGGAAAAACCTGGAATTTTTTTTAATTTTGCACAAAATGTAGTGCATCGATGAGTAATTCAGGGCAAGAGAAACACATTTCAAAAAGTACACAACATCAATATAGGGTGCTTGGTAATGATAAGTTGTGGTCAATTAACCTCTAGAACCTTGGCACCCCAGATGTGTCTGGTGTACATTTAATTTGGTTCTAAGCCAGCCATGGCACAGGTTGAGCATCATGGCAAAGCTTGTTCTATATTCAAATATTTTGGATGCAAGGATCAGCCATCACTTTGCTAAAAGCTTTTGTTTTAGTTACCAGGTTGGTGAGAGCAGACACTGTATTCCAGTCTGCAAACCATATTATCATCTAGTAATGCCAAGTTTCAGTGATGGCTGATGCCGGCACTCCAGTGGCTGTGGACTACGATTCACGGTCAGCCGGCTGTATGGTACAGAGGCCTAATGTCTATTCAGTTGGCTGATCACCATGACAAATATAGACCACATTGGCTAGGGTGATAAATGTCCCCGTAGATTTATTCAATTGCAATTTAAGAATGATAATGAAAAAATGTTAGTTCACAAGTAATGCTTGATGACACAATGCCACCATGACGAACACATTTTGCCAATTAAGTCAATGCAATCAGCATGAATAGTTTGAATATATTTTCCATCTGCGCACGAAATCGGGACAGGCAACCTCTGGGACTCCAGTTTCAGAGGACTATGGACACTTTGGGCAAACAAGACATAATTGGAGTTCTGTCGCTCAGCAGCTTGAGTGCTATGGGGTGCTTGTCACTGACATAAGATATGTAACAGGATCAAGACAGGAATTTGAGGGGGATTACCTTGGCCTTCCACGTGGCTGGAGAGAAAAAGTGTTGCCGCTGAAAATGACAGAAAGACCCCAGCCCATAAGCTGCGTCCAGTCCTCATTCTGTTTATTTCAATTCAGTCACCAGATCTGTAAGAACAAAGACATTTGAATGTTAAATTTGTGGGCTACAAAAGAAACAAAATCCAGATAATCATCTGTTTACTGTATCACATTTTTAGAACATAGCAGAATCATAAATCCTTTATTGCTCTATATAAAGTGAGTCAAGGCCACAAAATTTAATGAAATAATCTGAAGAGAAGGACGTTCAACTAAATAACCTTGAGCTCAATGGTCAATACTTTCCTAAAGACTGCGAGGGTCACGTTGCTCGGGTCAGGGATCACATTGCTAAGTATAGATACATATTGTATGTTTACCTTTATCTTGCCTACTGTCACAGGGCAATAATATGCCAAATCAGTCATTTGCGATCATGTACAGGCATTGAATGTCCTGCTTATAAAGCAAAAGTCTTGTATCAAGCTCTCATCGCAGAATATGTTGGCGCTTTATAAATGTCAATAATAAATAAAATAAATAAATCATAACAGCATAGAACCTCATTAGTCTTCAAAGTTTTAAAGGCAATATGCCTTGCAATATGTTCTTTCATCAAATTCGTAAAAAACATATCTTTAAAGGGACACTATGGTCACCAGAACAACTACAGCTTAATGTAGTTGTTCTGGTGAGTATTATAGCTCCCTTCAGGCATTTTCATGTAAGCACTGCCTTTTCAGAGAAAATGCAGTGTTTACATTGCCCCTATGAGGAGGTGCTCATTGGCCAAAACAACGTTTGGCCCCACCCCGTGTCGATTTTAGCCAATCCAGTGCTTTCCCCATGGAAATGCATTGGATTGGCTAAAAATTGGCAATTTTGGTGATGTCACCAAGTGAGCGGGGCCAGCGCCATCAGACCCATAGAGAGCTGAAAATAAGTTGAGCTTTAACCCATTCTGAGGGAGCTAAGGGGGGAGGGGGGCAGCCACCTAAATGGTGGGTTTTCACTATAGGGACAGGAACACATGTTTGTGTTCCTGACCCTATAGTGATCCTTTAAATTGTCATGTCTTTGATAGCTTTAGATTTTCCAACTCATCTAACTCTTCTGCTAACTCTGGGACAGGGGTTCATATTTAAATATTTTTACTATGTCTTTGAAATCAACTATTCAGGTTAGTTGTCATCCATTTTATAGATCTATTTTTGCTATAGTTTTAAATGCCCTCTATCGACATACAATACACAATTCCAGCTCAATGTATCTGCCAAAAATAAAATATTTCACCATATGAAAGATCTACCACAGAGCAGATGAAATAACCAGAGCACAATATTGGGTTGGAGACAGAAGTGGGACATTGCTTGCGGTGGCCAAATTCTTGCACGTCAGTAATGATTAAACGGCATCTCACATGTTATAGATTTTCTAGAAAGCGAAAAGAAATGTAACTTAATAGCATGTTACATTTTTTGCATTACTGAATGGCAGGTTTTATAAATGGGAAAAAAAAATCAGAATGTGGGGAATTCACTATACGTGTTTCGGTTGGAAACATTAAAGTTACAGCAGGTGATTCTGTACCTAACGCTTAGGGCAATAAGGGAAGATCAGGTTGGACAGAAGATGCACAATAAGAACTCTCAGGGGTATAGGGTAAAATTGTGAGAGAACTAGTATAAGCACAGGTATGATAGTAACTGTTAGGGTATAGCTTATAAATTATTAAGGAAATACTACAAGAACTGTTTGTGGTCATGTCAGACATATCTCGGCTAAAGAGGTTAGAACTGTTAAATGACCAGGCTATGGACTATTACGGGTTAGGCCATTAACTGTGAGAGGGGCATATTAACAAGTATTAAATGGTACCTGTCATGACAAATACAACTGAATATTAAATGATAGAGAATCAAGTTTCATCCATACATTGTGCTAGCAGAATTGCTAGCCTATGTCTCTATTTCTCTAAAATCAGAGTATAAAATACGGCCCTTTCCTCTCTTCAGTCAGTCAATTCACTCTTTGCCAAACCTGTGGTGATCAGCAGGGAGATAAGAAAACTGTGATCTGGGATCTGTTATCAGGGAAACCCTCTTCAGGGGGTCTCATCAGTTGAGTTCAGCCTAAGGGAAAGCAATGCCTATGAGGGGAAGTAGGGAGGAGGGGCAGGCACTGTGTGATGTGAGAGCAGCAGCATTGAGAGAAGAGTAAAACAGCCAGAATAATTTATTGCAGCATCTTTTGACAAGCAATTTGAGAATGGAGAGATAGAATAGATAGGTTTTATTTACACAAAGCCAACATGAATGTTTTTTTCTGGACTTTTAACTTGTTATGGAGAGCAAGTCTGTGCTTCCCAAACAAGGGGTAATGCAGGAGAGGTTTGTTGTACACACCTACTGAAAAGATGGTTAATGCTCTCAGCAGGATACATGGAAAGTGGAAATAATTTTTTTAAAAAATACAAGCTTTTAGTAGCATTAAGGGTGGAAAAATTTAATTGTATAGCATGAATAAAGCCAGATGGTTTAAAAACTACAAATCAAGCTATGTCTATGAGTACAGGTTCGCTTTAATGAAATAGGATAAAAACTATTAAGAAAATGGGTTAAGGCAGCACTTGTATGGAAATAGTATATGAACTGTCAGATGAACAAAGTAAGATCCCTTACAATAATATGATTATGTGTCAAACAATCATGGTTAAAAAATGGTTAGAAAAATTGAAAAAGAAGGTCTCTCCTTGTAGTAGTTATGAAATGCTTTACTATATATTAAACTTTATAAGCAATGTGCATTGAAGAATAGGTATTAAAGAACAGGTGGCACACTAATGGGCACACTGATGGCTCATGTGTGTATGTAATCAAACATGGGTGGGACAGATACCTGGAAATCACATTTGTTCATTTATTCTCCCTACAATAGTTTACTGCTTCAATAAAAGGATTCATTCATCTGTAACACCTTATGGATGTATCTATAAAAAATGAAATGAGCAATGCATGAGCTGTTTTGTAACTTTGTTGTTTTTAGGCTGAATTGTATTCTATGACACTTGTTAATTGTTTCTCATATCTGGCTCCGTAAACTGACACTACATATGTTATACCCAGCATGACCTAAGCCTACTGCACCTTTGACTGCGAATATTTAGCTTTTTCCCATGATAGGTACCACACTTATCGCCGACGATTCTACAGCAGACCGGTACCTTAGGCTCCCCACCAACCTTAGCATCACCTGTATCCCAACCCATAATACGTTAGACGTAAATAAATAAGGAGTACACATGTCTGTCTTGTTTGAAGCACACTCAAAATAAAGATTGCAAAAAAAAAACTGTTTTCTATTTACAGGCTGTATTGAGTTTTATGAGTTAAAGAGACAATCTGGGCTCCAATAAAACTTGAATGCAATTGGTAGATTTTGACCTCATTAATAAGTTGTATTACTTTGCACGCTCATATCTTTATAGTTTTTGCACCCAAAAAATAAATGCTTTGCCAAATGCTACACCTTAAGCCTGTCTGCTTAGCCACAGTTCCGCATTCCAAAAATACATTTTTTTATCAAATGTCTGCACACTTTTAATTCACAACCTGGCTGCAGACAGTCAGAGAAACTACGTTATACCTCCCTGGGTGTCCTATCCTTCTAATGCAGATTGTTTTTTTGTCGTTCAGATAATTCAGTACTGTCTGTGGCTGAGCTGTGTACATAAATTTTTTACAAGGAAGTCTCTTTTTTTTGGAGTGAGGGGGTGTGGCTAATTAGGCAGGCTTATAGTGCATCATTCTGCAAATATTTTCCTTTTTTATTCAAAATCTCTAAAGATTGGAGAATACAAAAAATTGCATGTTAATGAAGGCAAAGTCTATCCAATTCATAGATATACAAGTTGTATTGTACCCGAAGTGTCCCTTTAAAGGTTCTTAAAACTGAATTCAGAGTCTGCACATTTTTTTGCATGGAGTCATGTGGATATCACTTTGAAATATTGTTGGGCTTTTCCACAACCCAACAGCTTACCCACCCTACTAGACTTGTGATTTAAATTGAAAAAAAAAATTTGTCCTAATTTGTCTGAATTTTGTGAAGGATTGTTATGTGTCCAAATTTCACAACTCTGAAATAAACAATAGATGTATCTCAAAACAAATTAGATAGGCACTGGACGAGCTGTCCCTTTTTTTTTGTGATATGGAGTTCCATCTGTAGTACCAAAAAAATTATGATTTGATGGGGGGGAAAAAGCTGATTGGTGGTTTGAGAAGAGCAATTAAATGTTTATCTTATTCACAGATCCGCTCCAATAGTGACCAATAGAGGGCAAAAAGTTGGAGTATTTACTGGAGTATTTTTGGTTTGTCCAACAAATTTTTCCCGAAACATGGAAGACATTTGCTCAAACCAAAATGTCATCTAAAGCCTTCCAATATCAATGATGTGCTCAAAAGAGATAAATTTAATGTGTTTATCTTATGAACAATCTGGCAATGCAATAGGGTGGTCAGTAGGCCAAAAGACAGATGTTAGGCGTGAATGGAGTCTTCTATAAAATACATGTACATTCCTATGGATTGCAAGGTGTCCACGGACAGAGTTGTGTAGTTTATTGAGTGTATATCTAAAATAACGTTTAGGCTATTGCTGTCTAGTAACAAGGTTTTCTGATTTATTGGCTAATCATGGACAATGCTTTTGAGGTTATAAGATTCCCACAGACAACATTTTGTGGGCTTTTTATATGTCTACTAACTTTTTATGTCATATTAGGCACCCACAGAAACCATTTGTGGTCTGCAGAAACGAAAAGACTATGTGTCTCATACCTTCACAAGAACTTTTACTTAACAAGAAAAATATTGCATTAATACATGATGTAATTTATGTGCTTCACATTGAAAAAATAATATTACTTTTCCAGTCTGCATATTGTTTTTCCTGGAAAATAAATTCAAACTTTAAATGTCCCTGACATTTATGAGTAGTGGTTTTCAAAATGTGCCTCTCAAGCTGCTGTTGAGCCAAAATAGACTCTGAGATC